ACCATGGTACTAATATATTAAAGTAAACAATGTCTTATAATGTTTTTTGGTGAATTCGATCTATTAGACTATTTATGTAAGTAAAATATTGTTTTGTTGTGTAGCATATTTTTTTATTTATTTTAAAGCAGGTAATGTATTTTCAATTTTTATGAAAATGCAAATTAGGCATATTTGTCAATGAAACTGAAGCTGAAACTAAAACTAAAAACAGGTTCATCTGAAAACAGTGTGATAGAAATGATCAAACTGGGTTATGTTCTTGAATTTACAATGTTATTTTTCATTGCTTTTCTACAATTAAACATTAAAATTAAAATAGAAAAATAGGGAGACCATCAAAATTCCAACAAGATATCACAATTTTCTATATTCTTCTTAGTTTTCATTTTATCTATTACCTTACAAAGAACAACTGACCCATCATCAATCACATGTATATTGTCCTAGTCTCTGTAAATCTTACATTCTTGCATTAAGCCTGTGCATTGCAAAGCTTAACATAGCTTGCGGATAGGAATAAAGTTACTTGCAGAAAATTGACCATTTATGACCAAAGGACAATACTTTCGATAATTGTATTTTTATTCTATATATTGTTCCAAGTTTTTTTTATACCTGAGGAACTTTACTCAGATTGCTTCAGAAACTTAGATTGGAAAGCAATAGGAAAGAGTCAAAGGACAAATAATGTAAAAATGTATTTAAAAACATGCCCTGATTTACAGTTGTCTTGGTACTTAGCATACTGAAAATGTTGTACTGAAAATGTATTCTGAAAATACCCCCCTCCCCGTCTTGGTTACGTTTCTCCATTTTGGGTTTAGGAATTACCATGTCTATAGCTGAAACATTGCCTGTTTGACCGCACAGATTGTTCTGTAAATTTTGGCATCCTTGCATTCATGTGCTATTTGATAAGAAAGAGATAATAAGCACAGTCGGGTAGCTATTTCACGTTATATTGGTCTATTTTTCCTACTCAAAATATGTTGGAAAGTAAGATGAAAAGGTTGGAGCTTTTCTCAGAGTTTGTAACTTCTCTAACAAATTTTAACATTGTGCGTATTTTTTTTGATTTCACATTGTATATCATTCCTTTCTTTTTATTTCTTATTGGAGTACTTTTGTATACAACACATGTTAAAATCATGTGGTAATCTTAAAATCATTGAGTACAAAAATTATTTGTTTACTACTATCATTGAAAAGATTTAACTTTTATTTCAATCTTCTTAATTTTTATCACCTTACAGAAAAACAAAAAGATACTTTATAATTTTCTTCTAGAATTGGTTCTTCCATAGGAAACCTCAATATAACGAGCGACTTATTTGCTATAGCATTTTCTCGTGGGAAATAACTATACGTTATAGTTCACTATTTTCTATTTGTTAATTACTAGATATTTTGCTAGACAATGTTTAGCTTAAGATCCACATTGCTGCAATTTTGGTATATAAATGATTTGGTATTTATCAACTTGTTTTAGAATTGGTTCTTGAATTGAAAACCTCGACGTCTCGAGAGTCTCATTGGATTGCACATACTGCTAGGTAATCATTAGGAACTTTATTTTTTATTTGCTATTTCTTTGATTTGATAATTTGTTAGATAGTGTCTAGCTATTGATCCACTTTGCTTAATTTCACTACACCTATAGTTAAATCGAGTGGCTTTTGATAAAGTTTGTCAACTTGTTTTAGAATTGGTTCTTGAATTGAAGACCTCGACGTCTCGAGAGTCTCATTGGATTGCACATACTGCTAGGTAATCATTAGGAACTTTATTTTTTATTAGCTATGTGTTTGATTTGATAAATTGTTAGATAGTGTTTAGCTTTTGTTCCACTTTGCTTAATTTCACTAAAGCTATAATTCAGTCGAGTGGCTTTTGATAAAGTTTATCAACTTGTTTTAGATTTGGTTCTTGAATTGAAAGCCTTGACATCTCGAGAGTCTCATTGGATTGCACATACTGTTAGGTAATCGATAGGAATTTTTTCATTCATTTACTATTTGTTTGATTTGATAATTTGTTAGATAGTGTTTTGCTTTTGTTCCACTTTGCTTAATTTCACTACACCTATAGTTAAATCGAGTGACTTTTGATAAAGTTTATCAACTTGTTTTAGATTTGGTTCTTGAATTGAAAACCTCGACGTCTCGAGAGTCTCATTGGATTGCACATACTGCTAGGTAATCATTAGGAATTTTTTCATTCATTTACTATTTGTTTGATTTGATAATTTGTTAGATAGTGTTTTGCTTTTGTTCCACTTTGCTTAATTTCACTACACCTATAGTTAAATCGAGTGACTTTTGATAAAGTTTATCAACTTGTTTTAGATTTGGTTCTTGAATTGAAAACCTCGACGTCTCGAGAGTCTCATTGGATTGCACATACTGCTAGGTAATCAATAGGAATTTTTTCATTCATTTACTATTTGTTTGATTTGATAATTTGTTAGATAGTGTTTTGCTTTTGTTCCACTTTGCTTAATTTCACTACACCTATAGTTAAATCGAGTGGCTTTTGATAAAGTTTGTCAACTCTTTTCAGAATTAATTCTTGAATTGAAAGCCTCGACATCTCGAGAGTCTCATTGGATTGCACATACTGCTAGGTAATCATTAGGAACTTTATTTTTTATTTGCTATTTCTTTGATTTGATAATTTGTTAGATAGTATCTAGCTATTGTTCCACTTTGCTTAATTCTCACTAAACCTATAGTTAAATCGAGTGGCTTTTGATAAAGTTTATCAACTTGTTTTAGATTTGGTTTTTGAATTGAAAACCTCGACGTCTCGAGAGTCTCATTGGATTGCACATACTGCTAGGTAATCATTAGGAATTTTATTTTTCATTTGCTATGTGTTTGATTTGATAATTTGTTAGATAGTGTTTAGCTTTTGTTCCACTTTGCTTAATTTCACTACACCTATAGTTAAATCGAGTGGCTTTTGATAAAGTTTATCAACTTGTTTTAGATTTGGTTCTTGAATTGAAAACCTCGACGTCTCGAGAGTCTCATTGGATTGCACATACTGCTAGGTAATCATTAGGAATTTTATTTTTTATTTGCTATTTCTTTGATTTGATAATTTGTTAGATAGTGTCTAGCTATTGATCCACTTTGCTTAATTTCACTACACCTATAGTTAAATCGAGTGGCTTTTGATAAAGTTTGTCAACTTGTTTTAGAATTGGTTCTTGAATTGAAGACCTCGACGTCTCGAGAGTCTCATTGGATTGCACATACTGTTAGGTAATCATTAGGAACTTTATTTTTTATTTGCTATTTCTTTGATTTGATAATTTGTTAGATAGTGTCTAGCTATTGATCCACTTTGCTTAATTTCACTACACCTATAGTTAAATCGAGTGGCTTTTGATAAAGTTTGTCAACTTGTTTTAGAATTGGTTCTTGAATTGAAAACCTCGACGTCTCGAGACTCTCATTGGATTGCACATACTGCTAGGTAATCATTAGGAACTTTATTTTTTATTTGCTATTTCTTTGATTTGATAATTTGTTAGATAGTGTCTAGCTATTGATCCACTTTGCTTAATTTCACTACACCTATAGTTAAATCGAGTGGCTTTTGATAAAGTTTGTCAACTTGTTTTAGAATTGGTTCTTGAATTGAAGACCTCGACGTCTCGAGAGTCTCATTGGATTGCACATACTGCTAGGTAATCATTAGGAACTTTATTTTTTATTAGCTATGTGTTTGATTTGATAAATTGTTAGATAGTGTTTAGCTTTTGTTCCACTTTGCTTAATTTCACTAAAGCTATAATTCAGTCGAGTGGCTTTTGATAAAGTTTATCAACTTGTTTTAGATTTGGTTCTTGAATTGAAAACCTCGACGTCTCGAGAGTCTCATTGGATTGCACATACTGCTAGGTAATCATTAGGAATTTTATTTTTTATTTGCTATTTCTTTGATTTGATAATTTGTTAGATAGTGTCTAGCTATTGATCCACTTTGCTTAATTTCACTACACTATAGTTAAATCGAGTGGCTTTTGATAAAGTTTGTCAACTTGTTTTAGAATTGGTTCTTGAATTGAAAACCTCGACGTCTCGAGACTCTCATTGGATTGCACATACTGCTAGGTAATCATTAGGAACTTTATTTTTTATTTGCTATTTCTTTGATTTGATAATTTGTTAGATAGTGTCTAGCTATTGATCCACTTTGCTTAATTTCACTACACCTATAGTTAAATCGAGTGGCTTTTGATAAAGTTTGTCAACTTGTTTTAGAATTGGTTCTTGAATTGAAGACCTCGACGTCTCGAGAGTCTCATTGGATTGCACATACTGCTAGGTAATCATTAGGAACTTTATTTTTTATTTGCTATTTCTTTGATTTGATAATTTGTTAGATAGTGTCTAGCTATTGTTCCACTTTGCTTAATTTCACTAAAGCTATAATTCAGTCGAGTGGCTTTTGATAAAGTTTATCAACTTGTTTTAGATTTGGTTCTTGAATTGAAAGCCTTGACATCTCGAGAGTCTCATTGGATTGCACATACTGTTAGGTAATCGATAGGAATTTTTTCATTCATTTACTATTTGTTTGATTTGATAATTTGTTAGATAGTGTTTTGCTTTTGTTCCACTTTGCTTAATTTCACTACACCTATAGTTAAATCGAGTGACTTTTGATAAAGTTTATCAACTTGTTTTAGATTTGGTTCTTGAATTGAAAACCTCGACGTCTCGAGAGTCTCATTGGATTGCACATACTGCTAGGTAATCATTAGGAATTTTTTCATTCATTTACTATTTGTTTGATTTGATAATTTGTTAGATAGTGTTTTGCTTTTGTTCCACTTTGCTTAATTTCACTACACCTATAGTTAAATCGAGTGACTTTTGATAAAGTTTATCAACTTGTTTTAGATTTGGTTCTTGAATTGAAAACCTCGACGTCTCGAGAGTCTCATTGGATTGCACATACTGCTAGGTAATCAATAGGAATTTTTTCATTCATTTACTATTTGTTTGATTTGATAATTTGTTAGATAGTGTTTTGCTTTTGTTCCACTTTGCTTAATTTCACTACACCTATAGTTAAATCGAGTGGCTTTTGATAAAGTTTGTCAACTCTTTTCAGAATTAATTCTTGAATTGAAAGCCTCGACATCTCGAGAGTCTCATTGGATTGCACATACTGCTAGGTAATCATTAGGAACTTTATTTTTTATTTGCTATTTCTTTGATTTGATAATTTGTTAGATAGTATCTAGCTATTGTTCCACTTTGCTTAATTCTCACTAAACCTATAGTTAAATCGAGTGGCTTTTGATAAAGTTTATCAACTTGTTTTAGATTTGGTTTTTGAATTGAAAACCTCGACGTCTCGAGAGTCTCATTGGATTGCACATACTGCTAGGTAATCATTAGGAATTTTATTTTTCATTTGCTATGTGTTTGATTTGATAATTTGTTAGATAGTGTTTAGCTTTTGTTCCACTTTGCTTAATTTCACTACACCTATAGTTAAATCGAGTGGCTTTTGATAAAGTTTATCAACTTGTTTTAGATTTGGTTCTTGAATTGAAAACCTCGACGTCTCGAGAGTCTCATTGGATTGCACATACTGCTAGGTAATCATTAGGAATTTTATTTTTTATTTGCTATTTCTTTGATTTGATAATTTGTTAGATAGTGTCTAGCTATTGATCCACTTTGCTTAATTTCACTACACCTATAGTTAAATCGAGTGGCTTTTGATAAAGTTTGTCAACTTGTTTTAGAATTGGTTCTTGAATTGAAGACCTCGACGTCTCGAGAGTCTCATTGGATTGCACATACTGTTAGGTAATCATTAGGAACTTTATTTTTTATTTGCTATTTCTTTGATTTGATAATTTGTTAGATAGTGTCTAGCTATTGATCCACTTTGCTTAATTTCACTACACCTATAGTTAAATCGAGTGGCTTTTGATAAAGTTTGTCAACTTGTTTTAGAATTGGTTCTTGAATTGAAAACCTCGACGTCTCGAGAGTCTCATTGGATTGCACATACTGCTAGGTAATCATTAGGAACTTTATTTTTTATTTGCTATTTCTTTGATTTGATAATTTGTTAGATAGTGTCTAGCTATTGATCCACTTTGCTTAATTTCACTACACCTATAGTTAAATCGAGTGGCTTTTGATAAAGTTTGTCAACTTGTTTTAGAATTGGTTCTTGAATTGAAGACCTCGACGTCTCGAGAGTCTCATTGGATTGCACATACTGCTAGGTAATCATTAGGAACTTTATTTTTTATTAGCTATGTGTTTGATTTGATAAATTGTTAGATAGTGTTTAGCTTTTGTTCCACTTTGCTTAATTTCACTAAAGCTATAATTCAGTCGAGTGGCTTTTGATAAAGTTTATCAACTTGTTTTAGATTTGGTTCTTGAATTGAAAACCTCGACGTCTCGAGAGTCTCATTGGATTGCACATACTGCTAGGTAATCATTAGGAATTTTATTTTTTATTTGCTATTTCTTTGATTTGATAATTTGTTAGATAGTGTCTAGCTATTGATCCACTTTGCTTAATTTCACTAAACCTATAGTTAAATCGAGTGGCTTTTGATAAAGTTTATCAACTTGTTTTAGATTTGGTTCTTGAATTGAAAACCTCGACGTCTCGAGAGTCTCATTGGATTGCACATACTGTTAGGTAATCAATAGGAATTTTATTTTTTATTTACTATTTCTTTGATTTGATAATTTGTTCGATTGTGTTTAGCTTTTGTCCCCATTTTCTTAATTTCACTAAAGCTATAATTCAGTCGAGTGGCTTTTGATAAGATTTATCAACTTGTTTTAGAATTGGTTACTGAGTTGAAAACCTCGACGTTGCGAGAGATTTATTGAATTGCACTTACTGTTAGGTAATTATTGGAAATTTCTTTGTTTTATTCACTCTTTGTTCAATTTGATACTTTGCTAGACAATGTTTAGCTTTTGTTCAGATTTTGTCAGTTTTTTCCATTTGCTTTTATTTGAGTACTTTAGTATGATAAAATTTCAACTATTGTTTGGATTTTCTCAATTTCGATTTAATTATACATGATGTGATTTTTTGTTTGATAAAGTCTGTTATTTTGTCTTAAAGTTTGTTTTTAAAGTAATAACTTTGTTTGAACATGTTTATAAACATTTTTCGATATTGCAAATAATGTAAGTTTAGTTTATATCATGAGTTATCTAAGAATAAGGCGATGAGCTCAGAAAGAGGATTATTTTTTAAACTTGGCTTATGAAAACGAAGTCAAAACTCTTCGAAGTATTAATCTCATTGCACTTATTGAGGTTATTTGCAGTTTTCATTTTGTGTTGTTTTCAGCCTAAGTTTTTGTGAGTAATTTTAAAAGTATAGTTAATTTCTTTTTGCATAGCCTTAAAACATCTTGGCAAAATATAGCTGAGAATTTTGAACGAAAATGGATTTCGCGTGCTTTATCTTTATATCATACATGCTGCTGATGGAAATTCCCTTTCCCCCATGTTTGGTGAAATCATTAAAGATCAACTAAGGATGAATTTGCGCTAAACTACCCTCACGACAGCATTTATTGGGGGGGGGGAGGGGAGAACGGGGGGCGAATGGAGGACGGGGAGGTAGGACGGGGGGAGGACGGGGTGGGATGATTTACAACTAGCTTGATTTTCTGGGATATTCTCAGCATTTTTTGCCAAGATTGTAGCTATTTGCTTTTTAGTCAATTAACTGTATTGTGAGTTGTTTAAGATTTAGATATCTTTAAGGAATTTTTACATACCTTTTACCGATGATCTTGCATTTAATTGATTTTTTTCAAAACTTGAACATACGGGATATTTTTTCTTTTTGTTTCACTGGTATGTGTAGGTATTCAACTTTTCTTGGATATTTTTCTTTGACTTACATGGTATTTCAACCTATTCTATTAATCATTAATTTGTTATTCATGTGCAATCCATTTTTAAAACAGTTATTTGAAGGAAAAATGGTTAGGATACTTTCATTTTCATTATAGAATCTTGTCTGATATCCTGCCCCAGTTCTATGAATCAGCTTTGGTTGGCTATCATTTTGGTATGTATTGTAACTTTGTTGTTATTCTTAGTGCCTGCGGAACATTATAATGCCTGTTGATAAATGAATGCCGGCTGAACTTTGTAGTGTCTATTGAACGGTCTCTTGGGTAGTTGTGTCTTGTGCTTACAGATTCTTTGTTAGAAAAGAGCTTATTTTCGCTTTCCTTGTGTTTTGATTGTATACAGTAAAACCCGCATATAAGAACCTGTTCTTTTTAATTAGCCTAAACAGCTTTTTATAGGAATGGTACTTAAAATGAATTTAGGCTACCAAGGATCTTAAATTAGGTTCTTATATTTATGTAAAAAAGCATGTGTTTTGATTGTATATCTATTTTTGTCTGAGGGGTCATCCTCTACACTTCATAAGAAGTTTATCGAGTTTAAAACCTAATTTGCTCTTTTTACTAAACATTGTGTAATTTTCTCCAACTTTGCCACAATTTCTTCTCTTTTCCTTCTTGCAAGATAGCAATGTTTGAAAAATTGGTACATTTTAAAGTTGCTGAGATTTACCCTGATTTAATTTGATGTTACCATTGCATCCAGTCTTGCTGTCTTTTAAGGAAAATTTTCTCTCATTTTCAGTAGGAAACCTAATTCAAAAGTAGTCAGATACTAGCATTCGATCAATGTTTTTTGTGCCACGTAATCCCCTTATCACAGGAGTAGCGTTTTACGGTAAGTGGATCATCCCCATGAAAACGTCAATAAAATTGCCAGGATTCATGAAGTAAACAACCTTCCCTGTCATTTTTGTCTCATTATTGCTATTTCAGGTGAAGTCAGAATGAGCTGGAAGGATCACGCACCTGTCATCGGTCTCCTCGATCAATACTACTGTTGGACATCATCGCTTGAAATCTACTTAAGATATGTATTTTCCTGTTACAAGGTACCACTCGAAAGCCAAGCTGAGGTTTTCAAATCAGATGACGTCAAAGGACTTCTTGCTGATACAATCGTCTCGTGCAGGTGCTGTAGCGTTTTAGTCCCTGACGATCTCGTGCTTTTCCATTGTCAACAGCAACAACTAGAGATTGTCGAAGGAATACTTCATAAGTACTGCAAGCGTTTCGATCGGAAAGACCATGCTGGAAAGTCGTTCGAAAAAGAACTGTCGGCTGCTGCAAGCCTCGCAGGTAAAGAATGGGAAGCATTGTCCTTTGCGATCGGGTCAGACCTCATGATGCACTTGCTAAGTCAGATGGCCTTGTTTATCAAACTTCCGAAAGGCAATTTATTGCAAGTTACTGGGAAGTCATTGTGGAGAGAGTATCCATTAGGTGACCATTCTTGCAGATCAATGTTCCAAGAATCGGTAGATAGATTTGTTCCAGGACTCATAAAGGTACCCTCCACTAGGATGTCACTAAGATGCCAGATTAATCGTCGTGACCGCACGCTGTCCACTGAATCTGAGTCAATTTTAGAAGATGAAGACGCTCTTGTTGTACCTGAAATGAACGAATCTTCCATGTTTAGTGTTACCTTGAACACAAGTAAAGACCGGGCTTCTCCTCCTGTGCCCACAGAATCGGAGTCACTTTTTGAATCTGAGATGTCTTTTGCTTCAAACATTGAAGATTCCTGTGATTCGAAGGGTGAGAGAACAAGTATACTTACCCCAGAAGGTAAAGGAAATGTTCGTAGGCCCTTGGATGTAAAAATTAAGGAGGAAGTTATAAAAACGAGAAGCTTACTGTATAACCGTCGTGTCAGTGAAAAACTGTTCGATTCCCATATCTTGAACAAAGTTCAGCCTTCACGCAAGGGAGCCCAACTACTTGCAAAGCAAATATTTCTTCGAGATGGTCAACAACATACGTATAGAAAGCTTCCTTCAAAGCTTAATCGGGCCGTTGCTTTGCTTTGTAAATGTATAAAAAATTATCGAAAATTGAACATCAAGGCTGTTTTGGAGACGTGTTGCCCTTTGCCTGCTACGGTGAAAACATTGCTTAGAGACTATCGGAAGGAGAGGAGTAAGGAAAAATCCCAGAAAAGTACTTCATCTCAGCAAGTTCGAAGGCTGAAGAAGAACAAGGCACTGCTGTTCAATGTTGCTGCTTCTAGCTTTGTTGAACCGTACAAGGTGGGCTGCTATTCAAAATATTCATTGATTAATATTTTATAATTGTTTTTTTTAATACTGGACATACCATATCATCAGAATAACATTTCTTGTGGAATGGCCAAGCTCGGTATGTATGTTGATCGTTTAGTGCGAACAGTTTGAACAAGGTCCAGTTTGCTTTTATTGATTAAACAGATTTTGAAAGATATAACTACCATTATTTAATATAATGTTCATCCTTACCAACACGGTTTTTTATTTGGTGTTGTCTCGTTAATCTGCAACGAAAAAGAAACTTGTGGTCTTGGCAGTATGCTAGCGACAAACATATTTTTGTGTATGATGTAGATTTGTTTCAAGAAAATCAAAAAAGGAATCGCTTTTCTGGCCCTAACCAAGTATTACTTGAAAAAAATCACACACGAAAGATCTATATTTGATAGTAAATTTTTTTGATTGATTTCCAGGTTTTTTTATTTGTTAAACGCATCTGCCAGAAAGTCTTCCAGCGAAATCTTCTTGGCACCAAGGTTAATTGGCGGAGGTTTTTCAAAAACATAAAACCATTCTTTGACCTTGGCAAAAATGAGTTTATGTCTATGTCTGAATTGACAAATGGCATAAAACTCTCTTTATGCAACTGGATGTTCAGGTCGGGAAAGAGACCCGTAGGCATCCAGAAGCCCTTCCTGGCTTGGCAGGAGAGTACATTGAAAAGCCTGATTCGCTGGATTGCTGAAGACTTTTTGATTCCTTTGGTGAGATCTTGTTTCTATGTCACTGAAACCGGGATGGATCACGACAGAATATTCTTCTACAGACGCACATCTTGGTCAGCCATTGAATCGTTAGGCAAGGATTCCTTCTTTGCTGACGGCTTCAAAAGGGTGAAGGAGAAAGACGTTCTTCACGCTGTTTCCACGGGTGCTGCTTTTGGTTGCGGAAAGGCTCGGTTCATTCCGAAGAAGTCTAAGGTGAAAATGATATGATAACCCTAGAAGATTATATAGCTTAGCTTAGTTGAGCGATCTTGATACGAATAGTGCCGTTCCTATGGAGTGGATGCGGAGACTGAATCACAAATTCAGGCGGAATACATTAACTCTATGGCTTTTCTCTTGCCCACAAGTGTGAAACATTTTGAGTACAGGACTATCTCTAGAAAATTAGAGTTTTCCGTCTAACGTGTTATTAAAAAATATTTTGACGAAAATTATCTTAAAGACGCACAAGCGATATATTTTTATAGTGACATCAACCTCTGAGGCTTTTGTCAAAGTTCTGTGTACCATTGCACTATATTTTCAAGAAACAAATTCAAAACAGGAACCACCATCAGACGTTTTCAATTTCTCTCTTTCTCTGATTAAACCTCTTTTACCATTCGCAGGTCAGACCAGTCGTCAACATTCATTGGGACGACAAGGATGACAAAAAAGAGATGGAGAAAGTCATATCCATCTTGAAGTTTGTAAAGAAACAGCGCCCCCTTGTAACTGGATGTGCTGTATCAAGTATCAGTGAAATTCATCATCGCCTTCTCAACTTCTCGATGAAGCTGAGAGCAATGGGAAGACTAGGCTCAAAGCTTTATTTTCTTTGCTCGGACATCGAACGCTGTTTTGATAACATGCCTCACGATAAGCTCCTTGAAGTTATCAGACATTCTTTGAAAGAGAAAGAGTACTTAGTGAGGAACTTCAGAACCATCTGCAACGTTACCCACGGTGTCATCAAAATGAAGGACAGTCATGCTGTAGCGGCTGCCGCAAACTGCAGACCTTTCCCGGTATTTTTGAAGGAAAATCTTCTTTCAGACGATATTCGGGTCAGGAACTCTGTCATTATTGACGTTGGGGATGAAATAAGATCACGCAATAGAGTCATTTCTCTTGTCACCAAGCATGTTGAACAGAGCTATGTCCAGTTTGGGAACACTTTTTATCGTCATATCCGTGGTATGTTCAAACTTACAGCCAATTTAAACATAATATTAAGTAGCATTGTTGATATTATTTGGAGAATCTCAGCCAACTCGGACATGTTGAAGATTCTTTTCATTGAATGATAATAGAAGAGCTGGAAGCTGATTTTATTATAAAATAACCAAAGCCTCTTACTTCACTGCACATTCAGTAAAAATCGTCTGGCATCCTCTCTCTAGCTCTTTGGGTATTATTCATTCATCCATTATATATATCAGCATGTCTTTCAATCGTTTACTTTTTATTTAATTTCAGGTGTTGCACAAGGCTCCATGCTAGCTACATACTATTGCGATTTTTTATATGGCCATATGGAAGCGCAGTTTATGGGAGACTTCCTTGTCTCCGACAACTGTATGCTGATCCGTTGGACTGACGATTATCTTCTTATTGGCACGAGCAAAGAAATTATAGGGACTTTCGTCCAGAGGCTTGGTCTAGGATTTTCCCAGTACGGTTTCAGCTTGAACGCAAGTAAATCAAGATCAAACGTCGATAGCACCTCGCTGAACTGCCCTTTGAAATTACAGAAGATGTTTGGGGAATGGTTTGGGTGGTGCAATCTCCTGATCAATACCAAAACATTAGAAGTAAAATACAATTTCGAGAATTACATAGGTATGCTTCCTTTTGCAACAACTTATAATTATTTTGTATTGTAAACATCTTTAAGAAGCGAGACCATAAATGCAAATTAATGTATGGTCTTCTTATAGACCACACGTGACGTGCCTTGATATTTCGGATGATGTTGCCTAGATTCAACTGCTCTTGCGTGCATACGTATCCTTACCTAGGACGTTTTATTTAACATAGGCAGGGGGAAATCCGAATTCTTGTTTTTTTACACATGAAACGTTTTTTGTCTATAGTATGACACTAATACATGATCTGAATTGTGTAGTTAAGATGTAGATATCTTGTTGATTTTGTCGTAAAATTTTATTGTATCCAATATAATTTATAGGATTGCCCACTTCTGACACTTGTCAGTCGAGAGTATCTTTTTCTTCAATTAGAAATGAGTTTAAAAATTCCTTTCCAGGGGGTTCAGTCGGTGAAACGGTCACTGTTCGGCTTGATTCACGCCCGGGAGTGCGGTTGTTACAGCGATTGTGTCATCACATCAGAACGAGGTTGTCCTCGGTTGTAGTTGACCCAAGGCTTAACAGTGCAAAAGTGATAGAGCATAACTTATGTCACATTGCATACCTAACTGCCAAAAAGATGGATTATATTGTTGGCAGACTCCCAAAAGGTAAATTATTTCCATCATCCCCTAACTTTATACCGTAAAACTGGAGCCGGTAAAGAGGTTCACGGAATCAGCTAACGCTTCATTAGCTTTTTCTACGATGTTGATATTTTAACCTTTAATACTTTTTTTGTTTTTCTTCGCACTATGGTTGAGTTATCCTTTCTGAATGAGTTAACCTTAAGGCTGGTTCACACATAGCCATAACTGCTGCTAAACTGCTGGCGACACCCCTAGCCTCCATCCTTAGCTGCCACCCTTACGATACCGCCGGCTTTTTCATAGAGCTTGTTTACATCACTGCCGTAAATGCCGCCTCAATTTACAGTCTCTCTGTCATGAGTCTGTGCTCCCTTAATATAATCTTCATGATTGGTCAAACACCATCATGTGACAAGATGAGAACAATGCAATGACCGCCGCGACTGCTAAAAAGTGTTTCCATTAAATTTCTTAACGCCGGCGGTAAATAGATGCTGTGAATCGCCAGAATTTATTGCAGAGGAAGGTTTTCAATCCGGCAAATTCGTAGTAAACCAAAACAGGCCTGAATCGCCACGGCCTTTCCATGAGTCTATAGCGATGTTGTAAATATTTGGATGCATTTTCCGACCATCCCTAGAACGTCTTCTTTTCATCTTTTTTGTCGCCAACGATGGTGACTGCCTTCACTAAACTCCAGAACGATCTTACCGCCCCCTGCCTACCCCCAACCTCCCTCAATAGTGACGTTCCTGATTATCATTGTTGTACAGTTTGATGATACAGCCGCTACAATGATACTCAAAAACACTGTCCGGTTTTACAAAGAATTACATATTTTATTCGAAATTTCTCTATCACGTCCTGTCAGTAATTGACTACCCCCTCTCCCATCATTTGAAAGTCTTACAGTACCCCACAAATAGGTAGATATAGATCAGCGTGCTTCCGAACTCTTGTACTTTTCTGCACATTTCCAATACTTTGAAGGAAAATTGGAAGATAAATGGGGCGCCATTTTGACCCTTTGCCCCCCCTCCCTTGCGATCTCATCCCCAGCATATCATTGCACCCATTGCCTTGCCATTCTGAAAGCTAGCTCCCACAAGTGTTTTGTGAAAAAAAATGGTCTTCAGTCAATCAAATCCATGCTTAGTCTTGCTTTCCTATACAATTGTACCTCTACAGCAAATTTAAATACTTTTGTTTGGCACTAAAAGATAGACTCGCAAACAACAGTAATAATTGACATTGTTTCTACAGCAGCTGATTTTGGAGGTAGTAGGAGATGTGAGAGATCACACCTAAAGCAGCACCTTAAAGTTGCTTCATGGTCGTACTCGATTACTGCGTAGTTACTGATACACTCAATAGATATTTCATCGTTCCGAACACAATGGATAAACACTACGCCAATGCAATTTTACTATATCAAATGTAGACTAAAAATAAGCCAGTTGTATTTTCTCCTCTTTCAGATTCAAGGCCAAACAAGCATCCAATTTTTTGGAAAAATGCTATTCACCGTATTTTCAAGGCTTTCTATCGCCACTATCGACGGGTTCACCAAAGGGCAGGTGCTACTGCTAACAGCATGATTCCGAAGAAAGTTGCAAAAAATATATATTTTGCAGCTATTATTCGGGTTATGTCCACAAAATGTACAAGATATCGTCAAATAATGAAGCAATTCTCGGTTTCACAAAAAAAAAGTTGGCAAAAGGAAGAACTTGTACTCCTCAAGTAAAACAAGTCAGCGGTAAGTAAATATACTCTTATCGGTGTATTTGTCGTCTCATAAGAAAACTACCTCTTTTGTGGCAAGATTTAGCTGATGTTTCTATACCTCTTGTTTTGATATTAAGGGTTGGCTAGTTACGTTCGTTAATTACTCGTTAGTAGAACATTCTTCATTAAATCATTTGCATCAACTAAAGGCCACACGAAATGCTTAAATCTGACTTTTTGTGCAAATACCCCTAGTGTATATTCCTGCGAACATAGGTTTATACTCTTTTCTGTGGTGTTTTGAAAAGATTTTAGCCTTTAAGTCCAGCACCAGCACCCAAAATAATGTCTATTCATAGATCCATATTTAATCACGCTATTACAATTTATCCTTTTGTCAATAAATGTTTTGTTTCCCTTATACTTGCAATCAAAATAAATCTTGATCTGTGGACATTTTGACTTTAGAAATTTTAAAATGAAAAACTCAAAAAGATATTATATTTACCATAAAATATTGTAACGGGTGCATCTGTTTTCTCTACTAAGTTTTCTTTAACTAGGCATGCTTCTATTTCAAATCTTTAAGTCAATTATTCCTATATATATACAGTTATATATTATTAGCAAGTTACAGTATGTAATGTGTCAAATAGGTAAAGTGTTATTACAACGATAAACCAAGGAACATGAAACAAAACCTTCTTTAACTAAAGTTAAAAATATGAACAAGGAGAACGAATTATTAGATGAGCTCAAAATTAATTTGTTGCAGTTCAAAACGATGCTATAAGAACCACATCTTTCGATTTTTCAATCGTTGGTTTGCCAATATTTCTCCATACAACAAATATGATAGTGATACTGCAACATGTTGTATGATATTTCCTTGAAAATTGTAGTGAATTATGAATTGAAAATGTCAATGTAAAAATCTTCTGCACGAACTGGCAAGCAACTGACAAACAAAAAGTTAAGCATTACTTGAAATTTGTTTGTTTTTCAGTGTCATTAGAGTTCCAAGCATGGTTGATTTGAATTTTTGTACCAGGTTTGGTATCGATAGACACTAATATTCTTTGACTAATGATCCTATACAACTTCCGTATCACGATTCACACAATGTAATTTTTTATTCTTACCAGTTTGTATAAACAAGAGGGTTTATGTCTTTTCTTGATCCAGGAATAAGGGGATAGATACCCAGGTGGGAGAGTTGAAGAACCCCGAAATCCTTGGCCTGGAAGATTAGCTGATAACCCAACGTCATAGAGTTCTAAAGGGATGACGTCACAAAATCTTTTTCAGAATTTTCGAATTTGGATCCCATAACCTGAAAGAGCATCATGAAATTCCTCTAATTGTAAAAAATCAGTCAAATGTGTTACAAATTGGCAGAGATATGGCCACATGTGTATTTGTTCTTTCCCCAGCAAACCTCTGTATTTTGGTCTCTGTTCATAAAGTTATGAACAGAGTCTAAATAACAGTGATTCGTTAGCAAACTTCAAATCTTTCATTGGCTGTATGTCAACCGATTTTAGACATGTTTGGTCAATTTTGCATATTTTAAAGTATTTCATGGTGCTCTTTTATGTTATGTGGTTTAAATTCAAAAATTCTAAAAAAGGTTTTGGTGACGTCACACTTTAGAACTCTATTGGCGAAAAACACAGATACCTCAATTATACAGCCACGCATTTAGCACTAGGCGTGGACAATTGTGTAGAAATGCACGTGATCACCTGGGTTTGCTAATAGACTATATTTTTGGTTTAACAAGTTATATCTTTAACCTATAAATCATGTCAAAATGGAGCCAATTAAATATGAGGAACAGTTATCAACTTCTTATTTAAAAATGAAACGTGTTTGACGATAGGTTTAAAAATGGAAAATATACGAAACATTCATTACACACTGAATCTTTCAGAAAGGCTTCGATTGGTGCAAAGGGAATGTCACGTGATCTTTTATGTAAGTCATTTACAACTGCCAGACTCACCGAACCTGTAATATGAATTTCTGCTAACTTGTTTTTATCTATACGTTAACACCATGACAAAAAATGTCAGACGAAATGTGTCGGAATCGCCCTGTCTCCCTTGTCTTTGTTTAGGTTTTTGATGCCTTGAGAAAGAGAGAGAGAGATCTTTTGCAAAGATTTTTAATATAGCTATCCCAGGATGCGAAGCTATGCAACAGATGATCCACATTGATGACGCAGTTGCACTACTGGTGCAGTTAGAATGCTTCCTTTCCTTTAATCTTGCTCTTTCTGGTAAGTGATCTTTTCTAAATTTTATTTGCGATTGGAAACTACGATGCTTCACTTTGAATCCAATCTTAAAGATTATATTAAAAGATCAAGCAATGGTCATTAGATAGATGAAACAGGCTTGCCGTTGTATTTTTATTTTTTGCTCTCTAGCTACCGAAGGCAGTTTTAGGATACTAAGAAAGAGAACCTATGCTTATCGAGCAGTGTTCTAGTCCTTTGTCTCGATGCCACCTCAGTGCAAATCTGCAATAAAATTAGAGAACCTTGATATTTCAGGCAAAATTGAAACGTTTTCAATACTTCAAGCAAACGACGTTCAGAAATATTCTGAAATTTTAAGCTAATCTTGAGGGCGTGGTCGCAAAAATTTTCTGCTCGTTTCGCTCGCAGGGAAACCTCATCTGTACCTCTACTGGATGCTTTACAGCTTCGCCTCGTTTCAGGGTCTATATATAAAAGTCCTTCACATTCTCTAGAAATTCCAGATAAAATAGAAATTAAAATGCTAAAGCGCTTCAGTCCTTAGAAAACTGCATTTTACAGTTAAAGAATTCTGCAAATCCGTCAGACTTTATTATTCCATTTTCCGTTTTATAGACTTCATTTTCGACAAAATCCGCACCCACGTCCACAAAATAAACAAACTCTTGTATGCAGATAGGGACGGGGATATATTTCAAGCTAATATCCAACTGTGATTCTTCAAAATGGCAACTCATATGAAAGAAAATCAAAGTGAGAATAGCCAGTAGTAGTAATCCCATATATTTCCAATTGTTTAAGTTGCTTTTGCCTCACACAAAGATCCTCAAGATCCTCAAGAAAATCTTCTGAAAAAAAGTCGATTGTATCGAGTGACACTTGCTCCCCATGATCTACTTGGAAAAACAGACTTTTGAGTTGACAACGGATCAACACACTTGGAAAGGCTTGCATAATTGTAAGCTGGATGTGAAGTTCCGTAATCATCATTCCATGAAGTTCAATAATATCTAAGATATCATAGCTATATTCACATTGCCTTGATCTGAAACAAACATACAGCTTCTCCAGAAATGGTACAACAGTTTTCAGAAATTGACTAAGAGTCTCAGGTCTGATCCTTGTTCCAGAAAATATCAACTTTAGGCTTTTCAGATTCTTCAAAGCTGGGAGTGACAACAATGCGTTATCTGCCAAACTGATTTCATATGCCTCATGTATTGTGATTGTTTGGACATTTGGACAATTGTCAGCAATACTTGTTGCTAAATTGCTGCTCATAAATGGAAATAAACTAGTTGTTCTCCGTATTTTCTCACAAGTTTGATCAATGGTTTATCATCATTGTAAGCTGGATGAAAATGTTCATCAATTTCATCAAAAGATGAATTTGAATCTATGTGAGAAATCTCAGGACAGTTTTCAATTAGCAGTTGAGCTTCAGCTTCAGAAAATTTCCACCTCAACCCAGATGTATTTAGACTGTCAATATTAATCTTTCTCAACTTTGAAAAAAACAAACCTCGAAATATTGCATAAACAAGTTCATGAAGAATGGGTGCCAGAAGACTTCAACACTAAAATGTGTTAATTTAAGTTCAAGGCTTGGCCTAAAACTTAGCTCTGTAAGTTGGCAGTTTTAATATAATAAATATCTGCTGCACTTTTTACTTCTTCTTCTTCCTAGATTTGTTGCTTCCTGAATCTTCCAAAGCTTTCAACCATTGTTGACAACAATTGAAATAAATACAAATTTTGAAAGATTTTCTCTTTATTTCTGAAAACTTTAGCTAGGTATTCAAAAGAAACAAAGAGTCCCTCAATAGCTATATTAAGCCTTTCAAGATTGGATTCGTGTTTTATGATTCCACACCAGACTGCATTGCCAACTTTTACTGGAGAGTATCCAGTTTCTGGTATTATTCAAGGGCCATCGAGGCTATACCTTACAAGAAGAGTTTTTATTCTATTTTGGCCGTCGTTTCAAAAACACTGAACACCCCAAGAATAGGGTGAACACCCAAGAGCACCCTAAGAACAAGTTATAAAATCCCCATTAAGCGGCTGAACACCCTTTAAAACATATCAAAATCGGCATATTACTCGTAAACTAATTTGGTAGATCAATCAAAATTATTTTGGGGCGGGAAAGGGCCTGATAAGTCTAATGCTGTTGGTGTTGTTGCAACCAACGGATGTTTTGCGCGTCAAAAGTGATTAGAGAATGTTTTATTGTGTCCCCTCACTTAGGTCACGTGATTAAAATAAAAGTTCTTTCAAATTTCAAGTTGTCGATGAAAACAAAAGAACAGAACAATATGTCCTTCGGTAAATTTTGCTTCCATTCGGTAAAAATCATTTTTTGGTAGTCAGCTGTAACAAAATAACGCCAAGATTTTAATTTATGTACTTAATGTATAGATTATGTATCTTCTTATCTTCTTTTCCTTAATGTTAAAAACGGAATTTTGAAAATGACGTTTCCGTCATTTTCCAGTGCCCTGAAAGGTGTGAAACTCCAATTAGTGTCTAACACCCCCCCCAACCATTGTTGCTTAATTCCGTCCCTGTATGCGAGAGACGAATTTGACTAATGACTTCTAAGATATACATATTATTTTATATTGATATTGTCAAATCACGAACCAATGTGGAATAGTTCACAAACAAAATCAGATACACTCTTGAGCTTATGCAATAAAACGCTCTCAACATTTCACTGAACATCTCTGAATATTTGTATAGTGATGTTTAGTCATGTTTAGTCATGTTTAGTCATGTTTAATAGGGATGTTAAAACGCTCTCAACAATTCGACTCAGCATTCGTTGAGCGATGAACTTCGGACTCTCAGAGATCCAAGACAGGGGAATCCGCTGTTTAGGTAGGGTGTTTTGGAAGATAAACTTCGGATGCTCTTTCCCTTAATAGTAGCTGCCTGATGCTTTCCTAAGGTCAGGATTTTGGTATTGCAACTTGCTTTGAATTGCTATCTCGTTCGATCTGCTTTCACTGCAAACTGTTTCCAAGCGTTCGTCATAGTTTGCCATTACGATTTATAAAGTTCAACTTCTCTGAGATCTTGATCCTTGCGCTTGCGCCGACCGAACATATGGGGTGTTAAAATGCTCTCAAATGTTGAGTCGACCCGCTGAACATTTTTGAATCTGTTCAAACTCCACTCAACATCGCTGAACACCGCCCAACACAACTCAACATAACTGAACAGGGTGTTAAAACGCTTTCAACATTTGCAGTCTACAAATGTTGAGCGATGTTCAGTGGAAAGTTGGGAGCGTTTTAACGGGGCTCTGTTGTTAGCTTGCGCAGACATTTGTATCGACCTTTGAGTCGTTGAATGAAATTTTTTATTATGGTGATGATATCACATAAATTTTCTCTGGGGCAACTTTTGGGAGGCTGTGGTACCCAGAACCCCTGGGATTGGTTGAGCTGACCAACATTTTTTCCACCCAAGCACACATACAAACAATAAAATTGAGTCAAACCTTTTGTAAAAAATGGGGTGAAATCTTCTGTGGTGGGCTCCAGGACTATAAAAACGTTTTGAAATATCTCTCATTCTCAATGCTAATTTTTCATGCTCTACTGTCTATTATTTTTACTGCTTAGCTACTATGACTAAAGACTAAAGCCCAACCGAAGACTAAAGCCCAATCCACACTGCTTCGCTTTTTGGAGGGTGGAAACAACTGGGTATCGGCCTGGGCTTATTTTCGTACAGTGGACAGGGCTTGTTCAAGGCTTGGATCTTGAGACATTCATCTTCAGCCTGAAACGGAGAGGTAGTTCTTAAAATGGGTCGACAGAAGTCCTCACCCTGCAGGTTTTTCCTGCCCCTTTAAAAACAATAAGGTTTTTCCTAATATGTAAATAAATAAAGCCAGGCCGTTTTTAGCATACTAGCTAGGAGGCGAAAGCCTAGCAGGCGATAGCCTCTGTTTAAACCAGTATCCCCCAGAATCTTTTTTTCGCTTAAAAAAAGGCTATTGTCCTGCACCTTGTCAAAAGAAAAGGCTTGCCCCCAGATAATTTTTTTTCGAAAAACCTATGAATAATAATAACGCTCGCCTGTCTGCATTCCTCTCTTGTTAGGAATGAGTGCAGCCATTGAAGGTAGTGTGTACACAGATAAAATGCCACTTGATAATGGATACCAGAGAAATTACATTGAACAATTACTCAGTTTCACGAAATGTTTCTATTACAACCTTGAAACATTTGCAAAGAAGCAATTCTTCTATGCATATGAAATTCAAAACTGTCATCTGTAGATGTTAAAAAGCATTTTGCACTTCTTCCATCACCGTTCCTGAACCTTGTTTTGTTTCTATAGAATAAAGAAACATTTCATCAGTTTTTATGTAGTTTAGTACTTAGTTTACTAACAAATTTCAAGAGGGCTCCTGCTGAAAGTATTATTTTCAATTAAAACTGTTATCATTTTCATTATCGAAAATTCTTTCTATGCATACTCAAAATCAGTCAAGCTGAGAAAACAAAATATATACGTACTAATTTTCATCTGGACTGGGTAATGGTCACTGACTTTTAAAGCCTGCAATTGAATTCGATTTTTTTATTCAAAGGAAAAAGTAAATGTGTATTTCATATGACGCAAGTAAAACCAAGCTTAACAAAGCTTGGTTGCCAAACTTGAAATTATCACGTTCAGGATAACTCCAAGATGACAAAAGCTACCTAAAAGCTACAAACAGCGTGAGAACTGGCGATGGAAAGGTATACAATGTAAATCAAGATTTTGATAAAACAGTGATCTTATAAGAAGCATTCCTCGAAATAAAACAAAGTGAAGCGAAGAAACGGATCAGTTCTTAACTCAGCGTCTCATTTCATGCGACAGGCATACAAATGGTTGATGTATACTCAATAAGCTTGACACAGAATTATTTTACAGAATTAATTACTTTGCTTTGAGAATTATTTCTACATCTTCTTATTTTTGGTGACAACCGATGAAATTTAGTGGGTTGTGATTTTGATATGGCATTTATAGAGCATAGACTGCCATAAAAGACAATACAGCATGGACTTCATAGAGAGATATTATATCATTTAAGAATGCACACGAGGGTCAACAATCCTTAAAAACATGTTGCTTACTCACCTCGCTAGAAGAAAGGCCAAACTCTGAATCAAAGTGAAAAACTGAAGGACTCAAAGGGTCAACTGCATCGATCATGTTTTGCCCAGCAACAACAAGCCTAAAAGGTATATGCGTCGTTACAAATTAAGGTGAACTGCGCATTTTTTCGAAAGACAAAATAAGCAGATCTGAAAATAGAATTCCTCGCTGCTAATTCCAGGCCTTAGAGTCGTCGGAATGATCCTTTATTAAAAGCACAAATGCTTTTCGAGTGAATCTTATATTGGTCGGATGTTAACAGAGGCGTAGATAGGAAAAGACGTAGAAAGGAAGTGTGGATTTTTCGACGGAAATCTAATAATAATTAACATTTTTCACTAATTCGAACGTCATTTTAGGCCAATAGAACTTAACTAATTCAAACAATAAACTCTCATACTTCATCATTCATATTACACAAACGTTTTTCTAGTCTTTTCCTTTAAATGATGTATTTGGAAATATCTTGAATCAATTTTGTAACACTTTCTCTGTTAATAGAGATGCACGCAAGGTTTTTAAGGGATCCTCGGTCATAGCAATTTTTTAAATGAGTCCTTTGGACTCTCAAAACTGTGACTCTTGAAGGTCCTAGAAAGATATTCCCTGTAGTGCTGAAAAATACATCATATGTTATTTTTGAAAATTGTCAATTGAAAGGCAGCTACTTGCCGGTCTAGACGAAAGTATGCTACACTCTTTTTTAGAAGTGCAAGTCAATACATCAATTCAACTTACAGCCTCATTTTGAAAAATTCTTTATATTGTTCTGGACAAATTTTTTGACCCAGATTCGGATCGAGAGAAAAGTTATTAGTCTCTTTTGAAGTTTTCATTAAGTTTCTGTTCACAATATTGATTTAATGACAGCAAAAGATAAAATTTTAATAAGATTTGACCGTGATTGGCTACTAGGGGGGTAAAATTTCACCCGGAATGATTTTTAGCTCACCAAATCTAAGCTTAAAAAAAATCGTATAATAAAGTTTGAAGAAATTTCTTAATTTTCCGGATGAGTTGTTTTCATTTGTTCTTAAATCATTAGGATTTTTATCACGTGACCTCTATGGGGCGTGTCCATTCAATTTGAGATAAAGGCTAGACATTTTTGTCTTTTCTTTCAGGGGCAAATCTTCCTATAATTCATTGGGGGCTTCGACAGAATTCTTATCTTTACCAAGGCTAATTTCACTATTATTCACTTGGAGTTTTAACAGAATTCTTGTCTTTTCCGAGGGAAATTTATCCTCGTGGCTGTAAGGGCTGCAGCGTGCCCGCGTAGCGGGCGTAACTGGGGCTAGTCGCTAGCTATTGTACTCAAGGGTAGTGTTCAGACGCCATTCGCCAACAAAGTGAGTGATACATCCTTTACTTGCCGACACGCTTGAAAATTCACCCACAAAGCACCCGAAGAAATGGCAGTTTAGCCTTACAGTACGGTTTTTCGCCTCCTTACCCTCCTCTGTCTATTCCACTGGACGTGACGTTTCTTTCTTTGCCAGATGATAAGCCGCCAGTTTGTTAAGTTAAGATTTAAAACATTTTGAAAATATGTTTTTTTGTTTTAATAACAAGCATAAATTACAAGCAAATTTACCTATCGTAGGGACATTTTCTGGTGCTTAGTGTGGTATCTTCATCATCTTTAATGAGCCAACGGAATCTGTGATCAGTTGCCAATCTAATGGATGACCAGTCACTCACGTAGCTGCATCCTGCATTGAAGTCGCCCATGATTATTGCGTCACTCGTGCCCAGGTAATCTTTTGCATCGTCATAGACGTCGACAAGAAGATCAATCTCCGATTCAGTGATACTTCCTTTATCATCTGGACGTGTGTGAATGCCAATCGCAATAAACGGTGCTAAAGTAGAAAGTTTCTTGAATTAATTATCATACTTTCAGGAACATAAATGATCTATTAGCTTTGACATAGTAGGTTGCAAATCGAAATTAAAGTGTTCTGACGCTGAATTCCGTAAGGATTTCTTTTAGTTTTCATGTTAATAAAATAGTCATATTTTCCTCACTTTAGATAGAATAGTTGCTGTGGGAATTCAATGGTTGTTGTTGCATCCATTTGCATCAAAAATTGATTTTGACTCTGGTTCCTGGTTTAGCACCAAATCTTTGCATATCGTAAGTTGATTTAATCTAATAATCTTAATTAAACATATGCGATAATAGAATAATTCAGTATAATATTTGGTGGTTTTACCCAAGATATCGCTTTTGAATTCGACCACAAACGGCGGCCTTTCAAACCCAGTTTTTTTTTTCTTTGCTGGATTTTTCGTTTCTCTACTTCCATAAACATATTTTCTACCAACGGTGAAGATATCTGATCTATAAACAAGATATCAGTAAAAAAAGATCAAAAGAACAGATTAAAATTGAAAGCATGAAAGACTTTAAAGAGCAAGATTTTTGTCTGATGTCTCCGATATACGTTGGGAGCATATGTTCCAGCTAAGCTATAATCAATCACTGCCAAAAGTCTTGGAACACTAACGTAGGTTTTCAAAGGCAAATTCAGCCATCCCCCTCTCCCCCTAGGAACAATGTTGATTTACTATAGAAAAAAGAAAGGGGTTATGGAGTACGCTTTTTCTTGTGGATTGTTTGGTATTTTTCTATACTTTCAAGATTGTTTTGGGGGGGAAGGGGGACGGAAGTGGTAGTATTCAAGAAAATAAATGAAAAATAGAAAAGCACAGCGCAAAGTGTTAGGTGTTCCAAGTAATTTTGGCAGTGATTGTATAATGTAAATACGCTTGCCAATGATTGGCCACCTTTGTTTTCTTCGCTTATCGAAAAACATGCTCCGCTAAGGAAAACGCGGGTCTCAGAAAGATACTGCCCTTTGATTGAAAAACACCACAAGGTTCTGATAACTGATGACAAGGGTCTGAGGATTTGGATCATAAAGTTGCTCTCGTGTAACAGTCAGGTTCGCTTCTATGCGCTGGGATTATAATAAAGATTTAGAATGGCGACAGCACAAGATACAGATGATTATGAGACTGAATCTGGAATTCTGATAGGTAAGGAAGATTTGGAGAATTTTGTATTAGCTGAAATAACAAAGTTACGTGAGAAAAACCAACGCGCTGACTCCGCCAAAATTTGCAAGGCCCTCAACAAGACGCATGGCCTAAATCAAAGCATGTTTGAGACAACATTGGATTGCATGCTGAAGCAAGAAAAGATAAAAGATACCCCTCATAGTGGACGGGAGTCTCTGCAAATACAGCCTGTATTTAATGAAGCAGAGGAAATTAGAAGCGAAGAAATATCATCAGAAGAAGTGAAGGAAAGGCAGGGAAGGTTATCGCCACTGGGTACGAAGAAATTATATCACACGAAGACCATGGCAGAGTTCCGTTTCTCTCAGATGGAGTAGTCGAAATTACATCACATGAAGAACAGACAAGTCGAAATACTTTTGCGCGTATTTTGGACAGATTGGAAAAAGTTGAGAGGCGGATGGAAGAAATTAAAAATAAAGGCCAAAAAATCCAAAACCGAAGAAATAAAAAAAATTGATTTTACCATGTTTTTCTCTAAAATTAGTCAACTTGAACATGAGAAAAAATCTCTACTTGATGAAAACGCTGGCCTAAAGCTAACACATAGTTGAAGGAGAAGATTACGTCATTTAAAATTTGTGAATTCGCTGTTAGACCATCGCCCCAGTGGAATATAGCTGATTCAAACATACAAACGAAGCATGCAGCTGATAAATGGAAAGTACATACAATGTCCAAATCACAGAATCAAGGCTCAGAGTGGAGAAAAAATATCGATGAAAAGGGCTTTCCTTTGAAACAGCCTCTGGAGACAGCGAACAGATTCAGCTGCCTGGACACCTTAACAACAGAAGAGTGTTCAACACAACTCCCAAATGACAGAGAGTACTCAGCCGTTGTAGATAGTCGGGGGTTTCCTAGAACAACGAGCAACGCAGGTGATAAACTCGAAAAGGGTATTGATGAACAAAACAAGGATGAATCAAGGCAACACGCCAATAAAACTGTATGTGAAGATCCAAGGAGGCCTAGAAGCCCTAGAAAGCCAGCTTTCTCTATTCTCGGCGACTCTATGGTAAAGAAGATCAGGAGGCAAGATCTAAATACCGAAGTTCCATACGCCAAAACATCAATAAAAACTTTTCCCGGTGCCATAAAAGATCAAATGAAATCATATATCAAGCCTACTATAGACGACAAGCCAGACGGAATACTTCTCGTATGTGGAACAAACAACCTACGCTCCGAAGTTCCCGAAGTAATAGCAAATAAATTAATAGAATTGACCACAGAGGCGAAAAAAGGCGTGAGAAATGTTGCTGTTTCCAGTATCATAAAAAGGGGAGATTCGTATGAATTTGAGATCAAGTCAAGAGAGGTAAATGACTTAGTCAAGGGAGGACTTTCTAGAAGCAAAATAAGCTTTATCGAACATGAAAATATTGAAAATAGACAAACAATCTTTTGGTGGTACAAAATTCGAAAATGGCTTTTCGCCTGACACTCTTCAGAGTTCAAAACGTCAGAACATAGACCGAAAACTCTACGCTAGGAAATATATATACCCAGTTGTGGATCGAAATAGGCCAATCAGAAACACGAGCACATGACTGTTGAGGTTGACCAATCAGTGCCGCTTACCTATTGAGAATGTTACCAATGGAGTCCTAAGGTGAACGAAATCCTTTTTCTACACAGTAGCGGTTTTTTCGTGCTTATGTAGATAGATTCCAAAACTGCTAGGTGGAACGACGATCGGGCTTTACCAATAAAATAGACACCTTGATAAATCGGGACTTCACCTGAACTACCAAGGAAATAGTAGCTGGGAACCTCATAAATTTTTTAAACGGTTTGTGACTAACAGTTTCAGAAGAGACATGTAACATTGAAATGGCCCATACATCCATTTTAATTAACCAAATCGAAAACCATGACATATATCTTCATGCTAGGGTCTATCACAGCCCAGCTGAACATATCGATTCGACTTCGTGTTCCGAATGCATATCAGCTATCTACTCTAGTAACGCGAGTTCCCTTAATGTTCGTAAAAGCGATTCTTCTTCATCCATACATGACAGTGAAACAGAAAATGAAATAGATAGGCTTTTTCAGCTAAAAAGAAAATATCACAAGAATCCACATCTTGCTTTCCTGAACATAAATAGCCTCAGGTATAAAATAATAAATCTCAGAGAAATCGCAGAACGATGCCTACCTGATGTTTTAGTGATTGAAGAGACGAAATTGAGCAGAGACTTTAAAACAGAGCTATTTACAATAAAAAAAAATCAATGCCCAATGCGCTGCGACAGGAATGAGTTCGGAGGAGGGCTTATGCAATATGTGAGAAAGGGGTGGTTTGTAATCGCCTTACCGCCTTCGAAACCCCGAAATGTCGAATTGATATGTTCAGAACTCACTATCTGCAAGAAAAGGTGGATAGTTTTTGCAGTCTATCGACCCCCAGATTCGGGAACCTGAATAACTTCTTCAATTAATCATCTAGCTCTGTGAATTCGGCTCTAGAGAAATACGAACATTGTTTTGGGTGATCTGAACATTGACACCCAAAACGAGCAACACCCGGGCTATAACTAGCCTGCGTGTAGCCTCTACTGTTAATGCGGAGGAAGACGGAGGGGAGGAGGAAAGAGCGCAAATCTGGAGAGATTTATGCTCTAATATATGTGTAATCTTTTCACAGAAAAATCCAAGTTAACTTCTAGGAATTTTGGGAATACATCAACTGACCTAACGCTATCGAAGAAAAACTCTAAAGATGGACAGAAATGCTTCTCTTTTAGAGGTTTTAGGTCTTGGAATGGCCTCTCAGCTGAGTGTAAACAGGTATCTTCTCTGAGAAACTTACAAAAATATCTTGCACATTTGTAAATAGGTGTTTACGATTTGCCCTTTATTGTAAATGTTTATTTTGAAATAATAAAATTCAGATAAAAATAGGATTTGTTACATTTTGTATATATTGGATTGTAATTGAGTTTTTTGTAAGTATTTTAATTGGAGGGCCCCTCGAAAATCAGCATTGCTGAAGAGCTACCCTTTTTAACCATTGGGAATGAAATGAAATGAGCCATTTCAGTATTTTCAATCATAGTGAATCATTGATTAATTACTGAAACAATCATCTGAAATGGGTTACCTGTACAGAAATGCGTATTGCTCTTTGCTGATTGAATTTCCAAGTCGTTCACTCTCTTCCAATTGATAAGTATTCTTAACTCTGAAAAATATCAGTATTAGACACCTGGAAATTCAATTTTCTATCTTCATCACGATTTAGTTTAATACAACTTGATAGGAATCACAAATTTAGCCGTTTGCTCAGGGCCGTCGCTGGCGGGAGGGGGCGGGGGTGCTACCCGATCTTCATCTAAAGTTTAGGGAAAAGTCAAAATTTATTGAAAAGCTCTAAGTGCAAATCCTTGAGATACTGGAAGATGGAAGCTCTTATCAGCAGGGCCGCCGAGAGGAGGGGCAAGGAGGCAAAGTGTCCCGGGGCCTCGAGGTCTAGGGGTCCTCGTAGAGTAATGAATTCGATTTTAAGAATGGAATTAGTGAAACTTGGCAAGAAGTATGCCTAAAAATAGTAAAACATTCCAAACGATTGCCAGAAATGACCGCAAAAAATATTCTGAATTTCATTTTAAGATAGTTTAAAGAGCGTGGTCGCAAAAATTGCTGCCCGCTCCACTCGCAGGGGGCCTCGTCTTTCAGTTTTCCCTATATGGCCCCCTAATCCTCTCGGCGGCCCTGTCTCTGTGATCTGCTCATACAAACTAAGGTTTTATTTACACGTGCTGAGTTATCTGAATGAATGAGGGTATCTCATTGCTGAAAACTTGACTTCTAGAGCAAAATCAAAAAAAGTACTCTCAGGTACTCAGACAAAGGAAATTGCGACGCAAAAATCGAAGCAATGATTGACTGACGAGAACATACTTTTTGATAAATGAAGCCAACTGCGTCAAAATGCCACACCCAAAAAGTGATATATTTAGGCTACGCCCTACTTTGTCGGCAAGTTGACGACTGGCATCCCCTTAAGTGAAAGTGTTTAGCGATGGCCCTGCGTTTGCTCGGTAAATCAACTCAAGGTGGAGGGTAGGTGTAGTACTGATAAAGAATCCTTACAACCTTTCGTTGACGGCTGTCAGCAGCTCCTGAATGGCTGTTTGTGATGAATCGCGGATTTCTTGGATCAAAATTAAATCATAGCGGAGAACAATCTGAAAGAATGTAATAAAGAACTATTTTCTTTTTTTCTTCACTTCATAAGTACTTATTTAGTAAGTTAAAAATGACGTTTGCTATCTCGAACTCTAAAGGGAATCGATTACTATTGCCCAATTTCATTAAAAAACTCAACTAGAGTCATGTCGCCCCTTATGGAACGATTTCATTTTTACATGAATTCTGACTGGGCAATGATAAATACTTATATCAAGGAGTTTGGGTATGTTTGTCTTCAAAAAACGCGCGAAATTATTGTGCTGACGACATTACTTGTACTTTTTGCTAATTATCGTTGTTTCATTTTGCTAATAAAAGCTAGGAGAATCTTTTAAAAGTTAGCGGAATTTAAATGGAAAAGTTGTCGGTAGACCTTCGACTCTTCTTTTTTTCCTGCACCTCAACTTTCTTGGCCATTACCTCGGTTAGCTAAAACAAAACAAACCACGAAGAAAGTGGCCTGTAGTAGTGTTGCTTGTGAAGAAAGAGAGAGAAGCCGATAGGACTGTCTTTACTCAGGCATGTAGATTGAACAACAAAGAATGTGTTTGTAGTACGTTGATTTTAATAGGAAGTACTAAAAGGAGAGGAAAACAATTTTTACTGAAATCGTTCCAAAGGGGGCGACATGACTCTACATAAACCATTTAATTGTCAGTTCTGCATTATCTTTGACTGGAATGATGATAACGCAGCATCTCCGTACTCTTAATACAGGCATTACCCAGACGCCACCTCCTCCGTGGCATTTTGAAAATCAGCTTCTTGTTGTAGGACCATCATTAGAATTTTCAAGAAAAATAGAATCATTGAGAGTTCGAGACAGCAAATCTTTGAGAGAAGGGGCTGTCAAGATAGCATATGTCGGCTGTTTTTATGGGTCAGTTTAAAAGTACATTGCTGTCAGATTGAAAGTAAATCAGTGTGCGCTATTATCGTTTCAGGTAAGGCAGAAAAGGCCAATGCTAGTGCTGTACGGTTTATGTCATGTTCTTCTTCTGAGAGACTGACGGTCACTTTTGGGAAGCGGAGGTAGGATTTCTTGTTATATGTTCCGTTTGATTGATCAATTTTCCGCAAGGCAGTCCCAAACCTTTATAAAAATAATGACAACGAGATGTGGTATGAATGTGGCACCACATTTTGGTGTGACACCTATTGGGTATGACACTGGTGTTGCACTCAGCCGTATGCCCACCACTAATTTGACACCAGGCATCTAATCACTACCCTGAAAAACGGTCAAGTATAGAATGCTACTGAGCTGAAAGACAATGCTTTATTACCTTCACGAGTGTGTCCATTATCTTCGCCTCTGACGCCTTCTTTTTGCCGAAAATTTGTACGTTGAATGCTGCAATGTCAATAGTTCTCGGGTCATTTTCTTCACCAACTGTGGCCACAACCCTAGAAAATAGCAATGGTTCTGTCAGGTGATGGATACATGGCGTCAGTGACGAAACCAGTCATTTTTCTGCTTAACGTCGGTCACATACTCGTTTGCCAAACTTCACCTGAAACTGCTAGCAAATTTGTGTCGCAATAGGTAAAGCAAATGCTTCCATATTTTGGAGGCTTCCGTGGAAAAACATTTAGATAGGTAGGTCCCTTACTTTGTCGATCCTCCTGTTGAAATTTTCCTTTAAATGGCTCGGTTGTAGCCCTAGATAATTGTAAAACCGGGACTAAGGTCCTGCGGCGTTAATTTATGATAATGAAACTTTCATTTCCAGTTCAATTAAAACAAAAATTGCAAATTTCACTATTTCAAAGATAATTTGCAACTGGGTAGCCTGGGTTTACAAAGGACAAGACTATTACAAGCACAAACAAAATAAATTAAGAAAAACTGTGTTCGTCTTTCTTTTCTTTGAAAGCTGTCAGTAGCAGAAATCGTTAGAATTGAAGAAGTTCAGGATTATTCCAAGACTTGTTTTTGCGGCAGAAAATGTAATAGGTAGTACGGATAGTTAAGTTGGATAGTTTGAAGATCATGAAGCGGAGATGATTCTCGCTGATATCTAGAGCGTTGCACATGTCGATGAAAGAGGAGCAGGAGAGACCAAAGATACCCAGGGAACTGATAGAAAGATGAACAAACATGATAGAAGAATAGGCTGAGCTTAGGCTGTGAACGAGATGCGAGTATTTCTCTCTTTTGCTGTTAATATTAACATCCAATTTCGTATCCTACTGTAAGCTCGAGTATGAATAGGCGATGGTCAGAAGTGACTAGAAGTAGATCCGGGCGGAAAGAGTCTACTGTTATGATAGAGGGTGAGAGATAACTTGAAAGGTCTATGTAAAGAGACCAATTAGGTCTAGCTTCAAAAGACTGCTAGGAAATTTAATGCAGAGTTATGGCGCCATGTGTAACGGCCTTCTTCAAAGTATGTTTTGCAGCCTGCAACAATGTGAAGTAACGTTTCTGGCATATGGCAAAAAGAGCAATCGGACGACTGAGTAATGTTCCATTTAGATAGGTTTTTCGCGTGGCAAGGGAGTTATTTGATAGTAAAACTGTAAATGTTCTTGGGCATGTTGCTTTGAACGGTAGTCCATATTTTAGAGGCCATAAGAGAACGTTGTCAAAGATGAAGTAAAGAACGTTACCTTGAGACATAAGATGGTTTTGAAGGCGCTCTTTATGTTTTGATCTAACAGCCTTCAATACTTCTCTAGTATTCCTGTAAACATCATATTGGATGTTCATGCTCTGGCTGGTATTCTTTCACAAAGATCGGATGTTTTTGTTTGGAGAAGATTGTAGTGCATCACGATAAACAGTTTGAAACTGTATGAATTTAACTGAAGGAAGAATCAAATTAAGACTGAACTGGTTTTTTGACAGAATAATGCCACTTAAAGTAGCACTTATGGGTAAATCGAGCTGACGGTGGATAAATGCAGAAACTTGATTATCAAGATTTTCGACGATGCAGGTTTTTGATAGATCGGCTACTGTGAGGTGCCACGAAACTTGTGAGAGAAGATAGCTGTTATAAATAACCAGCTTATTCTTTGGATGGAGAGGTAAAGAATCAATTTGCATTAGAAGTTCTGTGAAGATGGAGCTGAGCTTAGACATATGTTCTTGGTTGCTCATATGAAAGTCGAAGTGACGCCCAAGATAGTTAAAAGACTCTCCAGTTATGACAGGAGGGACCATTTCATTATTGACGAAGAGCTTTGGCTGAAATTGTAGGGAGCGTGTTGAGAATTTTTTAATGCCAAAGGTTGTGCATGTTAGACCATTGAAACCATCTTGTAAAGCAATTTAAGAGTAGCTGGTTTTCTTTCTCCCCGCTCGCAATGACTGCAGCATCGTCTGCAAAATGAAACCAGTGCTCTGGGGTGAACATGCAGTCTAGTTGGCTATTGGGAGAGAAACCAAGTTGTTTGAATTTTTCTTCCTTTATAAATTGAATGAAAGTGTTAAAGCACATATTAAATAGAAGGAATAGTAGGGGTAACAAGTTTATCGGTGATAATAGAGATTTTAAAATTTATGTAAAGACTTGAAATCAGGAACTAGATGTTTTCTGGTACGTTGTTATAAGACAGAACAGATTTGATTAGATTGTGATGAACCTCTCCGAATGCATTTTTTAGATCCAACAATTTTATGACTAGAGACCGTTGTTTTATTCGAATTATTCTACAGGATAATCTTTCAGTGCCAAATCGCACTGTTATCAACAGTGTCCTGTTCTTAAAGGTAAAAGAAAAATCTTACAAAACGATAAAAACATTAAAAAGATTAAAAATATAGGTAAAAATACCATTAAAATCAGTTGAAAATATATTCCTATTTATATTTATGTGCTTCTAACGCATTTTTAACAATAGCTCTATATCGAGCATTCCTAATTTCAGGGGTTAATGCCATATATGTCTTTGCAGCAAGATAACTAAATCTTTTTCTTGCAGTCTCGAGCTTTATGCATTCCGAAAAATGATTTAGAATCAAATATTTTTTGAATTATGATATATGTAGATATAGGTACTAAATCCAAGGGACTCCTCCATGGGGAAACTTATTCCAAGGTGAAATCGAAAAACTTTGCATTTACAACTCACCCAAAATGGAAGCAAAGAAAAAGTACATTAACGAAAGTCGTACCATCAGTCATAGCATGGACTCTAATAAGACTGTTTCATTAACCTTTAGATTCTTAACAGTATTTTTTTTCATGTGTTCCGAAAAATTATATAGAATCAAACATTCCTCTGATGGATATAATACTAATGGATATCAATAAAAAAACTGGTTACTATGAGGTAGCACTTTTTCATTTAGAAATCATAGTACTTCTGTTCTTAAAAAACTGAAGCAATTACAATATAATGACACCAAATGGATATACCAAAAGACTTTGAAGAAATCTAATTGGGTATGTGTTTGATTTTGATGTGTTGCACCATGCTTCCTATCTGTTCATCACACACGTAGATATGTATAAGAAATCTTAAAGGTACTAAAGCATTTTTGTTACATAAAGCATTTTTGTGACTTACCCGCAAGATATTGTGAAAATTAGAGCTGCAAACCAAAGAACATTAGATACCGTCATGTTGCGATCTGGTCTACTGCAAACTGAAACGTTTTCATATGGGGATAACATTTAAAAGATACAAGGCTGAATAGACCACATGTAGCAAAAACTTTGAAAGGTAATTAATTGCTGCCCTTTGTAAGGATCACAGATTAACATGCGGTCTTTGAGGATCAGTGGCTGATATGCTAGATTCCAAGAAAATTGTGCAAATATCTAACAACAATGGATACCCGTACAGGTGGCAAAGTGGCGATCGAACCCCTGGCCCTCAGACATGTGAAGTAAAAAAATTACGGGCCTTTTCTGCAAATGTTGAAGAAGATCATTTTCATAAAATGTGATATTCCAGCACAGCCAAGGTCAATGCACGCTGGCTTCACAGCTACGCAGGAGAATGAAGTCTGCGCTCAGGCCACATGGCCCAACTAAGACCAACATCCACTATACAGAAAAACTATGTCAGTTTTAGCATAGCGTAGGTCTCACCTTGCTTGGTAAAGGCACAAAACAAGTAGACTGTTTTATTTTCCTAGCCCTCCCTCCCTCACTTTGTTTTTTATGTGAAATGCCTTTTCAGTATAGCTTTGCGTGTTAAGTTTCTTTTTCGGCGTTGTTTGAAGCCTCTCATACCTTTAGGCATCTTTTATGCTACTTAGTGTTTACTGATGTTATTAGGTAGGACTGGTATTTCAGCTATTAGTGAGGAAAGGAGGCTTTTCCTGTCCATTCCCTCCTAATTATCAATTATATTTGGGGATTATTGTGTAACTTCCCCTGGGAACCCTTTTTAGACAATGACTTATAGTAGGTTGAGCGATTTGCGCCGATGCACCAACGGCCCATCTCACTCTCGATGATGTTGGAACGTAGCCTCATGACTGTCCTTCTGATGTCTTTGCCCTTTATATTGACTGGTATTTCATTCTTGACTAAGTAAATTAAAGTGAAAATCATGAATTTTGGGCGAAAAACATTTCTATTCAACTGACGTTTCCCTCTAATTTCATTCCACACGATACCAACAAAACAACGAAAACAATATCAAAATTTGTTCAAAACAATCAATCCTCATCAAAGTTTCCAGGAGGATCAACAGCAAAGAAGTATTGTTACTAGGATTACTATTCAACTAGAAGTACTAAGATTGTTACTTTGGACTGTAATCAGATTTCTTGGAGTTACAAATAGAGCTGTTGGTTTGTTGTTTTTTTTGCAAAGTTTAACTGTATAGAATCCTTGATTCAAATAGAGTACAGCACCAATCAATAATTGATTTGGACAAAGCGTGTTTTGGCTATGCTCTCGTTAGTGGGTGTGACTCACACCCTGAACTTGGCTCTTTTTGTTTGCTAGCCACCCTACAATTATGATGCCAGACTGCACCTGCACCCATACTTTTCATGGGTCATGTACATGTGGAATGTACACCTTTTGAGCTTCATATTCCCCAATTCAGATTAGTGATGATTAACACCTGCCTTTATGAAGTGTTTCCAAATTAATTACATGTGTAAAACGCAGGTCATGCAGGTGAAGAAATCTGAAGATTGGCTGCGAATACGCCAAAAAAATGCGCAGAACTTGGCGCAGAAGTAGAGATTAGAAAATTTGGTGCGTGCTTGCTGCGAATAATTCGCTTCGAAAAAATTTAGAAACCATTCCTCCATTTTCTCTGCGAAATTGTTCAAGTTGTAGAATAAACCAATCAGAACAGCATTTGAAGACACCTGACTTCTGTTTTGGTTTCAGATGGCCTACGTCTTTCCACATTCTTGTTCTCAGACACTCTCGCCTATAAAACGTCAATAAAATGGGTTGGTAATTATCCTGCTCCTTGTACACAATCCATGTAAATGGATTCATATCAGATTATTACTCAAACATTTAAATTTCAAATTGAGGAAAACTGACTATCGTTCTACCAATAGGTCAGAAATAAACAATCGGCAAGAATTTCTTCAAAACTCTGATTTGTTGGCTGCTTATTTGCCTGCTCAACAGTCGCTATATTATTTTGTAATATTTGCAGCAAACTCGTATAAATATTTCTGCCAGTGTGAATTGAACTTCGAATTCGAGAGAAAAATTCGAGTATTGTCAATTAGGCTTTACGGCCTATTGACGAATACTGGGTTAACAAAAGTGAATGCGGAGGAGATGAGAGAGAAACTACTCAAACGTTCTAGCCCAGCAGTGGTGCAGTGCTTCCAATATTCTGAAACTCTGGCAACAAGGTTTCTGAGACCAGTGGTTGAAAGGTTTTCTCTGTTGTTTCAGATTTTCTATGTTTGATTTGGAAGAGAACATCTGCTTATGCAAGAGACAATTTTTACTAATGTCTTCTAAGGTACTGTCAAATCATGTACCGATATGGAAAAGTTTACCAGCTAATATAATTGAACAAACAAATTCATATACACTCTGAGCTCATGCAAAACACATCTCTAAGCGAATTAATGCCGTTGTTGGCTTGCGCAGACATGTGTATCGATTATGATGATGATAATGACATTTTACTGGGCACATGGCTTTGACTAGGATTTTTTCCACGAGGCCATCAGCGGATTTACTTATAATCCCGTTGTTTTTGTTAACGTTTTTGTATTTTACAACTTTTGGAAACAACAATCATATCATAAACAACAAATGCTTTTTGGTTTATAGAACAGGACGGTTCTAAGTTGCTACTCCCCGAGTTTAACGCTTAATGCGTTCATCAGAAAAGTGTTTAACAACGTTTACAGCTCTGCATATACGGCATCCAGCACTTAATGACAGATCGGTAAACAGTAAATGCATAAACAACTAAAATGAATGAAATGTCACAATTAATTTTATGCCGAAAAATATTTTTGAGTTGAAAATTGAAACACTCTCGCTCATTGCACACCGGGTTATCATTCATCATTTGCAATTTTTAAATTATTTTAAAAAGTTTTAAATACTATCTTTGCAAAAAATTTTGTCTCCTTTGTATTTTGTTTTGTTTTTTGCAACATGCTGCCAGAATTCTGTCAAATTTTGCTTCTTCGGCCAAATGAATTTATGACGGCCAAGGGGTTTTGAGAAACTGCCAAAATAGAGAAATTTGGCCATCAAACAATGGATCTAAATTGCCTTTTTGTTTATGAAGCATAAGTACACTGGGTTGTCGAAAAGGCCAAATTGCAACTCTGGCCACTTTTGATATTCTGAGCATGCATTGGCCTCCTTCTCGAGCAGGGTTGCCTTGATTTGAAATTTAGCATAATTTTTGCAAATCTAACACTATCTTGTGAAAAATTTGCCATAATTCCAAAATTGAGATCTGGTCACACTGGCGGGTGCGTGGTGTCTGCATTACAAACAAGATCATGCCTTCAAACTGGGCGAAAAGAGAATAAGAAGAAACAAGCACAATTTGTACATCAGCGAGAGAAGAGTTTTTTTTTGCCATCTGTAACGAGGTTCTCGTTTATAGTATCAAACCTTTTTGAAGAACAAATTTGATGGCAAAGAATTTGATGGGCTGAGTGCAATTAAGAACTTTCCATAAGTAAATTTTGAGAAATTAACGACTAAGATCGCAGAGATCTGAGACTTGTTTTCAGAGGAATTCTACCAGACGAGACAATGGCTCGGATTCTCGCAGCAAACCCTAATCCTGTCCATGCAGAAAGGCTGATTCTCACCTACAACAAGATAGAAGCAGGTGGGGAAAGCAGCATAGCTCCAGAAAAACTTAACAAAGATATGAATATTACAATAAATATGCTTGATCTCGCAAGATATGGCTCCCAAAAACCGAAAAACACCAAAGTCTGGCAAGCAAGGCAGATTTAAAGGAGTTTTAAAAGGTGAAAGGAAATAAAAATTAACTTTAACAGAGACCCGAACAAACCACGTGAAAGAGTTTTCTTTTGATAACTTTTTGCTGACATATTAAGACATCGCTATATGTAGCTAATTTTCATATTAACCGAGTCCATTTATTGTAAAGAATCAGCTTTTGCTACTTATACTTCATTCAAGAATTTGCCCATTTAGGACATGCTATTTGCACTATGATGGCAGTTTCTATATTTGCAACCCCCATGGTGCCAATCCCAGCAAAGTAACACGCCCAATTTTTACAAAAATGTGGATCTGTAAAAATTTCTTATTTAAGGCCCTGGACTAGGGACAGACTGAAAAAATTAGCAGCAAAGTCTCCTGAAATGTGGTCAGCTTATACTAGGCAACGGTATAGAGTAACGAAAGAAGTTAGGCACTCTATTCGGGATTATTGCGAAGTTTTGATTGAGAAAATAAAGGGGATCCAAAGAAAATGTGGAAACAATAAACAGAGTCTTGAATAGAGATATTAAATCCACAGCAGTCTCAAGTATCGAAATAGATGGCAAAATGTTGACAAAACAACCTGATGTGCTTGAAATGTTACTTTATCTTTTTGTCTCGGTTTGACCAAAGCTCGCAAATAGCATAGAAACGAGACCAAATGATAACTGCTTGCAACATATCACACGAGTAAACAAGGAAATGCAGTTCAAAACAGTCGATAAAACGTATGTTTTGGATGCTATCAATCAGCTGAAGAACAGAAAAGCGCCCGGTCCTTACTGAGTTACCGTGACTTTGGTGAAAGATGCGAGGGAATTTATCGCTCACCCCCTTATGCTGATTTATAACTCATCACTCGAGAATGTCATCCCAATTTATTGATCTGGACCAAAAACTGATCTAAATAACTACAGGCCAATCTCTGTAATCTCAGTGTTCTCAAAATTGCTAGAACGGCTAACACATGATCAGCTTTGTGAGTTTCTTAAAAGCAATGAGAGTATTACATGCAGCCAAGCAGCTTTTCGGAAGTTATACTCCACGATAACATCACTGATACGCAGCACAGACTTCTGGTATGAAAATATTGATCGCAACAATGTAAATCTTAAAGTTCTTCTTGATCTTAAGAAAGCTTTCGATACGGTCGATCACGATGTATTGCTAAAAAAATGTGTGCACACGGAATAAGAGGCAAAGCTGGTAACTGGTTTGAATTCTACGTAAATAATAGAAAGCAGTAAGTTTTGCTCTCTGAATGGTCAGCATTCAAAAGCCAGACATGTAACCTGTGGTATTCCCCAAGGTTCTGGTTTGGGCCCTCTTCTTTTCATCATTTACTTGAATGACTTGGAAAAGTGTCTAAAATTCTCCAAGGCTAGCATCTATGCTGACGATACCAATGTAACGATTGCACCGGATTTTAGCATACTAGCTAGGAGGCAATAGCCTAGCAGGCAGTAGCCATTATCCCCAAGAATCTTTACTTTGCTTCAAAAAAGGCTATTGTCCTGCTCTTTGTCAAAAGAAAAGGCTTGCCCCCAGATAATTTTCCTTCGAAAAACCTATGAATAATGATAATGCTCGCCTGTTTGCATTCCTCTCTTGTCACGACTGAGTGCAGCCATTGAAGGTAGTGTGTACACAGATAAAATGCCACTTGATAATGGATACCAGAGAAATAATATTGAAAAATTTCTCAGTTACACGAAATTTTTCCATTACAACCTTGAAACTTAAAGACATTTGCAAAGAAGAAATTCTTCTATACACACAAAATTCAACACTGTCATCTGTAGGTGTTAAAAAGCATTTTGCACTTCTTCCATCACCATGCATCTCTTTTTTGCGATTTCACATTTTGCGCTGACCGTGTAGAGCCGCGGGACCCCTTGATAATAATCCCGAAGTGTGAAGTACACACCGTTGTTCTTTGGCAGGAACTTAACCATTGAGATATCCTTCAGTTGTCGTTCTGCAGAGCTGATTTGAATTGAGCTAACGAACGGATCCATATCTGTCTTCAGTTTTTTTAGGTTTACGATACCTTGAGCGAGGTCTGAAGCTTGGAATTTCAGTAGGAATCCCAGAAGAGTTCCTGTTGCACCAAAGAGGCGTTCCACGATGTACCCTTGAGGATTCAGTGGTACCGTAGGAATGGCAGTGATGCTTCCTTTGTCTTCTACCTTAATCATCCTTGTAAGTGAAGTTCTTTCTGAATCTTGTTTTGTTCCTATAGAATAAAGAAACATTTCCTCAGTTTTTATGTAGTCTATGTAGTATTCAAATTTCAAGACGGCTCCTGCTGAAAGTATCATTTTCATTGAAAACTGTTATCATTTTCGTTATCGAAAATTCTTTCTATGCATCCTTAAAACAAAAATATATACATACGAATTTTCATCTGGACTGGGTAATGGTCACTGACTTTTAAAGCCTGCAATTGAATTCAATCTTTCAATCAAAGCAATTCGTAAATGTGTATTTCATATGACGCAAGTAAAACCAAGCTTATCAAAGCTTGGTTGCCAAAATTGAAGTTATCACGTTCTGGAGTGAACTCTTAAGAAACTTAAGAAGCATTCCTCTTGGTAACTAAAGCAAAGTAATGCAAAAAAAACGGATCATTTCTTAACTCGGTGTCTCATTTCATGCGACAGACATGCAAAAGGCTGATACATTAGCAATAAAAAATTTTATCAGATAAATTTTTGGCGGTTAAACTTCGTCGAAAAAAATTTCGGACAATTTTTCAGAATTTCGTCGCGACAAAATTTCGTTGTAGATTTTTAACACAGGAGCCAACATCATAAGAGGCAAAACCATACAGTTTGTTTCAAATTCCGACTCCCTGGAGACTTTGAGGGCTTTGGCACCCGTTCGGGATCGGGCTTATCCTCCCAGGCAGCTTTCTAACACAGAACAGCATTTCAGGAAAATTGAATTAAAAGCGGTATATTTTCTCAGTTAATGCGAAGGCAAATCAAAAGGGATGATTTTAGCACTCAAAGAGTCTCTACTCTCTATCTATATGGTATGAAAGTTTATTAATAGGGTATAATTAAAAGTATATATATAAATATAAGTATAAGATTCGGAAAACATAAGACCCTCTCCAATAGGAAAAGTTGGTCCTGGAAATTTTGTTTTCTGTTGAGTTCAAAATTTGGGTTGAAAAGTGCAAATACCATGCGAATGAAAGAAATAGCATAAAGAGAATGATGTGGGATCCTTGGAAATTGGCGACAAAAGGTAGTTACAGCTATTTTTATCGAACGAAGACAGTTCAAGTAATCTGATTTCTGACCACATCTAATAGATTTTCTATGCGAATTCTCAAAAATCTCAAATGCAAACATTTTCGTCTTGTCGAAATTTCGTCCGATTTAAAATTTAGTCGATGAAAATTCTGTCAAGATATTTTTCCGAAATTTTGTCACAGCGAAACTTTCTGAAGTTGTTTTATATACTTTATATTGTATATAAAATTTGACATAGTTTGCAGAACAGCTTTTTTGGTAATTTCGAAAAGGTTGTGAGCTATCTTGGGGTTTGTACGTGAAAGTATAATAAAGAAGTTATGTCAACAACAGTTAAAAAGCCAAAAGATAGAGAAACTAACAAGTATTTAATAAAAGGTTTGAAATGATCACTCTTGATGGCTAGGAATGAAAAGAACAAATGCGGCAATCCAATTAATTTTCCAAAAGTAAGGAAAAAGCAATTGAATGACAAGGTTTAAGAAGTCTTTTTGGACGTCATCGTTGGAAAGCACCAGAACTGGAGCTCCATCCGTCCAGATTCGCAAAATCCAAAGAATTAAACTTTTCTAGTCCGTAACTGAAATCGATGCCTTTTATAAACAGTAATTCTCTGACGGGGCAGTGAAACTTTGAAGATCGCTTGCCACTCAGAGTTCACACATCCTAACAAATTCCATTTCTTCTCGGTTATATTTCAAAATATACTTTGCTTTGAGAATCATTTCTACATCTTCTTATTTTTGGTGACAACCGATGAAATTTAGTGGGTTGTGATTTTGATATGGCATTTATAGAGGATAGACTGCAATAAAAGACAATACCGCATGGACTTCATAGAGAGATATTATATCATTTAAGAATGCACATCAGGATCAACAATCCTTAAAAACATGTTGCTTACTCACCTCGCTAGAAGAAAGGCCAAACTCTGAATCAAAGTGCAAAACTGAAGGACTCAAAGGGTCGACTGCATCGATCATGTTTTTTCCAGCAACAACAAGCCTAAAAAGGTGTCGTTACAAAATTAAGGTGAAGTGCGCGTCGTTTGAAAGACTAAGCAAGAAGATCTGAAAATTGAATTTCTCGCTGGAGCTTCTGCTAATACAAGGCCTTGGAGTCGTCGATATACCTTTATTCAAAAAGAAAATGCTTATGGAGTGAATCCTATATTGTTATGACGTTACCTTGCTATCTATGCCAGATGATAAGCTGCCCTTTGCTTTGTCAATATGTTTAGATTTATAACATTTTCTCAATATGTTTTGTTGTTTTGATTACAAGCAAATTTACCTATCATAGGCACATTCGGTATTGCTTGATGTGGTGTCTTCAACATCATTGATGAGCCAATAGAATCGGCGATCAGTTGCCAATCTAATGGATGACCAGTCACTCACGTAGCTGCATCCTGCATTGAAGTCGCCCATGATTATTGCGTCACTCGTGCCCAGGCGACTCTTAGCATCGTTATAGACGTCAACAAGATGATCAATCTCCGATTCAGCGTCACTTGGAGATGTGTGAATGCCAATCGCAATAAACGAAGACAGTGCTAAAGTTAAAGGTTTTTTGAATTAGTTAATTATTTAATTTCTAGGAAAAAAAATTATCTATTTCAAGAAAAAAAAATGTTCGCCCAATAAAAGTTGTAGTTCTTTTGATTTGAAGTTATTAGCCTTGATATAGTAAGGTTTGAAATCGAAATTGACGCTGAATTGCTTAAGGATTTCTTTAAGTCCTCATATTAATGGAATAGTCGTACTTTCTTCAATATAGATAGAGCTGTTTCTGTCGGAATTCAATGATCGTTATTGCATCTAATTGCATCAAAAATTCTGACCCTGATTTCAGCACCTAGTTGCCAAGATCGTAAGTTAATATCATGCAAAATATTAATGAAACAGATGTGATAATAGAGTAATTAAGTATATTATTTAGTGGTTTTACCCATGATATTGCTGTTGAATTTGACCACAAACGGCTCTCTTTCAAATACATCGTTTGCTGAATCATCATAGACATAATGACTGCCAATGGTGAAGATATCTGACCTATGAACAAGATATCAGCGTTGTCATTCAAGGTGAACCCAAGCTCAGTGCTTAAACAGTCCTGTTGATGGCCCAGAAAATTATAATATGAATAAGTACCAAAGATGAAGTACAGCAAATTGTTTGCATAACAGATACAAACGTGTTTTCTGATATTGAAAAAATTACAACAATGATAATAGCGAAACTAATCAGGACAAGGGAATGAAATAAAAGCATCATGCACTCGCTAAAAAAATTGTTTTTTGCAAAGAGATCAATAAAGTAATTGATATGCGATGTATCACCGGTGATGAAATGATAAAGTCATTATGATAGTTCAGCCATTGAAGCTTAGCAACTATAGGCCTATTTGAAATATTCCGCAATTTATTTATTTTAGACCAGCAGCGGAAGGTTTATTGAAAGTAGCAAGCTTTCTCTGGAGTTCATTTTCCGACGACTGTCAAAAATATTTTTATTTGTTATTTTTTATCACATAGATGCTTGCTACAAAGTTTTAGGGTTTGAAGACATGTTCACAAGAATGATAACTATTCGTTGTCCTCAGTAGGTAAGCATCCGTTGATTGCATGTTTTTCTTTGTAGAGATTTTGAAGTAAGTAATTATGTAACTCAATTTATTCGTCGTCTGGGGATTTCCGATATTTAGGGAACATTTTGTGGTTTAAGATTTCTTTAAACTTAAATAAGATGAGACGAAAAAGCAAAAAAATACCAGCAATATAACCATCGTACCCAGTAGTATAACAGAAACACTGTAATGATTTCCATCATAATGAATCAATGATTAATCACTGAAGTGATCATCTAAAATGGTTACCTGTACAAAAACGCGTACTGCTCTTTACTCGATGTTCTTCCAAGTCGATCACTCTGTACCAAAGCATATGTTTTTGATCCACTGAAAAAAGATCAGTATTAGAAACCTGGAAATTCAATTTACGATCTTAATCATTACACAGTTTAATACAACTTGATCCGAAATCACGAATTTTGCCATTTGCTCGGTGAAAGGTTTAGGATAGATATAATACTGAAAAAGAATTCTGAAAACCTGTTGTTGACGTCTGTCAGCAGCTTCTGAATGGCTGTTTCCGATGAATCGCGGATTTCTTGGATCAAAATTAAATCATAGCGGAGAACAATCTGAAAGAAAATAATAAAGATAAAATCATATTTATTTTCTCTTCACTTCATAAGCTATTATTCAGTAAGCTAGAGTCGACGTCCCCAATCTCCAATTTTCAAGAGAATTTTTTCGAAAAAGCGAATATTCGAAATAACGGATAATCCATTGAAATCCGAAAATTTTCAGATTACAACTAAACGCATCGAATCACGTACAAGATTACTAATGCCCAATTTCATTAAAAAACTCAATTATATGAGTTATTTGATTGTTATTTATGCAATATCTTTGAGCTGAAAATAATCCTGACGCAGCATCTCCGTACTCTAACTACAGGCAGTACCCAGAAACCACCTTCTCCATTTCTAAAAATATCTCTTGGTTGTATGATCATCATTAGAATAGTATCAAGAAAAATAGTATCAGCGAGTGCTCGGAACAGCAAAGAAGAGGCGGTCAAGATAGCAGATGTCGACCGTATTTGGCAGGTCAATTAACAAGTACATTGCTATCAGATTGAAAGTAAATCAGTGTGCGCTATTATCGTTTCAGGTAAGACAGAAAAGGCCAATGCTAGTGCTGTGCGGTTTATGTCATCTTCTTCTTTGGAGAGAATTACGGTCACTTTTGGGAAGCGGAGGTAGGATTTCTTGTTATATGTTCCATTTAATTGATCTATTTTCCGCAAGGCAGTCTCAAACCTTTATTAAAATAATGACAACGAGATGTGGTATGAATGTGACACCACTTTTTGGGGGTGGAACATTTTTGGTGTGACACCTTTTGGGTGTGGCACATTTTTGGGCATGATTTTTGGGTGTGGCACACAGTGTGTCCACCACTTATTTGTCACGAGGCATCTTAGCACTATCCTGAAAAGCAGTGGAGTAAATAAGTCACCAATTTTCTGTTTATAAACATATAGATACTACTGAACTGAATGACAATTGTTTGTTACCTTCACGAGTTTGCCCATTACGAAAGAGCTCGACGCCTTCGTTCTGCCGAAAATTCTTACGTTGAACGCAGCGACGTCAATCGTGCTTGGGTCATTTTTATCTGCATCAGTTGTGGCCACAACCCTAGAAAAGAGGAATGGTTCAGTACCTGAGAGATCCATGGTGACAGTGACTTTACCAGTCACGTTATCCTTGCTTAGCGTGGGTCGGTGATCGCTTTTGGCCAATGTTTTTGCTAATGTTTTTGCCAATCTTGAAATCGCTGGAAATATGTATCGCAAATGGTAGGTAAAGTGAATGCTTCCATATTCTGGCAGGTTTTGAGGAAAAAAGGTTGACAGATAAATCCCTTACTTTGTCGATCCTCCTACTCAGTTGTAGCCCTAGGTGTTACAAGATCGGGACTAAGGCCCTACGGCGCTAGTTTGTTATTAGTAATCGCCGAAAGGCATGAAGATTCAGGAATGTTTAGCCATGGCTATTCATTAGCTAATACACGAGATAATCGATGTCGAGATAATCGAGTGTTTCTGACGTTGCCACTATGTGTATCGCTTGTGTTGGAAGATCAGGGTCTTGAGGATAACCTTGTGCAACAGTTAGACGAAGTCAACCATATATACTGTATCTTGCATAGTTATGTTTTCTTTAAAACTATTCACTAACGTCTGTTCCAAGCCTTTAAGTGGAGCGTGGTGCGAAGCAGGGCCGCCAAGAGGCAAAGTCCCAGTTGGGGCCCTAGAGTCGGATAAAACAATTTTTTGAAACCACGCCCATTTTTAAAATGGGAAACGCCCATTTTTTCCAAACGTTTGCGCACGTTATAGAATATGGTTAAAATATCATAAAATATAATAAAAAGCATAATTCTAAAGGTAAGCGATTTAAATACGCTCTATGACCACACCCTTTTAGCTGATTAAAGAGGACTTCAACATGTGTTCCTTCAATTCTGACTGTTTTTTTCTGGTGAGCCACGCAATATAAAAAATTAAAATGAAATCAATCTTTTATTCTACACACTTTTATTTAAAAATTCCATAGAACTATGCTTTTCAATTCTTTCGTCCTTCAAAAGTTAATTTTTCTTGCTTTTTCAGTTGCAAACTGATCAATGATATTGTCGTAATCAATTTGTCTTGCTAGTTCGTGCTCGATCGAAAGAGTCATGAGGCTTGATAATCTGTCTTGAGTCGTAAGCGGTTCTTTATTGTGTTGAACGTAAGCGGTTCTTTATTAATGCTAGTTTGCTGAAAGGGCCCCAAAAATATAATATAGCTTTATGCAACGAGTCTAAATGCAAACATAACTCACTTGAACGGGCCACAGATTAAAACAAGATTATATGGGTTACCTAATTTTTTATCAGGGCTCCCTTCCACCAATAAGTACGATTTTGCGAAACTCAAGGAAACTCAGCTTAAAAGATGATGATAAAATATGCCTTAAATTCAAACAAGACTAGGTGTACGGAACCAATGAAATTGCTGCCATCATTTTCGATATTAAAAAATATATCTTTGAATGCATTTTCAGTCTCTCAAAAAAAGACATTTTAAAACAATTTTCAGAATAATCAGGCTGAGGCCCTGGGGTAAATTGCCCCCCCCCCTTGCCCCCCTCTCTGCGCCACTGGTGCGAGGATGTAGTGCTAAATACGAGGTTTGGAGCACAGGCTTAGACCAAAGTTGGAATAGTTGGCTTAAAGGGTTTAAAGTTAACCTGCAAAAATACACTCAAGGTCTGCTAATCTAAACTTTCAATAAAAAGCCACTCTTTTGTTAGAGTTATAAAACTTTAAATCATCGAACGTTAGCATAAATAATTTCGAAAAAAGTATGTTCTTTTAGAAGGAGGTCGAAAAATTTGATTTTTTTCTTAATAAATGACGCTTTCCATATGCAAAATGACATATAACTGCCCAAAAATAGCTAATTGAATCGCTTTCAAATGTTAGGCAGCCTTTCCACTAGCCCAGGTTAAAACAAAACCGGGTTAAAAGTTATCCGTTTTTAAAGTGAGTCAATGGAAACAGCATTTTTCTTCTACCTGTTTTTAAACCGTTTTTGATCGTTCCCATTAAGTCGGGTTAAAATGTATTCAGGGTGAAAAGTTGCAAGAGAAATCAGTATTTGCATTTATAATCCTTCAATTTCCATCGTTGTAGGCTAATGGAGATGCAAGCAACATCGACATTGAGGATTTTGTTTTTTTACTATTTGCGCCATCTCAATTCTTAAACGTTGCTGTTGTTGCAAGTGGGTCAGAAGTTATCGGGGTATCGGTGTTTCCATTAACTCGCAGGTTGGTCAAAAGATACCCGGGTTAAAACTGACCCACTCTGAGACCTGTTTTCAAACTTATCCGATTTTCAAGTGGGTTAGTGGGAACGCGACGCGGAAACGGATAACTTTTAACCCGTTTTTGTTTTGACCCGGGCTAGTGGAAAGGCTGCCTAAACTCGCCTCTAGGAAAACCAATTGAGTCTGCGCCCAGGCCAATGTATTGAATGACCACTAAACCTAAAATTTTCGAAATAAATGGTCTTGAAAACGAAATAATAAGCAAAAATAGCGGACAAGCAGAGACACGTTTTTACTGTAAATAGAACGAAATTGAAAATGCCGTAGGAATGCCGTCAGTCGATAATAACAGCCTGTACCGATAATAACCCTATTGATTCGAATGCGAAATTGAATAACTATAGCAGGGCTGCAGGTTCTGGTCGGGGAAGGACAGCAGATACCTGAGACCAAGTTTAGTTGGACAGGAATTTTAGGGTCTTTCTCCCTTTTTCTCCACTGGAAGAGAAATAAAAATTTGTCCATTCAAACAAAGTTAATCTCAGTTGAATCGCACGGTTGGTAATATCTGTTCTGTTTTATCAACACGAGAAACAATTTCAAAAAAACTTTGTTCTTTCTTCTGATCTTTGATGTGAGGATGGACACGCTATTACGATGTTCTTATTTTTGGGCAAATCGATCTTCGGTGTTCTTTTAGAAAACAGTTTACTTTATCAAAACACCACTGTGGATAAATTTGATTATAAAAATAAGATACAGTTCAAAGAAGCAATTTATTATCTATCAGTGGAAATGTATATAATGCTAAATCAAACTATTGTAAAACCAAGCTTTTAGGCCGAGAGCTTACGTTTGTGTATCAAGTATGCGATCGATGTCCACTTCAATATCATAGAGTACTTCCTTGTTGTTAGCATCTTTGCCTAAGCAGTTTGTGAATGCAACGTAGAGAGCTCCTAAAAGCAGCAACCACTGTGTACCCCTCATTTCTTGTTCAACGTTGGCGTATAGAATTGTTTTCAGTCTGCTTTAGTTAAAGCTCTAACTTTTATGTCAGAATAAAGACATTCAGAATGATCTTTAGCAACAAGGAAAACAATCTTTCGTGGCTTTTCAAACAGCAGAGTTATTGTTATGGCATTACAATTTGTTGTGGCATTCAAATGCCTCTTCCTTAGGTCTTGCCGTGCAATTGATTCATTATTAAAATCAAACTAAGAAATGTAACTGCCGTTTTATGCATCGTTTAATGCCTTTGTATTTTTTCATTACTTGCACGGTTTCTATGGTGATAAAGTTTTGTTTGCAATGATGGTAATAGCGGTGCTTCCATTTTGATCGAAACGCAAAGCTGAATCATCGATGAATCATTTCAAGACCAGAAAAATGAACGATTAGTCGTCAATTATATCGGTGTTTTAAGAATGTCGTTCATGATTTTACATCTAGAAATGCGACTTATTTAAAAAAATTATAGTTTGAAGAATCAGCCTCCAAGTAGTGGCTCCTCAGTAGATATAGACAGTATGTATATCTGATGTGTCTCGCAATAAAAGCAAGCCCACAAGTGTCTGATGAACCAATGGATCTAGTGGTGGGGGGGCTCAGCCCCCATTGTTAAAATTTTCGAAAAAATTGGGGTGGGGGGCTCAGCCCCTCTCATCGTTTGTGCTTGGATATAGCCAAGAATCATGTAACGCAGAGAAAGCTGTGAAGATTGAAGAATTGTTACATCACCACAGGTCAGCTATTAACGATTAAACCAGAAAAGGAAGAGAGGACAACTGACAGATTTAAATGCATTGCAAGCTTTATATGCATGAAAAGATACATATAGTATGACATTGTAGTGATTTTAATATTGTAAATAAGGCCATATTCCTATTTCATGCCATCACCATGACATCCAACTACGGCATTCACAGCATCACCTAGCACATGACATTCCCTTCACCATTGATCACACATTCACACATCTATGTCATGCTGATTTCTTCTCAAGTCTAGACCTTTCCTTTTCCATTGCATCATCATTACATCATCACAACACATCATTACTCAGCACATTTATTTTGTATATAAGTATGTTAATTTGTATTTAAGTCAGTCAAGTTCAGTCAAGTTCAGTTCAGTTCAGAGTTCAGTTACAATCAAGCAAACACTGTCTCTCTCTCTGGCTCCGTGTTCTCTGCACGTAAAATAAGACTCGCTTGGTTTGGAAATGACACGATAGTCAAGGATGGATTTATTTAGTGACTGCATTGATCGCCGTTCCGATGTACACTAAAACATATATAGATCTATGGGGAAAGTGATTCAAAGGTGAAATTGAAAAACTTTCATTTGCAACCTACGCAAATTGAAGCAAAGAAAAAGTACATTAACGGAAGTCGTACCATCGGTCATAGCATGGACTCTGATAAGACTGTTTCACTAATCTTTAGATTCTTAACAGTATTTTATTTCATGTGATCCAAAAATTTTTATAGAATCAAACATTCCTCTGATACTAACGGATATACATTTAAAAAATTGGATAGCTACTGTGTGGTAGTACTTTTTCATCTAGAAATCATCGTACTTCTGTTCTTAAAAAACTGAAGCAATGAAGCTATTATGATAACAAATGGATTACCCAAAATACTTTGAAGAAATCTAGTTAGGCATCTATCAAACATAAGCATTTGGGCCTTACCTGCACGAAATTGTGCAAAGAAGAGCTGCAAACCAAAGAATATTTGATACCGTCATGTTGCGATGTCCACTGCAAACTGAAACGTTTTCCAATGACTGTCTGGGAATACCAAATGGGGGAAACAGGAGTGGATAGACAGCGTATGGAGAACTGCTGAAAGACAATTGAACGCTGCCTTTGAAGGATCAGTGGCTGACACCTCTTTGTTAAACTGCTGCGTCAGTCTTTACAAAACCTGTTATGTAATCTCAAGTTTCCCAGAAATTTTCACAAATAATTGACAATTGAATGATTGAATATCCTGAATCGCCGGATAATTGAAATGTCTCTTTGATAAAAATGAAAGTTTATTTTCTGTTTGCATTGCAGGATAAGGCCCTGTTCATACGATACCGGATTCATTTCGTATCGGATCACTTTTTATATCTGATAGGCCTTCTGTTCAAACGATGACGCTTGAATCCGATACGCTCCGTATCGTTTCTGCGGAGTGTGGAATGGGATCATATCGGATCACTTTTGACCTCGTGTGAACGCATTTATCCGAAAAGGTTTCGCTCCGGAACCTCTGTTTAGAAGGGGCAGCTTCGTTTTCGGGGTTTTTATAAAGAGCTAGGCCCTCTTTTCAAGCACTGATCACAAAAATGACTTTTTAAGAGATCAGTGTTTTCAAAACACAAAATGACAGTGGATCCCAGTGAAACAATAAATATGCTCCTTGCGATGGTGATGGGCCATGATGAGCTGCACAAGATTAATGCAAAAGAAAATTAGATTGTTTGAAAAATGATTTCAAAATATTCTTCTTCAAAACAAAACAGATTATCAGATATGCCATGTCAAATAATGCATTTAATCAGAAAAAGACCAAAACAACGGACAAGATTCCACGTTGCTATGCAACTGCTTCAAGAAAATGGATTTTTCGGAGCAGTGTTTTAGCGTAGCGTCACCGTGTGAACAGGATTGAATCCTATACGAAAAATGAAACCGATATGAAATGAATCCGGGACCGTGTGAACAGGGCCTCAAAGTCAAATAAGTTTACGTGAAAGGTCGCACTGAGGCCGTCTCTGCCTGCAGAAGCGTCTTTATTGAATTTTTCACCACGGGTGCAGTAACATTTGATTTCCTTACTGCTAAAGGTACCTTTATTAATGGTACGTTTCTGATGGATTGCAGAATTATTTCTCAGAATTTTGATTGTAGATGTAGAAGTCGAACAATGTCGACAAGCAAGAACGCTGCTAGTCTGAAATCATTTAAAAATATAGGCTGGCGTTTGGCGATAACCGTGAATCGCCCCCTTTTTCGTCGAAATTTATCCTAGAATAGAAGTCAAAGTTTATATTACATCCCTGGGTTGAATGTGACAAATACTAACGATAACGATCTGTTTGGTGGTTGAAGGTTGGAATGCGTTGCCAGGGCTCTAAGTTTTGCAGACAGGAGAGGGCGAGAAACTAGTGCTCCAAATCATAGGTCAGAGGCTCTTTTATCAATGCCTTCCAAATTCTTTAAGTTGAAAAGATATTTTTTGTTACCTCAGGCTTAGTAAAAAGTGGTCATTTTATTTTGTTTTCCTGAAAGAAATTCTGTTCGATCTTTATTTAAACCCTTTTGTGAATACACTCACATTCCTGCTAAAGTGTCATGGAGATTAATCGCATATGTACGGCTGGTTTTAGGATTCTGTTAAAAAAATGAAAGGCTAATGCTGGTCAATTATTGCCACTAACTGTTTGGTGTCCCCAGGGATTGGGAGCAATCGAGAAAAAGGGCGTCAGCATAGATCCCTAGGGACTCATCTGACACGGTCGTAAAACTGCGGCATTAGAATCCGCAGGTTCAATTTACAAGTCTGGTTAAAAGCAGAAATGGGAGTGGATCCAACATAGAGGGGGTTTATTTCAATTTTTGTCTGCCCAAGACCCCTTATCGGGTTTTGTTTCAAGGACCTTTCTGCTACATAACCGGTACTGCGACCTTTTTTGTTATAGTCCTCATGATAGCGGCATCGCTCCTTTGGTTCTTTGTATGGAACTTTCTCGTGTTTTCGTGCGACGGTAATGCAAATCAAGACTATGAAAGAAGAATGGCATAAAAGTGTCAAACTTTTCTAAATAGTACATACAATATGAACTCTTGGCTTTTAGCGTAAGTCGACCAAAGTCAGGTTTTACCGGACTGTCCTGTTTTTAGAATTTGCTAGAGTCCGTATTGGCCCATATTACGTACCTGTTCGACCGCCGTCGACTATGATGCAACTTTATTTTGAGTATGACGTCACGAGTGGGAGTATGGAATAAAGATCCCTGCGTAGCATAGCATTTATGCAAGGAACCGAGGGCCGTGAAGGACGGAAGTTTCACGAAAGAGGAGAATCTGTAAGTTGGTTATAAACACTGTTTTCTCTCCTAAAAGCTTGTATTTGAGCCATTTCCTTACCCAATGTGTCTTTGCTAACCATTAAGCCTTGAAAACAAACATATTTATGAGTGTGGTGACGGACCAGATGTTGGCCTAAGGGCGAACAGAGTTCGAAGCTGTGTTTTAGTGTTTATTTAGCGTAAACACTGAACACGTAAAATTTTCGCTTTACAAGACCCCAAAACAATTATTCAAGTTATTCAAAGCAGATAATCTAATCTTTCCATTTGCTTTTTTGAATGTTGGAGCAAAGATAGTATCCAAATTTTATAGTTTATTTCTATCCTGCAAATGATGATTTCGTGAAAGTCCCACTCTTGCTAGAACCGGAATATTTCGTAGCATTCGCATTGAAGTGGGTTGCTGACTCAGATTGGGCTATCGAGTCTTGTTCTAACGTGTTTAATTACAGAAACGTATTATTGTAGCTTGCATAAGTGGTTTCGGCTTCAATATTCACGGCTATGTCTTTTCCCTTGTATGGTAAATGTGGTTTTACAGATCATGATTTGTCTAAGCACTGTATTCTGAAATTGAAAATTATTTTGATATTATCGAACGAGAATACCAAGCAAAAACTCTTACACTAGACTACGATCTGATAGACAATCTACGTTAGTAAGGTCTGATTGACAATCTGTTTTTTTATTATGTCATGGTGACCTAGGTGATCTATTTTCAAGATCATTTTTCAAGCTAAGAGCACCTAACACCATTTATTTTCTAATTCATTTCATTCAACCGAAAATAACAACATTTATTTAGTAGCTAATTAAAATTACTTATAAGAGTCTTTCGAACAGTAGTACTAGTCAGTTTAGCATTTTAGTTCTAGTCAGTCTAGCATTTTGTGAATAAACATGGGCATGTCAAACATAGATTAATTTACAAAGAGTACGAAAAGAAAAATATCATCAACTTAACACAAGTTTGCTAAAGCTAATAACTCTAGCTAGAAAATGAAAACCTAGATATATATTAGTTTGGCACCAAGTAAAATGAAAAATCACCACTACAGTACAGATGCTCTGATATCTTTAGGGAGGGGTGGGAGGGAATTCTTATCCGCAAAATAGCCATCAACGTGTGAACTTAAAACTTCAGTACAGACCATTTATACTGACACAACATCACAAAACAACTTGAAATCACTATCACATTTGCAACACAACTCTATTGTAACCTTCTTAAAGACTCTATTCTCTTTCTTTCTCCTGGGACTAAATAAATTCAGGTAGAATTTAGAGCAATAAGACCTTTATATCTGAATCAATAATTAATTGCAATTAAATCAAGGAGAACTTAATTGAATGCAACAGTCACATTTTATTTTCAAAGATAGGGTTAGTAAATCTGAGATATCTAAATTAGATTAGATTAGATTAATTAAATTAGATTTAATTCATACATTACCAGCAAACTAGACAACTATAATATATATCAAGTTTGCCTGATTATAAAAAGTACCTTAAATTCTTTAGCTGTAGACACCACCCTCCTCAAAAATTGTGTCAATTCACAACTTTTATTTACATATTAATATCAGACCTTCAAACCCTTTCGATCTGTATATGACACATGCCCAGGATTTAACTATAAATTCCGAGACGGCACCATGGCTGCCTGTCCTAGGAGAAGAAAACTTTCAAATTTTTTTGGTTCCAGTTTGCTAGAAAATGCACTTTTTGAAGCAATTTTTAACATTGCATGCTTTCTTTAAAATTAATATCCACAGACTGAAAGCTATATTTCTGGTGTGGTTGTTAAATAGTTTGATGTTAAATATTAAATATAAAAATGTTAAATGTTAAATATTTTAATAAACCAAAACTCCTTGCACCCTTCAAATAGTTTTATGAAATGGCACCTAATCTGAACTTTTACCGGCAAGCCCAAAATTATCTGTGGGTTTCTCAAAAACACCCCATACCTCTACTTGGATATGCGCCTGGTATCTACTGTGTGCAATCATTTAGATTTAATGTGAGATCTTGAGATGTTATTGCCTCCTTGCCCCCCCCCCCTGCCAGCATGCCAATGTAGAAAGAAAGGGTATCTTTGATAAGAGACCAACAGAAAATGAAGTGCTGAAAGGTGATTGTATTTTGAAAGCTTATTATTGTTTTTTGTTACAACATATTAACATAAAACAATTGAGATTTCACACTAAAAGTTTCCTACTAAACAGTAACAAACTTCCTATGAGGAATCTGTTAAAAATTTACTGAAATTTTCAAGCCCTTACTCTCACATTCCTGATCTTTTAAAATTTCAGTTCTTCACAGGTCTGCCAAACCAGGTTAACTACAGAGATAAATCCTTTGATAGTTACTTTAAGGGAGTGTGAGCATTGAGAAGGGGTGCAATAGTTGTCTTGCTCCAGATGTTGGACAAGGTTGAAGGATAGGGATCTAACAAAAACATTTTTCAATAATTCTGAATAATTAAACATTCTTAAACATTTTAAATTTTAAACATTTGTCAATAATTTATATATTTTCAATAATATATTTTTATGGAATAGTGTCAAATGCACACAAAAAATCTGCACAAATTTCTACTGAAAGGTTTCTTCTGAAAGTAGTTTGGCTCTCTTTATTGGTACACATAAAAGCAACAAGAGTTTATAAGCATCACTTGATAATTTTTATTTGATAATTTTCCTAATTTCTAATGCATGTATCCTTTTTTAGAATATCTAGAGTCAATGGCCTACCCACAACAGCAACCTGGTGCTCCTCCTTTTAACCCAGGGTACCCACCTAGTGGTCATGATCCTTACCAAGCACCACCACCACCACCTTACACACCACAAGAACCTCAGATGGCCCCACCTCATGTGGGAGGGGCTCCACCTCAAGGATATTATCCTCAGCAACCATATCCACCACAACCATATGCTGGTTATCCCCAACAAGGGGGTTACCCAGTACAGTCATATGGTCAAGACCAGCAACAGCACACTACTGTAGTGTACACACAGCCACAGCCTACTACTTATGTTTACCAAGAAAGAAAAAGAGACACTAGTGGAGAAGACTGTGCACTTTGTGCTCTCTGTGCTGCTTGCTTATGTTGTTGTTTGCTGAGCGATTAACTTTTGCATCATTTTAGCTGAAACACCTAGTATCAACAGACAACAAATGCAATTAATCGACAATGCACCTGTTTCGGTAAATTGTATTCTAAAGACAGGGCAAAAGATGGAGAGAAATACTTTCTATCACTGAACAATTGTATCTATCTCTTTCTATCACTGGTGCTGAAACAACAAATGCTGAAGAGAATTTCTTATTTCTTGCTATTTTCATATGGAACATGCATAATGTTTAGTTGTAATTTGCAGTTTGCTCTCATTTTTATTTTGATGAGCAAAAGATGTACTAATAAACTAACTGCTACAAAATTGTATAGAATTGCTTATTGTATTATTCTGTTATATCTATAGACTGCTTATTGTAATGATTATAGAACATATTTTCAAATAGGTTTTGTTGCGTAAAAAAGAAACAAGGAATGTGATAGGCAGAAATTCATTTTGTTTTTGGAAAGACAAGTATTATTGCACACTGCATCGAGCAGTCTTTTGTTCATGATGCTGATTTTCTAAATAGAATGACAATGGTCACGATTTCCCATTAATACTTTTGCCACAATTTGAGGAAGCATCCACTCCTTCTGAACTGCCCTTCAATAATATTGGAAAATAGTTTCTTATTGAATTGACTTATAGCAGCAACAGTGGTTGCATAATTTGTATCATTTTAGGGCATGTTCTAAATTGCATTTATAATTTATAGATATGTATTTAGATATATTCATCAGCTCCTATAACTAAAACTTTTTCAAGCATGCAATAAAAAGTCAATGAAGTTGTTTTTTACTGAGCATCTATATGTATTTTTGAATAATATTCTGAGAATATTTTTATTTTTTGCATAACTTCTTGGATCCTAAGCAACTCATTAAATCTTGTATATCTGCAAAGGGGAACTTTTGAATCAGACTTTGATCCGCAAAGCGAACTGGGAAATTTTATCTAGAACATGGGTGTGGGTCGTTCGATTTTTTTGTTTTGAAAAGTTTGCTTTTTTATTTTTTAGCTTTGAAATTAGAAGAAAACTTGTCAGTGATTTCAACCTTAGAATATTTAAGATTTAGAGTTTAGTGAAATTACAGTAAAATAATCGGATTTGGTCTATCCCCAAAAATGCAAAAACAAATTCACAGGAAGTAAGTTCTTGCAAAAAACATTTCTTTGAAATCATGTTGTAGCATGTAGCCTAGCATATTTTTGTCGCTAGTAAATATGGTTGGCTATGTTTTTACACATGATGAAGGCATTTCTAATGACCAGAGAAACATCCGACTTTGCATGTCTTAGTGAATAGGTAATTCATTTCAGGGGCTCCGACACAGGTTGGAAAGTGAGGGGCTGAAAATTTAGCAACCAAAACGAAAGATCTTTGAAAAAGCCCTTTTGTTTTGCAAAAAAAGCAGGGCCATGCGTCCCCTTCGTCAGAGTCCTTGCTTTTTAGAAAATCTATGAAAAACCATGTTTCAAACCATTTGAATTTCTTAGAAAGTATATTTTCGTCGCTATCATAATGGGGATGGGGTGGGGCTGTTTTTTCTATTGAAATCGAAAGAGCAGGTCGCAACGCCCTGAACGAAGCAACTTGTGAACGGCTCTGGCTGAATGGCCAACATATACTTTTTTTCGCGGAACTGGAAATGTCTGAATCAAAAAATAGTGTGCTTTTCATCTGCTATGGTTTAAACGTCTGAAAGATAGACACGCACGGTAGATACGGTGACAAGTTTCATATACATTTATGTAGATCCTCTATCCAGGGCAGTAGAAGAGGGGGCTCTGGGGGCCCGGCCCCTTTTACTTTTCGAAGGGGGACTGCTCCACTCTTCTTTTTTCGGGGGTAGTTCTAAATTATCATGGCTAATTTCTGCCAGGATCAAATCTTTGATTAAACCGATATTACCTTTTGACATTTGCATTCATGAGTGACCTCGATAGCCCTTTTGAGGCCTCTTGATAACTGAAAAACCAATAAATGCTGGCAAAATTTTACTACTTTAAATTCATTATTTATAAGATTTTCTGCTAAAGTAACAGGCAGACATTAGAAGATGATTGAACCCTAGAAAAAATAGAAAGGTAGAGAAACTGATATTGAGGAGCGATGTAAGCGAAAACAATTAAAAAGTTCATTTTGTATACACTTTGCCCCTCTCTACAAAAGAGAAAGCGCTATGCCCCCCTCTACATTTTTTGCTCCACACTACTGCCTCTATATCTTTGCTAACATTTTTTCAAAATCAAATGATATTTTATAACAGATTTATATAAAAAAAATTCCCGAGTGAGTTTAGGAATGAAATCGGGAGAACGGGAAATAACTCTCAAGTCGGGAGACTCCCGGCTCCCGCCCAAATCGGGAGAGTTGGGAATTTTGGGAAAGTATGTAGAAAGAGTCGGGAAAGTATGTTAAAATGGAATGGACCCCCATTGCAGCCTCAATCTCGATTCGATTACAGGCAAACAACCACAACCACATGCAGCACAGTCAAATAGAAATCATGGGCTCCGTTGAAGTCATCGTTGGAACATACAACCACGTCCTTATTGGTATACGTATTTCCAATAAGGAAGAAAGTGAAAAGGTACACATTTTGATGCCCTTTCCATCACGTCTTTTATTTCTATTTTCAAAGAGATATGATGACTTTGCGACTGGAGAGTGCCCGCCCAGGAGTAGTGTTGTTCAAAGCAGATATGTAATGACGTTCATCCACGTGTAGTTTCAGTTTCCAGTTTCAGTTTTCATCATTTATCAATCAATCCTAAATGTATACAAATTCTGTTGTCTGAGGTCGGCTTGAAAGAGAGGTCCCCTTTCCAACTTCCCCTATTGCATTGACTAGTAGCCTAATTTATGAATCAAGGAGACTTTTAGTTCAGAAGTACTAAACGAGACTATTTTTCAAATGATATTAAAGTATATATGTAACACATAAACACAAACCTGATAAACACAAGCTGCACTCATTAAATTTTTTAATACCGAAAAATTCAGTATAATGTTGTTTTAAATTTCATGAACAAGTATTGTATAATTAAGTAGACGTGGTTAACGTTAGAGAAATGATAGAGATATGATAAACATTACAATACAGACTACAGTACATTTATCCATTTTTAAGCTGCAGGCTGCTGATGATGTCACTGAAGTTTAATTCCTGAAGTATATTTGACTTGATGCTAATTATAGCAAGATTTACAGGCTGTTTCTGCTCATTGATTTTTGTAATCGGTTCTCAATTAATTTGAGTTTAGAGAAGTGACACTCACCATTGCACTCAGATACCATCCATCGTTGGATTTTATCTCAATGAAGCAATGATATTCAGGCAAGATCCATACTAAGCCCACTTAGAATTTTAGCATATATACTACACTCATTATGCCATCAAAATAAAGGTATATGAGTAAAGCAATTGCCGTTTGCGAAAAAGTGTCCTGCATGCCCATTTCAATGATAGTTCTCTGAAGAATAAACTCAGTGCTAATATCTTCTTGCTTCATATCTGTGAAGATATTGGCAAATGTTATGTTACCAAATTGACACAGCTCAACAATAATGCCCAAGTTATCTGGTTGTTGATGGCAGAGATAAACTCAGTGGCTTTTTAGATGTTAAATTGACTATAAATTTGGGGAGTTAAAATTGTAGCCAGGGTGAGTTAAAATTGAATAAAAACAAGCACATCTTTTTCCAGACCAAGCACACCAGTATGTTTTATCGGAAAGTATGTTATAACCCAGTACGTTATAACGAGATAACATTCCCTTGGAGATAAAAAGTTCACCATTTGCTTGTAGTTTTCGTTGCAAACTTAATACTTTTTTCTTTGAAAACAAATACTGATCATGAAAAGCCCCCATTTAGCCTCTGTCCAAAGTTAGATGCATACATTTTTCAAAGATATTTTGAAAGAATTAGCTAGTCAGTTATAGATAGGGGGTGCTCTCTCCTCTATTAGCCTAGCTACTGAGAGAGCCCCTCCTTAAGAAATTCCCCTACATACAATTCCTTTGTCTTCTTGATGTAATAACATATATTGTTTCTTTTAGATTCCTTGTGTAGTATTTATCTTGCATTAATTAGTTAAGCAAGTTATATTTAATTGTATTTAAATATTGTCTTTTTGGATTGTATGTAGTGGAATTTCAAAATTTTGTGAAACTGAAATGGAATTATGAAACTGACTTTTTTTTACTTTCTAGGAATGGGAATTTACTCCCTCATTCACAGACCAAGGCCATGATGGCTGCATCAAAACAGTTGCATCAGGAGGCAAATACTTAGCTAGTGGCAGTACTGATGAGACCATAAGGTAAGCTTCTCTCAAGATTCCTCCCTTTTCAATGAAACATTACAAACTACCATGTTAGAATTGCATTGATTGAACTTTTGAATCCTCTCAGAACTTTTGCAAGGAAGGAAATATTCCAGTGTACAGTGTAATATTCACAGGTTTTTACATAAGTTTAGACAGGTTATATTTAGTTTAGGTCAAGTTAAGACAGAAATTGATTGCAGTGGATGATCATGATCATGGGAAGGCAGTCCTTATTTGGTAGAGTAAGTGGCATTCATAAAAAATAAACCAATTGCAAAAGGTATTGCAATCAGCATAATTAGTGTTATTAGTCTAATAACAGTATTTTTCTGTATTTTCTTTTTCTGTCTATAACAGTATTTAACTTGTTTACATGGCCCTAATTGTCTTTTCTTAATCTCCATTGTCTTTTCTTAATGGTCACTGGACAGCTTGAGCCTCCCTTTTAAAATGTCAACAATAACCCTAGCAAAATATATCTGATATAAGTATGGCTTTTCTAATGATGTGGATCACCGTTTCTTTGTTCTTCCTCTGTGAATGTGAGATATGCCTTATAGGCAATGGGGATTAAGACCTTTGGTACTACTTCCTCAAAAGGTGTTAGCCTAACAATTCTGATAGGATAATTCTTGATGTTGGTTGCTTATTTGCTTATCTACCAAAACTTACTAGGCCATGAAATGCATTGATTCTTTGCCCTGGTGTCTTTCTCAGGTTTGTATTTAACTGGGAAAAGCCTCAAACATGAACAACTGTTTACTTTTAAAATTGAAAAAGCCTTGCCCAGAAATTTCTCTTGCTGTCACAGTTCCAGAGAGTCTGTTTACCAGACATTCTCGTGGGTTTACATCAATGATGTGAGAAATACTTATTTTTGTTGGCCATGTCTTGTGATGGGTGATATTCAGAAGGTAAAATCATTAAGATTTTTTTAAAGGATTATTTATAGCCCAATTAAAACCAGCAGGGGTTTTAGGGACTTTAGGGCCTGAGGCCAAAAACATCTGTGAGGCCCTTATTCTTTGCAATATTGGTTTTTTTGGCCCTCTTTGGCTACCAAAAGCATAGGGCCTGGGGCTATGGCCCCCTGGAACGCCCAAAACCACAACTAATTACAACTATACTCTTAAGGTGGTTAACACAGTGGCTGGAAATGCTGCAGGGGCGGCATAGGTGAAAAACTCTTGGAGCATCAAAGGTAATCTGGGCCTTTATAGTGCAATGTTGTAGCAGCTCCTTCCCCGTTATTAGAAATCAACTTCTAATTCATGTGGCTGAAATACTGTGGAGAGGAGAGCCGCAACATTTCACTTTGTGTCTCGGAAGCACCCTGTGTGCCATGTTAGCAAGAGAGATACTGTTTTTGAGAGTTGAGATAGGTCTGAAAGGAAAACAAGTGCAGGGGGTGGCTTGGGGATTGTTATTTTCATATTTGTTTCTGGCAATCAAAACCACCAATATATCTATGCACCAGAGTCTACATTTCTATCATTTTTCAACAAGACAACAAACTCATGGAATATCAAGGGTATTTAAAACCCCGTCTTTGACAAGATGCTAGTTTGATTGGAGCAAGTTCCCCATTTTCCCCATTATTTCTGCTACAGGTTGGCTCAACATATAACAGTTTATTTCTGTTGCCAGCTGCCCCAGAATGCAATGCTGTCAGGATTTGTATATCAAATGCATGTTCATCTAAATCAATGCCGGCACTGGAAAGGCTTGTAATTTTTTCATTTCTCGGGGTCTGTTTCCCAGGGTTTGAATGTCAGATATTTTGTTGTTTACCTCTGCATATAGGTAGGTAAAATGTTGACTGCCCTTTGAAATTTCATTTTCATTGAACTTTAGACTGTACAATTTGAAGAAGCATGTAGAGTTGGGCTCTTTAGTACAACAAAGTGGTAAGTCTTCTTTGATTGCTTTTTTATGCTTTAATTGTTTTTTAGAATGGTCATGTGTATGGTAACTGTAAATGAAAAATAATGAAAAATATAATGAAACCTTAGGCTGAAGATAAATGGGATCTTTGTTAATTTTTCAAGCTCAGACCCCTATACATTTTTTGACCTCCTGTTTCATTGACAAGAATGGATGACTAGAATTTTGAATTTATGATGTTCCTGTGATCACTTATAATGATATTCTAGCTCCATAAAAGGTTGACTACCCAATCTCAAAGCCCCTATTTGGAAAGCTGCTATTTGTGAAACCCTGATTTGTGAAACCCTGGTTTGTGAAACCCTGATTTGTGAAACCCCCATTTGCAAAACTCCCATTTGTGAAACCCCTGATGGACAAATCAACTATGCATGACCCACATCTATTTCAACAAACCAATGTGTCTAATCAAAAACCTCAGAGTAGCCTAGAATAATTAGCTTAGTGATTTTGTTGCATATATCACAAGTCCCAGGTTGCAGCCACCAATTGGCGTCTGCCTTGCTATTGGCACCTTTTAGTCATTATCTAGATACAAGTTAACCTCACTTTAGACATCATCTCTAATCCCATTTTTTATGGAATTACTTGACAAAACAGCTTTTGAATATAATACACTCCAAAATTTCAGCTACTTTTTTCAGTTAAATAAAACTTACATTAAGAGAAAACAGCACTAGTATTGCGAACATATTTTGTAATTGTGGCAATAATCTATCGAAAGTTAAAAATTGAGGATGACTATGATCTTGATTGTATGCACAATTGTGATGCTGCCTGGGAGATCAGGTAAGATCTTATTTGTCTCAAAGTTTCATTAAAATCCAGAAATGGGAACAGGTGTTTTGAAGAGGAACATAGCAAAAGTAATATAATGTAGAATTTGAAGTTCATCTATCAAATCAAATCTTCACTCTAATGCCTTTTATGCTCAATAAAGCCCAATCTCCAGTGAGAAAAAGTCTTGCGAAATTTCGCTGCGAAATACTTCACGCGACAAATGCCTTTGAATGCTTTTGTTGATCTCACGACATTGGAAATGTAAAGTTTGGAAGCGTGACAAAGGAATACGGAATATGATTGGCTGTTGAAGGATTTCGCAAGTGAAAAGCGAACAAGTTAAACTCATTTTAACTTTTTTTCGCAGAGAAATTCTTCGCGTGAAATCCCAGCAAAAGATTACTGCGCATGCCTAAGACGTATTTCGCGCGAACTTTTTCGCATTTCGCAGTTTTTTTCTCACTGGAGATTGGGCTTAACAAGCCATTTATTTATTTTTCAGGAAGTATAACGAGCCTTGCATTCAGTGGAAATACCCATATGCTGAGTGCCAGTGAAGATGGAACAATCTCAATATGGAAATGTAAATCATGGGATTGTGTAAAGACACTTAAAGGACACAGGTCTGAAATTTCTATCACTTGTTTTTAAACTATCAGAAGTGATAAAATCTGTCCAGATCAGACAATATTTGAAGGTCATGTATCATGTCTCCTTGATGTAGTTTTATCACATGAGTAGACAAAATTGCTGAGAAAAGGGAAACTGGAGGGTCCCTTTTATGTAATGTAAATAATGTGTATATTTGGCTAGCATCGGAATTAAACTGGATCTCTCGAAAGAAGCACAAACATTGAATAGATTATCTGAACTGACGCAGGATAGAAAGAACTGGCGTGGCATTATGAGACGCGTCGTGCAGTATTAACTGCGTGTAACGTCTTAGTAGTAGTAGTAAATACTATGTTATGCTTGCTCATGAATTTTGGTCATATTTTGTTACATGATTGTGTTCTTTTCATAATTCGTTTATCTAGTTTTTTGTATGCTTTACTGAGAATTGGTGTACAGTGTGTCAATATTTGATATTTTCCTTCAAAACTGTTATAAGATTTTTGTGTTTAAAATTTGTAAAATGTTCATGTCGTTTCTTAAACAGGGATGCTGTCACATCGATATCCATCCACCCATCTGGGAGATTAGCTTTGTCAGTGTCAAAGGATAAAACAATAAGGTGCTTCATTGTTATCAAGTTTTCTAATTGCAACATAACATAAAGTTTACTTAATCGAGCTTCCTAATATACGACATTTTTCATTTCCTATTTTGAACACTTTAAGTTACTCTGATTTAAACACCGACTTTGTTTTTAGAACGTGGAATCTGCTTACCGGTCGAAGCGCTTATACAACAAATATCAAACAAGGTGAGTTTTTCCAACTCAGTGTCTTTTGTCTGCATTTTTATTGATTTTATACCAGATATAGATTATAACTATTTTAAGAAGTTACAGTCATAAGCAATAACGTTTTTATCGACTATGGCAAATTTCGTTTGTGCCAAGACTTCTTTTTATTTAATTGATCAAAGACTTAAATCCCAGTATCTGTATTAACATTTATATAGTGGAAGCTAAATTCTCAGGTTACAAATGCAAAGTACAAAATTCAATTTTTTAAGTCGAATTTCAGCAAAATGAGATATCACTATTTCCCTAGGTACTGAAATAGCCCAAAGATAATGCCTGTGTTTTTAGTAAAACCGATTTTAGACTGTCTCAAAATGTCTAAGGGTATGGTTTGTTTCTTTTATATTGTCAAATGCAACGTATGTGCTTTAAAAATTTTATTGGGCATCATTCTTTAATGTGTTAGCAAATCAGAACTTGATGTTCGATAGCAGAATGCTAATAACTTCAGTTGAAAACTTTACTGTTACATTGTATTTCTTTCTAGTTGGAGAACTTGTTAATTGGTCGCCAGGAGGTGAATGTTATGTGGTAGCATCTGGCTCCAAGGCCACTGTTTATAAAATTTCGGTAAGGTTTTCTTAGTTTTTTCTTCAGGACACTTTTTATTGTTACATTTTAATATTCAAAGGCTGAGATAGCTTTCGAAATTTGGGGAGGGGGGGGGGGAGGACTTTGATTTCCGTCATTATTTGGAACATAGAGGTTCTTGAAATTACCTTTTGAAAGTTGGTGCTTCTTTAAAAATTTGGGGAGGGGCTCAAGCCCGTTAGCCCCCGTTGCTATCTCGGCCCTTTTTAATACTCGATGATTGCATATTGAATCTTTTACATGTAAGAATGATTGAGAAGTAATTTTACATTAAGCAACGTTTAAGGTTTACGAGGGATTGCAGTAAATATTGAAACGAAACGACACATGTAATAAAGGCATTTGGGTCACTGTGAAGATTTCCTTTAATTTCAAAAAGCTTTTCTGATAACCAAACAATGAATTTTGCCCATTTATACTGAAAAAGCTGACATATCATGCAATTTATTGTTCATATCTCGTAGACTTAGCTTTATCCCAACAATTTTTGAAAATGAAGTACGTGGACTTACTTCGCTTATTGATAATGTTCTTTGATTACATTATAGGAACCAGGTGAAACATGCGTTATAAGCTGTGACAAGTCAATTCTTTGTATGGAGTTCATCTCTGTGAGTTTTGAATTAAACCTTAAAAATGTTTTCTTTGAGTTTCAGGTAGCCTATAGATCAAGGAATCTCTTTATGTTTATGTAAGAACAGCAGTAAAGTTGGAACTAAAAATATTCCCAGAATGATTTTTTAAACTTTTTAATTGAAAATGCCTTTTGTATTTTTTCAAATGATCCATTTTTTATTAAAGCGAAAACATTTGATGTTTAAATCGAGCTTTGTGTCCTGGTGCCTGTTTTGTCTACAAAACCTTCGTATTTATACTTCTGTTGGTTATCGTGAAATGTCTAGATGCATTATTTGCAAAAACCTTCTATTAATTATATACATTCTTTGTCGCAAACCATCTGGTAAATTTACCAGAATCGTCAAGTATTGATAAAGTTTTCGTTTTGCACTTTCTGTATGTCGTTTGATTATAGGTTATTTTGCATTATTTATAACAATCTTTTTTTCTATCCGTGTTATTTCAGATCTTCAGGAATCTTTTATTGTTAAATCCATTATTTAAAGATAGGACAAAACGTTTGCACTGATAAAAGAAGTCATACTTTGCAGGGAAATTTCTTATCAAGAACACGATTTTGAAATCAATAGCTCTGATGTAATTTCAAAATGGCTTGAATACGAATTTCAATACGACAACAGTGCTAGTTTTGAACTTACAATAGGATATCGTTTGCTACCAGTTTATACCTTTATATCTCTTGTAGGAAAATGTGTTGCTTCTTGCGGGGGAACTAGACGAGATCATAGTTTATGATATTAAGGACAAAAAGCAATTACAGACATTCAAGGCCCATGAAATCAGGTTTTTGTCTCGCAACTCTGTTTTACTTTACCAAATATTGCGTCTCTTTGTAGCACTTGTGAATGCCACTAATACATTGCAAACTGAAAATGAGTTGCTATCCTGTTGCTTTTTGTGATATCGACTCTACCTGTAAATCTTTCGGCTAAGAACTGTAATGTCCACATGTAAGTCCACTTCCTCTGTATCAACACAACATCTATCCACAGTATCCACAAAGTATCTTAACCAAATTGTCTCTTAGAATAGGGTACATTTCAGCTCCATTCAAATTTAGTGACTTGGTTATTAAGTGATTTTTAAAAGTTATTTTTATGGCTGTGTTGACTCAAGTTATCAAAAGCTCGATTTAAGAAAATTCAAATTATTCTAAGGAGGCTTTTTAAGCTTCTACCCCGAGTTTTTCTTGGAAATGATCTTTTCGTGATTTATCGAAGCCTTACTCTTTTCCCACTTTTTAAAATTTGATGCCTTGTAAGAATTCCTTCCCTTACTGCGAACTGCGTGTACTAATATTACCTAAAAGGGTGTTATTATATTACCTTCTAAATGAGTAGCGTATCATGCCTTGAAAGATATAAAAAGACCGGATCTTGAATAGAAAATATCAATGCTTTGTCGCCAGTACCTTTGCCAGGATGGTAAGATTGGGTGGAGGGGCAAAAGTAAGTTGAGCGAGGGAAAAATGGGGTCCACATCTAAATAAGTTTTTGCCCTTTCAAATAAGTTTTTGCTCTTTGAAGTGATCCGCCCCCTCATGTCCCCCTCTTTCACTACGCTACTGCTTTTCGCTCAGCTTCCTTGGTTAGTAATATTGCCAGCTGCCTGCTATTGTTTATTTTGGAAAAATTGTTTTTTTTAATCAGGGTGAAATCTGTAAAGTCCGTGAAAAACCCTCTAGATGAAAAGCGTATGCTTGTATTTACTGTGGCATCAGATGGCTCGCTGAGGGCATGGAATTTCAACATTGAGGATGTAAGTTTTGTCACTTGCATTTATATCATAGGAACTATTATTTGCATGTGGATAATGGACTTTCTCTTCTGAAGAAGGTAGGAGGCAAAAACCTTTTGGGCGTTCCGCTTTTTCTTGCAAATTAGAGAATAAGTTTCATTTGTGCTTTAAAATCATTCTTTTCTTTACTATTTTAGTTGAAAATATGATAACGGCATGATGATGTAGAGTAAGATAATTTGAATTTCTAACTTGGATTCAATTCCCGTGAATAATCTTCAGTAGCACTGTATATCTAGAGGGCAGATGTTATAGTTTAGTTGTTTTACAAGATGCCGAATTGTTTATTACCTCTTGACCTATTGTGAAAATCTTCTTAATACAGTGGACTGAAAAGCCAGAGATGCTGACAGAAATTCATCTACCCGGAAGGCCAGTTTGCATGACTGTCTCTACAGAATGAAATTGCACTTGAGTAGACATTACACTTCCAAATGACGAATGCGAGAGCTCGTTGGGGCTGCAAATGGCTATAAAAGGCCCCCTGGTCCAAGGTGATGGAGAAATTGGCACTGCTTTCTGTGTGGATATTCCTATCAAATATTTATCGCTATCTAAGACAATTGAAGTTGTGATTTCGAGCTGGCGATAAGTTTAGAGGAGTAAAGCGTATCCTATTTCAAGATTTGTTTATTTTTATCCAAGAAATTTTTGAAATTGCAAAGTAGTTTTTACCCAAAAGTTTGCGGGTAACGCAGCAGCCAATGATGGTATGGTAGTGTCAAAAGTCCTAATGCTAGAGTCAAAAGTTTCTTTCAAAAATTTACTAGTGTCATTATGTTTTAAGAAAAAAAATAATTGTCGAGATAAGATAAGAGAGATTAACATTTAGGCCAAAGATGAGCACTAAGATAAGTGGCTGGTGAATGTAAAATTCCAGTTAAGTTTGTATTAGATTTCTGAAACATTGAAGTAATAAAATATGACTTACTGCTGATTTTCTCCATCCTATAGCTATATGTTTTGTACTGAAGACAAGTAGTTAAATTTTTCATCTTTGAATCCCCGATCTATCTTTTCATCTTATTTTTTATTTGCATCCTTTTTTTGTTTTTTTACTAGTTTAATAACATCAGTTAGGAGTTCTATGGCAAACTCGCAATTTGACAAACTAAAATTATGTTAAGCTCGCATTACGGTAAACTTGTCGCACTATGACAAACTCACCTCTGATCATCTACTAGCTACAGTCTTATCAATCAAATAGCATCAAGTAGGGGTCTTAGAACACAGTATTAAGGTTAAAGTATTGAGAAACTGCATAGTGCTAGCATTCGCCCTTAATGGAATCAAAAGTTCGTGTTGTAGTCCAGTTTTACATTTTTTGGTTTGCAAGTTAAATTGGTGGGTATTTCAAAGCTGTTCGTTTTATTTACTGGCTAATAGTTATATTCGTATCATGTGACTTAATGCTAGAATTCGTAATGTATTTTTGTTTAAAATGAACGCTTACTTTATTCTTATTTCGATCATATGCTGCGTGGGAAAGTATTTTATGTATTTTTTAAGAATGTAAACGAGAAGATAAGGTTGTTTGATTCTTAGTGATCACATAAGCACACCATAAAAATTAATTCATAAAGGTAAACATGTTGTGGCCTTGAAAAACTATCATTCTGTGTGGATTTCGTGATTTGCAAGAGTAGTTACTTTTGAGATTGCAACCAATAAATGTCGGCCTAGATTGGAATGATTTGATTATGAATTATTCTCTTAAATATATACCATCGTATACTTAACAGAGAAGGATTAAACGAGTTAATCATTAGTAGCACACGGCGATAGAATTACGTTATATTTATCACTTTTAGTGCTAACAAATTTTGTTCATACATTTCTAACAAAAAAGCATGTGCGATCTTGTTATTAAAACCTTCAATAGTTAAAGGCATTTGACATGCATAAGTACAGCGAATCCAAAAATAAATTAGGCCAAATTGATCAGAGCACGCGCATAAGAAAGGAATTAGAAACTGCTCACGTGAAACCACTGCGCGCTGCTCTAGGATTTAACCGATTTGCAGAAAGGCAGATCACCTGTTTTTCTCTGTGCGCAATTTGATTGGTCAACCGCTCGTGTTTGAGTGGCTGTAAGCCATTTTTACCTGTGTCAAATGCCTTCAATTAGATACTATTCAGCATAGCGAAAGATAAAATATCGCAAATAAATACGAAGATGTTCGGATAATTTAATCTGCATCAGTTAGAAGTTTCAATGGTTTTTTCAAATTTCGGTCGAGTCAAACTTCTCTCCGGTGAACATATAAGATTACATTCTAAGTGGTTCCAGCGCTTCCAGTGCAGGTGGAAGAGAACGTACTGAGGGACAGGTTTCATAGTTATGATAGAGTGAGAATTTATAAACCGTAAATTCTCTTTTTAACCCGCCGGGGAGCTTATTGTTTTTCAGCACTTTAAAGGGGGGCTTATAAGAGAGGGGGGGGGCTAAATGGAGAGAGGAGGCTTAATAAATATATTGTAAAATATTTTGTTATTTGCGAAATGGAAAACACCAAATCAGCCTTCTTTATCAATAATATTGCCTTCGTCATCGTCAACAATTATTAATTCTAGAGACATGGTGTGAATTTTGGTTTGATGCGAAGAATTGAACGACCAGTGAACTAAACGAAAATCACTGTTTTTTGTCAAGTTTATATATTTCAGCATCATTGAAATTTGGGGGTGGCTAAATTTAAAGGAGTGGCTAATTAAATTTTTCCGCGTAACAGGGGGGGTTAATAAGGGAGGAGGCTTAATTGAGAGAGGGGGGCTAAAAAGAGAATTTACGGTATTCGACTTCCACTGTGGAAACTGTACTGCTTCATTCTGGTTATTGTGCAGCTGAATTCTAATTATATAATAGGAAATCAAACCTATTTACATGAGTACAATGTTTAACCAAATATAAAGCCACTGTGCATGCATTTACTTTTATTATTTAGAATTTGTTATCATCTTTGTTTGCTTTTAAATTTGAACTTAATCCACTTATTTCTTCCCATTTCTGTTCGACTTTGGTGATGCTTTGTTGCTTTTAATTTGAACGTTGCAGCTAGGTGACACAGGTGTAGTCTTAGTAAAGCCCCATCTGCTTCTTCAAACTAACTTGTTTCCAAACTGGTTTTTCGTAAAATTGCACCCTAATCATTCCAAATACCCTTTTGAATTCTTCATCTGACAGATATTTCTGCAATTATACAAGAGAATCAAGCTAAAATTACTAGAGCCACGCAACTGAGTTCATCATTGTAGATATCTTCCTGCATTGGTTGTTGTAGCTCATAAAGGTAGAATATATCACCATTTGATAAACATAGTCAGACGAGCAGTCATCTAATTGAATTTAAAACCAACTTATCTATAGTGTACTTGAAACTTCTTTCTTGTACCCAGGTTTTAATACGCTCTTTGACTTTAACGTTTTATATATATATATATACACCTGATGATTGTTTACACATGAAACTCAGAGTTGTGTCACAATAGTCTGTTTATTTTAGTCTATCTAATCGCTCCGGTAAGTTGAGCACTCTAGACAGCAATATGATAATTAATAAATATATATATATATATATACTATAGCTTATATATATATATATATATATATATATATCACCGTAATGTCCCGTCATCCTTTAACCACAACAACCCTAGAAACCCGTTTCTTCCCAAAACCTCTTTCCCCAAGGCCCTCTCACCTCCTCACATTCCCGTACATTCCAATTCCAAAGAGCAATGTTTTGATGAAGTCAAATCAGAATTCAATCGTGCAATGGCAAAAATTCCTCAGAATAGGTTTGGAATCCTTAAAGGATAAATGCGTGTTTGGCAACCGTTAAGGTGTTTAAAGAAGGTTATCAATTTGATACTTGTTCATGATTTCCTGTACAGGTATGGGGCAGGTATGTAACAAACTTACCTCTTTATTACAAATATCGATATTTTGTAGTTTGTTTTTTCGCTTCAGCTCTTTGTATGTGAAAATTTTGTTGTATTTTATGCTCTCCTAAAAGTAAATCACTACAGCATAACGTTCACATACCATTTAGATAAAATAATAATGCTTTTATTCTATCTTGATAACATATGTAACAAAAGAGCTTTTATTGCTTTGTAGGTTATTGGATATATAGATTGTATTAGCATTGCAACACATGCAAAGGTTTTGAAAGGGTATTCCCGCTCAGTTGGTTAATTTTTAGTTGACTTTGCTGCAGCTTAGTTCGCATCTATTATCCAGAATGGTGGGTGTTAGGATAAGACTATTGGGGCTCTAACCCCCTTCTACTGGTTAGTAACCCAATAACCCTATCAACATCGCTAAAACTCGGTTTGGATGTTTCTAGCAAGGCACCCATGTCTTGTTCTCAAAACTAAATTGGGATTTGGAATCTGGATTTGGTTTTTGAATCTGAATTTGGATTTGAAATCTGAATTTGGTTGAAGAAACTTTATGTTTCAGTAATCATACTGTCACATTAAATCTTATACATACAAATTTTAGTTTTTTAACGAGTTGGTTCTTTAGAATGATAACAAGAAGCATCCTGTGAATTATATTCATAATACCTCTTGAGCCTTTGTCGCTTTCATATTTTCATTTTCCATCTCTGTTTTCAGGTCTTCGTATTGTTTAGCTCCCTTAATTAGAATAGAATTTAAAAGGGACAGTTGAGAAAGGACGTGCTTTGCAATAATGGACGACTGCCAAAAATGGCTAATAGTAGAGTGAAAAAAAAAACAAAATTAAATAAGAAACGGAATTGGAAGTCTGGATTAAAAAATGACGTAATATTGTTTCAACAAGATTTATGGTTTTGAATAATCTGTCTTTTGCTCTTTTTTTAGGCATGCCACAATGACTTTAGCAAAGAATTTCAACAACTCCTCCTACTATCAATAGAAATTGTACTCACATCCCACATTGAAGAGTTCCATGCAGAGAAATATTCCGTGAAATTTATTGGTTCGAATCCTTGTTTGATTTCGTAAATAGCCGTGTTTTCAATATTTCTTTTTGTGTTGCCTGAGTTAATAGATTCCTGCAATTGAAGCGGGTATGTTGGTGTTACAAAAAGAAACTTTTGTAATATTCACTACAAGTTGTGTTTTCCAGGATCTCAGTAAACTTAAGCAAGGATTGAGATTTGCTTAATTTCCACTTTGTCAAAAGAACCCAAGCCTCCTCCAATTGTATAAGATATCAAACTTACGAATGCATTATTGAATGACTGTGTCTTTTCAATTTCGTTGGCCCCCTTTCCGATCCATACGAAGACCTAGAAATTAAGATCAAACATCCTGACATTTTATTTACTATTAATGGCAATAATATGAAATAAACCATTGTTTTAATCGCATGATATCAATATGAGCATTTGGTGTTACTGACCTCATCGTACGCATCTAGAATCATGACGTCATCTTCACATAAGTCCTGTAACAAGATAGAGGACTTCTCTTCATTTTCAAATGTTCAAATGTTTGGTTTGATATTAATAGCTAAAGTAAATGTTGTATGGAAACGTGTTTGTTTTGCAGAATACAAAGACACCAGCTATTGGATTAGTGGCTTGCTGATACCAAATACGAGCAGTGAGTTATTTGCTAGTTCTAAATGATTTGCTAACGTAAAACGAATTTGATTTTGATACGTTTTATGGCGCTTCATTTCATTGTATATTCTGCTATATATCGTCTTTAACTGAAACGAATGACTATCAGCTACAATGATATGGTAAATTCAAGGGCCCTATTTGCTCATCGAATATCGAAAATTATAAGACCGAAAAACTCTTTGATTACTAGCTGTTGCTTACAACTGTCAAACATGTGGAGACCTGTCTGTCCACAATCTCTTGCATTTATCGTATGGCCTTTTCCTTTCCTTAAATGGTTTACAGGTGCAGTTTGGTTTATCACCCCCGCCCCCTGCGTTATAGCGCACCCCATTCTCCATAACTATACCCCTGTGTTAGCTGATATCTTAACATGTGTAAATACATAGTATATTAAGATCTACGATACCTCTTGATCAAAATCCTGAATTTCAGTCACTCTTAAAGTACCAGACGCATTAGAACTTTGAAAAAGACGTGGTGGTCGTGTCTTGCCTTCATCCTAAAATATACAGATCCAATCTAATATCATGGGTTAACACACTTGCAGCCTTTCCATGTTACCTTATGTGTTAATTTCAAGAGTATATGTAGCTTAAAGAGATATGAGAATTATGTGTTACAAAGGCGATGTTTTGGCATAAAGTTTTGGCCTACATTTGGCCTACATTTGGTCAACATTTTGGCATGAATCTTTTAGGCACCAAAGTAAGACAGCTTTCAAAATTCTTAAAAATTTAAAAAATTTAAGCAGCAGTTCATATAAAAGAACTTTAAGCAATCTGATGTTTGAATCATTTCAAAGAAGATTAACTGCTTACTTTGTCTCTCACATCGGATTCATAAGGTTTCTTCCCACCCATAATGTTCCAAAAGTCATCCATTTCGAATCCTTCTTGAATAATGACTAAATCCCTAAAATTGAGAACCAATTGTTCATTCAATTTTTGTTTTCAAGATGCGATTAATTCCACTTGGAGAGTTGTACATTATGGGACTGAAAACGTATAATTTGTGCGATAACTGTTTTGTAATTTTGATTATTTTCGTACACTATCGAACTTCAGTTGTTTAATACCACTTAATCATTTTTGAATTTCAGGCAGGTTGCCATACCCATTTGGTGCTATCCTGTCTGAAACATCTTCAGCAAAGTCCTTCTCTTGGTCACTAGCATCCTAAAAGATAAAAGTACCCGATGTAACGTTTGTTATAAATTTTGATTTTTCGGTCTCCTTACCCAGGTAAGCTTTTCATTATTTTGTTTGTTAGGTAATTATTTCATTGTTGAACAATTAACACAGAACAGAACAGCACTGAATCTTTCAGTCCACGGAACATTGTTCTCTTCTCTAGCATCAATCATTTGATGATAAATGTGATGATAATGACATTTGGTCTTAAGAACAAGTATCGCTCTAGAAAAACATTCCAGTTAAAGAAGGCTGAAGTTCGAGGAATCTGGTATAAAGAATTTTGGCCAATGATAGCTGGTGTTACCTGTCCTTCCCAAACGAAAGATACTGATTGGTTTTGAAGTAGAAAAACGTCATTTGAATTCAGATTTGATGCTGATACGGCAACCTGTTGAAAAGAATTTTCCCAGTAAAGACAAGATAGTCCTAAGACGATCAAGCTTTAAAATCTCTAGATTGACAAATGATTTTTATCAGCATTGAAGAACGTTCTTGCTTAAAGTCATTAAAAAGTTGGAGATAAGGTGGGAGTTTATTTTATGCCCCATTCTGGCATTTGTCAGCTGGCATAAATTGGAAGAAGCAACGTCATCCAGATTTTGTTGAATTTCTTTTATATTTTCTATTTTATGTGACATTTCTAGTAATTTTTACATTTTTTGCTAAAAACATTCAAAAATACAAAGATATCCTATAATTTATAAAAGCTGTGCGTAGTTTTCTGAAGGTAGTACAAGATTAAACTGCTATTGATACTTCCAATCGAGTACGGCATACCAATGATGTATTAAATAGACTAATAGAGTATGCTTTTTGTAAAAATAGGCATGTCAGATATAGCATCAATAAGATTTGTTCAATATTGTCAAAATAGTGGAGGTTACGTCACCTGTACTGCCCGCATGTTGTAATTTGAAGTTCCACGAATGTGAAAAAGTCTCGAATTTCCTTTAAAGTTCGTTGGGTCGTCTGAAAGGAGTCGTCCTTCAAATCCATGCGGCGTCGATCCCTTTTAATGAGTAATGTGTTTCAACAAGAAATGAGGACACAAGGAATATATCATAACAGACATTGATTTGTAAGTAACGAAAGCAGTTAGATTATAGCGTATAATGGTAAAAATGGGACTGTTTTTTTCTAATCTTTTTACATTGAAACAGAGAATGCTTCAAATATAAAAACAAAGAAGAATAGGAGTTTGAGTGCAGCAAAAGTTTTGAGAATCACAGGCCACAATTTCCAAGTTCAATGAAAGGTACCGTATGAAGCTTTTTCGTATATATACACTTAAGTGTTGTTCTATATGATAAATTCAGACTATTGATTTGTTTTGTTTAAGGTCTATTTTGCTGCAAATAGTAGGAAAGCTAATGACTCGATTTTCTGGCACAAAATCGACTTGAGTTGCTGCAAATTTTACCTGCAAAATAATCATTTTCCCCTTGAATATTCGTAGAAAGTGCTCAATTTCTTTGCCCTGGGTGATTCTAATCTGCAAGGTATCGATGTCACTATTAAGATCATAACAGACAGAATGTTATTAGCACCTTCCAATATAGTAATTTATAGGAAAATTGTCTGTACAATTGTTGGAAAAATGTTATTACCATATATCATATCATTTCATAATCTTATTTATAATCATGTTATTTCATGTTATGTTATGTCATGTCATGAACCATTTACATGCAACGTTTCAATCGAAAGGATTGGCTAAATTATCTCCAATTTGAAAAAATATCGCTAAACCTATAGCCGTTGCATCAAAGTGAACTTCATCAAAAAGCAAATTCCGACAGAATATTTCGACAAGTGATACCAATTTATCAAGTCAATTATTAGACCCCGGAGCTCTGATATTACGATAAATGAACTACACCTCACCAGCATGGCCTGTTCATTAAGTTCCTTATCCAAAGTTCTAGCGTATTTAGCACCCTCTGCTTTATTCTCATTTCTGCATTTATTTCCCTGTGAAAATAGGCATCTGTTTATTACAGAAACTATGATTAACTGTGGTAATTGATAATTATGCATTGTAACGTAACGCACTTTAACGTAAGATATTATATCTAGTAAGAGCAATATAGAGTTAAAAAGACTATGTAATAATAAGATGTATTTTAAATATCATAAGTCAACAAATTAAACTCGATATTATGGACCTTATTATGGACATATTATGGAAGTTAAATCCGTTAATTAAACCATTACTCATTCTTTTCGAATATTGTTGGTGCAAATTTTCATGGAGCATTCTTAGCAAAAGTTTCAAACATCTTGCCTGCCAGTAGTATATAATGTGCCTCGGATTGTCATTTTGATCGCTGAATGTATATAAGATGACGTAACAGTCTCCTTCGTAGAATATGCCATGCTTTTGAGGGTCCCATTTAAATTGCCTCCCTTTTTCAACTCTCCAAACCTACAAAAGGTGCATTTTTCTAATAAAGTTGGCTTTTTAGTTAGCGATAGAACATTATTTAGATGAGTTAAAAGCGATGTCAAAAAATGTTTGGCATCTAGTTTCGTTGAAAAACGTTAATTGTTGAAATTATGATTTCTGACAAAAAATTCTAGCTTCGTAGAAATACGTCGAGTAAAAATCTCAAATATGATTTTCCTTTTTTCACAATGATCGAGACTGAAAAGCAAAAAAGGAAAGAAAATTTGTAGATGTTTTTAAGTAAATATTAAGAAATAGTAATGACAGGCGCCTGACTGTCTTAAACTGAAAGCATCTAATACCTCGATGTTGCCATTTCCATCATCAGGAAGTGCTTCCTTTGCTGCCTGCGCTCTTTGATGAATATCCGAGTTGTTTACTTCTTTTTTTAACTTCGCTTTGGAAAAAGGTAAGATAATAATAAAAAACATTTATTTTAAATTATTTTGTCCAAGGTTACCTAAAGCGGTGAAAACGAAACATGGTGCGTCAGTCAGTTACTGTGCTTAACCAAAGTTGCTTTTTTCTTTCATAATTATATGGGTAGGTTGATGATTTTTGAAGTAAAAATTGATTTATCGTCAGTCATTTTGATGTAGTGTATTTGATACAAAAAAAGACGTAATGTAACAGCTGCCAACTTTTGAACCACTGAACTGTGTATGAAAATGTTCTCCTTGAGAGGAGTTCATGAAGTGGAATTATGCGAAATTCTCCCGTATAGATGGTCTTATTTGATGACTTCAGAATCACATTATGGTAGACCAAGAAAAGACTATGGTACCGGAAAATTAAATATTAGCAGAAGAAGTTAAAACATGGTATGCCAGAGATATTACCGCTTTTACATGCTTTTCACGAAGGAGTCGTGTGTGTGTTCCCCCAATATATAATAAAAGTTCCTTGTTACCAATGAACTATCGTTCTGTTCCAATTGCTATCAAACAATTGTCCCCTCCGCCCCCCCCCCTCCCATAATTCCTTCCTTCATCGGTAATATTTAGTAAGTTATTTAGTTAGCTGTTTTCTTGTGAAACATTGAAGAGCAAAAAGAATGGTTACTTTTGCAAAAACTAGAAGACCCTGCTAATTTTTTTATACCTAAACACTCACTTGCAATGTCGTTAACCGTTATCGTCCCAACGTGAACTTCGTCGGTCCACGAGGCAAAAAATTGCTTGAAAACAGGAGTTTCAGCTCCTTCTACTATTCTGGTTACTTGGGTCCAGACTGGATAGTCTTTGGCTTGTACAAATTGCTATTGAAAGAAAAAGGATGATATTTTGTCATTTAACAAACAAATGATAAAGGGACCACATTCTAAATTTTTTGTTTCGCTTGTTTTAGTTTATAACGAGTGGTATGTTCCTTGCCCAATTATGCCTTAGGTTACAAAAGAATTCGTTTAAGGGGCCTATAAGTATATAATTGTGCATGTGACGTAATTATATTCTAATTAAAAGTATTCGTATCGCAAGGAAATAGAAAGTTTAATTGGTCAACGAAGAAAGCAACAGAGAAACGGAGAAGCCTCTCTTCCATTTCTGCGCGCAAGCTTTTGTGATTTTTGGCTCTGGCACCCAAAAAAACAATGTTTATATTTTAAACATTGGCAAATAGCAAAATGTAAATACTCTGCTTGGTGTTGAGACTTTCCCAGACATTGTCAATACACAATTTGCACAGTGTGATACCCTAATGCGGTGCTTTGCTAAGTCTTAACAAAATTTAGCGTTAATAACTTTTATAAGATTACCATGGCTGTCGACATAGCAGCTTTTTTCTCGTTTTTTGTACATTTTTTACCAACCCAGGCATAAACACCTGTTGGCCCAGTGTCTAGAATGAAGCAGTCCTAAAAGGAAGGTGTCATTTAGTTAATGAAAACCAGCATGTGGTTGAGATGTTCTTAATCTGTGATTAAAGATTTTCTTAATCTTTTAAGGCAAGGATATGCGAAAGAACAAATGCAATGGGAATTGGAAAGTAAGTTTAAGATTTCTATCGTTTGAATTGCAATACACATGACAACATATTTTTTTTCTCTAATTTTCCTTCCGCTCAACTTTAAAGGCTGCAATAATTCATAATTAATATGAATATTTACAGGGAAATATTTTCAGCATTTAATATTATACTTCCAATATTAATATTGGTATGAATATATATTGCCCTTGGTTTTGGCTGTAAGAATTTCTCTTTAGCAGATATATTTATTAAGTTATGTTACTTAGCTAATTATGTGAGTTAGATAATTATTAGATGCTAATTAAGGATAAAACCTACGTACCTTAGATTTCAAAAGGTTTCGCTTCAGAATTTCAAATTGAATTTCTTCCACTGATAGCTCTCCACTTTCGTAGGATACCCTGAAGTTTAATAATGTGTACGAATTTTTATGATTTTTCAGAAACAATGATCCTAGTCAAATGGTAATTTTTGCATAAGAGGTTTCTTATTTTTAATCCTTAGTTTTTAACCCGGGAAGAGCTTTTTCACCCGGGAAAATCTCTGGTTAAGGAAAGGAAGCAAAGAGATTTATTCCATCTTTGTATATATTTAAAAATATATCATTCCTACTTGTAAAGGGAAATGCTTTTGTTCCAGCTTTTCTCAAATGTTTCATCGTCACCCCCTTCTGCACCACTTTTTATTGGACCTTGTGATCCAAGACATTTGAAGAACTCTGCCTCCTGTCTTGCATCCTTGCCTTCATCTAGCAAAAGAAAGCATTTGATTGGCCCAGTTAATCGTTGATTAACAATGATTAGGCCATATATGGAGATGTTTCGGGGAAAAGGAGAATAGGGGGAAGTTGATATATATCAAACAAGGTATGAATAAGATTATGAAATGATATGATATATGGTAATAGTTGATTCAGAGCAGGTGTTTACAAAGATGAACGAGATTGATCGCTAAATGAGAAGATTAGGAATCGCCGAGCCTGGGAAATAATACAGAAAAAGGGGAAACAACAAGACAGAAAGAGAAATTGTGAGAAATATTTTATTTTCTAACAGATTTGTGGTGCTTTGTTTGCTGCACGGGTTCAACTGGTTAACTTTTCACCAAGCTATGGATTTTAAACCCTCTGACTGGATTTTCTCAAATTCAAGAAAAATCTCTCACCGATTAGAATGATTTGTGCCTTTCCTCCCCGCTCTTCATCTCTAATCTTTCTCGCAGCTTCCGCAGCCTATTATGAGAAATGAAGAGTGAAGGATATGTAAAACCATTAGATCTTTAACAAAGTAGAGGGTGTTCTTTACAAACATTGATTCTTGTATTATTTGAGCTTTGACAATAATTGCATATGAAGATTCCCAATGAACTAGATGCTTTTTACATGAAGATTTCTAACACCGAAAAGAGAAAACATACATGTGAGCCTACCTGTGTTTTCCCTTTTTTTGGACAGAGGCATTTATTAAGTTCTTGCAAATTGTGTTTAAGAACTGGTATTAAAAAGGAATTCTGATGCCTCTGGGCTGTTATTATTACCTTTATCCTTTCAATTTTGCTGCTCTCAGATCCATTCCAACAGAATATCTTCAGACCATCGTCAAGAATAAAAACGTCTCCTTTATTCATCGATTCGTGCGAAAGCTCAACCTGCATTTTTACAGAATGTTTTAATTTACTTACATTTTGTCCTGAATATTGTACAAAACGCTTCAACGACTATACCATCTGAACAAATTTTAGAAAATTTTGCAAAACCTGTATCAAGATAGGAAACCTCAAAGATCGATCGTATAGGATTGTTGATTTGTTTAAATTAAAATCAAATTTAGAACTAGAGCTAAGATTTATCGTTTATTGATTCATAGATGCATCGGTTTGAACTCGTTGAAAAGAACCTAATAACTTCAGAAACAGTAACATCAAATGATAAAAGGCGAAGCATTTTTGTACAAATTCCGCCTTAGTTGGCTTGAATTTTTCAATTCTCACCTGTCTAGCTTGAACTGATCTTTTCCCTTTAACTTGATAAAGTCTTTTTTCGTAGACATCTTTTTCTACGTGACGGAAGCCAGATGCAACACCGCCTTCCAAATATCTGAGTAAACATCATATGGCAACAGTAAGTTTATGTCTACAACCAATTTAAAGAAACTTAATACCTTAAATGTTGATTTTTTATGCCTTTTGGTTCTTAAGTTGGACGCAGCATTAAAAAAGGTTACAAAATTCACCAACCTGTTATGGTACACAACCATTCATGACTAGGCCATATGACACAAACACATTAGAACTGACTTCCTTCTTAGGCTTAAGGCTCACGTTTACATTGTATACATTATAAAGGTAACAGAATAGTTTCCTTGAATGGAATGATAAGGACCTTGTTAAAAGTAAATTAAGAAGACATTTTGGTCATTTTTATCGACTTTTTATGTTTGTGGGAACCCTATAATGTGGTATTTCAATATGAGCCTTTAGAGATGATATGGTTTTATTTGACTTCAGTAGAAGTTTTTCGATCTACTTACTTGACGCCTTGCGGGAACATCCTTGAGAATTCCCTCGATTCATGGTATTGCACCTTCAATTTAAAATAGAAATTTACTGTTTGATTCCAGTAAAAAATCAAGGCTGCCTATATTCTACTGCTGGTTTCTTTATCGCTAATACTTATATTCATAGGGATAAAATTGTAAGCTATAATGTTAGTAGAACATATGCTTTCACCAAAATACGATTTCACCTTTCTTCTGCTTTCAGAAATAAATTTTTCAACGGTTATTTCACAATGGAAAGGCTATAATTATTTGAACCTATGACACATTTCTTTGCAATAATTGTTATCTGGTATTTGAATGCAATTTATACCAGAGGCTTTTGAAAATCAGTATGAGTTAAAAAAGTGAATAAAGCTGTGAATATTAGCCATTACATTGGAAACATTACTTGAAATTGTCGTAAACATTTGCTTAGTGGTCTAACTTTTCTTAAGAACAAGTTACAAAATTAGCATAATAACAATAAGTTGAACAAAAGTGCTTACTTCTCTGTACTGAGCAGGAGAGCCACCGAGCATGTCATCCAGCTCCACAGTTTTGTATGCAGCCACTCCAGCCTCATCCTTCGATTATTTAAAGCATACTTCAGTAAAATATTCAGTAATGCGCTTTTATATAGCCTTTATGGCAAAGACTATAAACATTAAAAGATCTCTGCTGAGAAACTGCTAAAGCTAGGTTCGCTAAAGAAACTTCACTGTAATGATTCTGGTTCAAGTTTGCATACCCTTGCAAGCAAGAAATATTTTTGATTTGTTCCGATTTATTAATTTTTGAAGTTTAAATCAGAAAACCATCAGATTAAGTTAAAGTAAATAATGTTTACTGGTGAGTCTTTACGGTAATTTGCAAATGTGTTGTCTACACCTTTTTTGAATTTTGTGGAAAGTGGCCTAATGACGTACTGCTTACAAGAAAAGTAGGGCATCTCACTGAGCCAAAAGCTGCCACACATTTATGACTTGTACTTAGGGTGTCGATTCATCAGACTTTAATCAACCGTACGTACCTGTGAGGTTTCTTTTCCCAGCCAAAAATGAATGTCCCATTCAAGACTATGGTCACGTCTTTTAGTCTAGGATTAAGAACAAGTTATTCGTAGCGTGTGTAACGGTTTTTGGTTGCTTTGCCTAAAGTCTAAAAGCATAAGTAAATAATCTTTAAAAGTGGCCTAGCATTGTCGTGCGACATTTATATGACCAACCAAAAGATATATTTTCAGAAAAATGGGACCTCTGTACTATATACGAAGTTTTCAAAGTCTGGTTAGAAGATTTGTATATCATTAAATTGCTAAAAGTAACGTAAGTGTTAAGAAATTTATGGAAAGTGAAAAGATGATCATCTCACTTAGCAATCCTTTTTCATGATTTTCTTGTGTTTTCGTGTATTTAGCAATCAATTTCATGTTGTAAATTTACTGAAATGTGTTTTTAGTTGTTCAGATACACCACTGTCAGTTATTTCAAAGGTAGTACTGGGGTAAGCATAATGAGAAGTAACTTACTAGAAGTATGACGTAGGAATCTCCTGTGTGGAAAACACCATGGCTTGATTTTGGCTGTGGTACAAGCTTCAGTTTCTTGAACGAAAGCAATGTAGGAAACTAAAATACTGTAAATTGCCAAATGTTGAAGAATCTAACAGGAAACTAAATCTTGAATAATCTTGAAACCAAATGGTGAATAATCTAAAAGTTGCAGGAAGCTAACAGTTAGACGTACTCAAACTTCAAATAACTTTGTTGCAGACTATGTGACAGTAGTCACAATCAAGAGACATAGCTGCAAATGATTAAACGCTGATTAGAATTTGCTGATGAGCACAGTTTTCTTTTTCAGATTTTTGCCTGCATATATTGTTTATGGTTTTCTTTCGACACTGCATGTACCTGCAGAACTATGTGATGCAGCAGTTGAACTTACTCTCATGAGGTGAAAAGTAAGTTTGCAGTTAGCATATTTTCATTGCAATTTCTATCGCAGTATCGGAACATCAAGAATATCGCCAGTTGCTAAAGTTGTTTACAATCGATATGAATAATATCTACACAGATGACAGAACAGTTTATGTTACCTCTATTCTCCAAATTTCAATTCCTGGTTTAGTTCCTGCACTTCTAAACACGGGATCGATGCCCTTGTGTCTGTTCATTTTGCTTACAATTTGCGATATCTCAGAGGTTTATCTGGGCCTTTTGTGCTCTACATTTTGACTAGGCCAAAAGTGTTTACAATGGTCCTTGTCCAGGGGGGCTGAATGAAGCATAATTAGTCCTTGGTTAGGTGATCAATCTCACTCAGCAACCCGCTAGTTCAGCGTACTTTTTTTCCATTCATTATTCTTTAAAGAGGCCTCTATTATTCTCGTGACTTTCTCATTTATATTTTATTTCATATTATCATAGGTATAATGCACAAAAACAAGTTTATTTGGTTTATTTGGTAGTTTTTGATCCGTTTTTATTTGATGCATCTGCCTTTCCATGAAGATAAAAAACATAATGATTACAGTACATAAACGAACTCATCTACAAGCAACTTTAAGAATATTGTGTGCACATTTTCAGTCCAACATTCACGTGCATCGATCGTTTGACCAAAGCACAACTGGCCTGAGGGAAGATGGTACAGATAATATTCAAATATCACATATACAAGAATTTTTTGCTCAATTTGGCTTACTATGTAGCTTGTTTTTTCTAACGTAGAGAAATGGCAAACTTTCTAGAAACTAGATACAGGAATTATGGTTCTGTTTCTCATATTTTTTGTTTGAATGTCATCAAATTGAACGATGTCTAATGTCAGACTAGGCAACTGTGTAGTTATTTAGAAGAAGTGACAAAAATCAATGTTCCAAAATATTAGAACAAGACCAGAAAAATCACGTAAGATTAGAAGTTTTTCAGTTTTTTTCATATTATTTCGAATTGGCTACCCCCGAACCTATGATTAATTAAAATTTTCAAACAACCTGCCCCTATTTACAGCATCTTATATCCATCAGTATCATCGCTACTGGTAGTCTAACGAGTGGATTCAAAGACATATTACAAACTGTGTTTGGCAATATGTTATAAACAACAGGTCTCCTTCATGGTGGCATTCCGAATTCATCGCAAATCTTGAATGCTATTCAGTTTTGTTTGGATCAGGAAAATATTGAAGGTGTTTTGATTCAGCTCGAAGCTACTGAATGATTACGAGGACATGAGCCTCAATCTGATCTTAGGACGTAAGATTTTTAAGTCAAACGAAGTGAACTATGGCAATGCAGATGTTATATTTCATGGTCTTGACGAAAGATTAGCTCTTCCATAACTCAAAAGGCCAGCGTGCTGCCCAATTTCTTTTCACAAACTGATAAATTTATCTAGTTAAGATACACTTCAAGTTATTGATTGTTTTTGAGCATTCCTGAAATATGTTGGATATACATTTCAAAAAACTGTTCAAATACTTCTATGTTATTCATACTAGAATATAAACGGTTTTGCAAATGCACTGGCAATTTTGTTTGTTTATCGTCAGTTTGTCAGTCAAATGAGCACAATTTTAATGCAAAAAGGTAATAAAGCATCATTTCATTTGTAGTTATTAGGTTTCAGTGTCTGTTCTCCTGAGAAGTTTATAGCTGCACTTGATTCAAATATGCAAAACTGTCAATAATTTCAATCCAACATAAGTGGAAAATGTTTTTGTTACTAAAATCTACCATAGAAACATCGAACAAATGACAGCATTGCTTTACATGATGCAAGGCAAAAATGAGACTTTCTGATCTTTCGGCCAAAGATAGGTCTTGTTCACTGGAAAATTTAGACCAAAGAGAAAATTTAGGTAACTTTAAGTGTAGCTTTAGATTATGTAAAACTTCTATTGTATGTTTAGGTTTTTCATGCAAGAACCTTTCCCAACCGTGAAAAATATCATTCTATGCTACATGACTTATTTGCTTACCACGTAGCTTCTATTACAGGGAAATTTGTTCTGGTAAGTAATTCTAGAGATTGCAGTGACGCATTTTGGGCGTATTTTGAGGAATGCAGTTTATTGGGGAATATCCTGTTTACGGAAATATAGAGTTGCCGTCACGTAAGTGTGACGTCACATAAAGTTAGATATTTTGATTTTCATATCATTCGACTTTTCACCACATTACCACCTAGAATATCACCACGACATACCACTTAAATTGCAACATCACTTAAAGTTCTTGAAACCTGGTTGGGATATGTGTAACAATGAATAGCAATTCAGTAATGGGTTACTGGAATTTTAGCTTAGTTCGTAAAGTTATGAAAATACACTGCTTTGATAAAAGAATGGTCTCTACTCATGTTGCCATATCTCAGCTGATATGTTATACATTTAGCTGATGTTCCTTTTGTTTATGCAATCAAAATTAAAAACATTTAGAAAATAGTGACGTCATCGCACAAGAACTCAATTTGCCTTATTTTATTCTTCTGTTTGTAGTGGAGGCTCTTAAGTCACAAAAGAGGGTCAATCATGCAAATCGTGATACCAGCATGAAATTTTGCACACCTACCGAGTTTTATGCGCTGAAAAAGATAGGGGTCAGACCCCAACTCAAATTTGCCCCTGAGTGCTATTTTTAGACTGGGGTACTCGGACCCAGTCCATTTGAAGAGCATTCATCATAACTCAACTCCAGTTTAAGATACAGAGATAAAATTTGATAGAGGTACGTAGTTTGGTGTGTTGAGAGCAATAAGGGTCAGACCCCAACTCAAATTTACCCATGAATGCTATTTTTAGACTGGGGTACTCGGACCCAGTCCATTTGAGGAGCATTCATCATAACTCAGCTCGAAATTAAGATACAGAGCTAAGATTTGGTAGAGATACATAGTTTGATGTGCTGAAAACGAAAAGGGTCAGACCCCAACTCAAATTTACCCCTGAATGCTATTTTTAGACTGGGGTAGTCGGACCCATTCCATTTAAGGGGCATTCATCATAACTCAACTCCAAATTAAGATACAGAGCTAAGATTTGGTAGAGGTACATAGTTTGGTGTGTTGAGAACGATAAGGGTCAGACCCCAACTCAAACTTGCCCCTAAAAGCTATTTTTAGACTGGGGTACTTAAACCGATATGGATTTCAGTTAGAGAGAAAACTCCAATATGGGGGAAATGGCAGCAGTTCCAGCGAAACGACGATAATAAAACAGAGCTGTTTGGTCTACTGGCTAAGAATCTTGTATTACATAGTCCTCCAGAGAAGACGGTCATTGCTACTTTCTTGGACAAATCATTAAGCAGCACCGACATCGACTTAACTTGCTTTTCGCCTTGAAATAACGAAGAAGCGGATACGAGAATTTAAAGCATGCAGGAGACTCTGGCCATCGAAAAGTCGTTGTGAAAACGGTGGATACCGACGTGGTTGTACTTGCAATTTCTCCTTTACAATCCTTACAGATTGAAGAGCTGTGGGTCGAATTTGGCGTTAGAAAGCACCGGCGTTGGAAAGCACCGGCGTTGGAAAGCACCGGCGTTGGCTTCCAATCCGCCAGTATGCTACCAACCTCGGGGAATCAATCTGCGAAGGATTGTGTTTTTGGTTTGCTTTAACTGGTTGTGATACAGTTTCCGGTTTTGCTGGTAGAGGGAAAAAGATTGCGTGGGCAGTATGGAGGTCATATCCAGAAGCAAACGAGACATTCAAAAGGTATGCAATTGAGCTTTATTTGTATGTGGACATAAACGTAGGAAGCATCTCAAAAGAAAAGGGGCACATTTAGCAGAAAAAGGCATCTTTGTGAGCTTCAAATAAGTACTTTAATTCTGTTTCTCAAAATTGAGGGGGGGGTCTACGTACGAGAATTTTTTTATGCAAGACTATAAAAAAGATTCAAGTATCAACGAAGTAATCTGTATTTATCAATGATGTATGATATGGCGTGGTATTCTATGCATTCAAGAATGATTGAAAAAATATACTTCTTTGTAAATTGTATACTCTATCTACTTAAACACGTGTCAAGTCACATGTCACCATGTCAAGATATATCCATCGACGATATGAATACTATTGAGAGTTATATAATATTACTCTACGATCGCACAAGTTCAAACGAGAATCTGCCTCCAACGAAAGATGCACTAATACAGCATCCAAAACGAGCAGTATACCAAGCAGCAGGGTAAGTGTTAAGATCACTAGTTGCTCATTCTACATGGCAAGAAATCATCTATTTGTAGTAACCTGCCTTTGTTTATCACTTTTTAGACACATTTGGGGACAATCCACTCTAAATTTCCAAGTTCTTCCAAGTTATGAAAGTTGGGGGTAGACGAGAAAGGGCAACGAAATCAAGCCTTTATGGATGACAATTCCAGAAGCATCAAAGACGTGTTACCTGTTCATCAAGTGTAGTTGCAAGAAAGGTTGCAGTGCAAGATGCAACTTTCGTCAGCATCAGCTAGATTGCACGGAGCTCTGCCAGTGCAGTGGACAATTCAGTGATGATTAAATGAAATTATCATCTTTAAAGACTTAAAACAAGAGTCGCAAATCTTCTAGATCGTGCATTCTAATTAATTTTGTCAGGCAGCGCCAATGAGCAAGAAAACGCTCTTGGGCGTTGATTTACTCTAGTGGTGAAAATTTTAAAAACCATATAACACATATATAAACACAAAAAAACATATGTTGCTTTCCAAGCCATCCTAGAAAAAACATTCAGAAAATTTAATACCAAGCTACCAAACCGTTTGCCTGAAATATCGTTGTCGTAAAAAGTGTTTTGTAACGATTGATTTATGTTTCTTAACCTAATCTGCGCATAAAACTAGGTACCTGTAAAAAAGTCTTTACCGTTATTTGTAGTAGAGTTGTGAAAGGATACCCCTTTATGAGACAGGGTCCAAGTACTCTTAGTCCCAAAATAACATTTTGGGGGAATTTCGAGTTGAGGTTTGTGTCTCAAAATATTTAGCTCGTCAAACTTCGTACCTGTAAAAATTTACAGCTCTTTGTTGCTATCGGAAGTAGGCTTGTGTGTGATGTAAACATTTAGGAGACTGGGTCCAGGTACCCCAGTGTAAAAATAGCATTCATGGGTAAATTTGAGTTGGGGTCTGACCCTTTTCGTTTTCAGCACATCAAACTATGTACCTCTACCAAATCTTAGCTCTGTATCTTAATTTGGAGTTGAGTTATGATGAATGCCCCTTAAATGGAATGGGTCCGACTACCCCATTCTAAAAATAGCATTCAGGGGTAAATTTGAGTTGGGGTCTGACCCTTGTCATTTTCAGCACATCAAACTATGTATCTCTACCAAATCTTAGCTCTGTATCTTAATTTCGAGCTGAGTTATGACGAATGCTCCTCAAATGGACTGGGTCCGAGTACCCCAGTCTAAAAATAGCATTCAGGGGTAAATTTGAGTTGGGGTCTGACCCTTATCATTTTCAGCACATCAAACTATGTATCTCTACCAAATCTTAGCTCTGTATCTTAATTTCGAGCTGAGTTATGATGAATGCTCCTCAAATGGACTGGGTCCGAGTACCCCAGTCTAAAAATAGCATTCATGGGTAAATTTGAGTTGGGGTCTGACCCTTTTCGTTTTCAGCACATCAAACTATGTATCTCTACCAAATCTTAGCTCTGTATCTTAATTTCGAGCTGAGTTATGACGAATGCTCTTCAAATGGACTGGGTCCGAGTACCCCAGTCTAAAAATAGCATTCATGGGTAAATTTGAGTTGGGGTCTGACCCTTTTCGTTTTCAGCACATCAAACTATGTATCTCTACCAAATCTTAGCTCTGTATCTTAATTTCGAGCTGAGTTATGATGAATGCTCCTCAAATGGACTGGGTCCGAGTACCCCAGTCTAAAAATAGCATTCATGGGTAAATTTGAGTTGGGGTCTGACCCTTATTGCTCTCAACACACCAAACTACGTACCTCTATCAAATTTTATCTCTGTATCTTAAACTGGAGTTGAGTTATGATGAATGCTCTTCAAATGGACTGGGTCCGAGTACCCCAGTCTAAAAATAGCACTCAGGGGCAAATTTGAGTTGGGGTCTGACCCCTATCTTTTTCAGCGCATAAAACTGGGTAGGTGTGCGAAATTTCATGCTGGTATCACGATTTGCATGATAAATGTTATAAGAGCCCCCACTATTGGGACCAGAAAGACGCCCCTGCATAACGGGATCAAGATGTCACTGTTGTTATCGCTAGTTTGAACTATTCTTTGCGTGAATTAGCAGAGGAAATTTTCTTTCATCAACCACAGTAGGTGTCTTTCAGTTTTATGTGCCTGCGACAGATGACCAAATACACTTAGAATGATTCAGTGTATTTCTGAGTGGAAAGAAAACAAGTATCGTTTAATCAGTGCTTTTCTGAAGTAGGCCGAGCTTTAAAGACTATCGTACTCGGGAACCCTGCGTACTCGGATATTCATTATCGAAAATGGCGTTACAAGTAATTTGGTCGCTTGCTGTATTCATTCTATCTGGTGCTTTCTCTGTTCCAGGAGTGAATTCTCAATGTCCGTCAAAATGTTCCGTCAGCTTGCTGAACGTATGGCCTGGAAACGGCTACCATGCAAGAATCCAGATCACATCACCAATCTTCATCCGTGCGTTCAGTTTTGCAAGGATTTTTTTCCACTTCGATGGTGAGGTGTCAAGAATTGAAAATATTCACGTACAAGGAGGAATTGTGAGGGAAATTAGAGTAAAGAATGACAAAAAGACGGTTACTTTTTTGTTTCGACCAGACCAAAATGTCGGAAAGGGGAAAAAGGTAAGTCGGCACTTCTAATTCAAGTATGACAGGAAGACAGTGAACTTGTTGTTTCGACCAGACCTAAATGTCGGGAAGGGGAAAGGTAAGTCGGCAATTCTAATTTAAGTATGACAGAAAGACAGTGACTTTTTGTTTCGACCAGACCAAAATGTCGGGAAGGGGAAAATGGTAAGTCGGATCTTCCTCGACTACATTATCAGTTTGCCATACTATAATTTTTATCAATTTTTGCTCCCAATTTTACGATAGTCTCCCCTCTTAATCTTTAGCAATAAAAGAATGTTTCGGGCATTGGTGTTTCGGGCAACATGCTGAAAGAGAACAAGGACACATTAATCGATATCGATTCTATTTAATAGAAAACTATTCTTGGGTTTCAGAACTCTGGTAATAGTATCAAAGTGATGACGTCATTAAATAAATTTTTCTGCATAGGTATAATTGATAAAATATGAATATATATGGTATTACTTATCTTAAACTTTTTTGAAGCTTTTATTTGAATATTTGAAAATGGCTGAGATGTGTCCAAACCCTTGCCCCATCAAACCTCCGTTATATACTATTGGTTCTAAATATTGCGAAAGAAATCCTTTATTTAATCCAGATCTCTCTCGTCATGTCTCGATTAACTTGCTACAGTTTGAACTGATTTTGCACCTTGAGAAGAAGTTCTGGTGTTAATTCATTTAATTGGTCCAGATTCTCCAACTAGGTTTGTATGAAGTCATCTTATAGTCTTCTGTAAAATGAAATTGGTAATGTAGAGTCTCGTCATCGTGTTTGACAGCCATCGCTCAAGACATAAATCCTATACTACTTTTAAACTGCTAAAATCTGTTGTGTAGAAATTCCCTCTTTGGTTCTTGATAATGTAGCAGTCCTATAGTAGGTCCATAGACACCCGCTATTTTGACTGTCTTCTATCTCGACCATTTGCTATCTCGAACGCTTTCAATTTTCCTTCTTTTTGCTGGAAAGGTTTACATACAAATGTCATTCTGCATCTCGGCTGCCTGTATCTCGATAATGTCTCAAACGCTTATTTACTTCCCTTGACGAAAAGCTTGCTATCTTGAACCTTACGAGTTTCCTGCTTAAGTAGGTATAGAAACATGCAAAAATGTTTGTTTATTACACAGAAAAAACTTTTAAATAATACTTGAATGTTGATCACGAAACAGTAATAATAGTAACTTTCTAAACAGAAGAAAAATGGTTCTTAACTTCGGGTTGATAAGTTGTTCAGCAAAGATGATGATGATGTCATCCGAGGATCTTTAAACAAGACCAGCATATGATTTAAGAAATGCCATGGAGGGGGGTGGTTTCCGAGTACCGCCTGTTTCTAGAACAAGGAGATGTGCTCCGTGCAATTATCATAAACTCGAATATATTGTAGAAATGGAATTAACCCAGAAAAGAAAACAGACAAAACCATGAAATGGGAAATAGATAAATATTTATTGGTGTTTTTTATTCCCTAACCAGGAAATATTTTCTTTTGAATGTTCTTTAAATTCTGAAACTTTTTTTGATTGAGACAAAGACAAAGCAAAGATGCACAGTTCTAACAATCTTTAGAAAAGCGTGTACCTTCGTCTTATAAGTCAATTCAGTTAGAATAAAGACACATTTCATAACTACGCACTGAAGAGAAATTACTTTATAATTAAGATACGATGGATGACTACATACAAGATGAAGCAAGAGAAAATTGCCCCTCGGTTCTATAAATTTTCTTCAACTTCTCTTAACATAGGTTTTCTAACTCTGATGAAGTATTTTAGGGTTTCAAGGAAAGCTCTAACTTTGACGTATCTTTTCTTTTACAGCTTACGATGGAGTTTTATGTTAGACAATCAGGCTCTTCTCCCAAGCTCACAGAAGTAAGATTTTGGAAGAGGGTTGCATGCAGCAACATACCCTGCACAGGCAGCACCCAAAAACCATCAACTACGCAAACAGTGCTGCCCACGCAATTTTCATCCTGTTCTACAGTACAGAAGCTTCTTCAGGTTGGCCCAGGGTTCTTCAAAGTTAAACTTCTCCTACCAGTGTCTCAAGTTTTGAATGGCTGGAAAATCGAGCTTCAGTTCACGAAACCGGTTCTCGGAATAAGTAATTTTGATGCTAACCTTGTCGAAGTGAGGAGGAAAATGTACTTTCGGCTAGAGAATTTCAAACATAATCAAGTACTTCAACCAGGCACGTTTTCTGTAATACTGATGGTGCATTATCAACATAGTATGTCCCAACCACCAAAGATTGCGCTTGTAAGATTTGGAACTTTCCGCTGCCAAAGTAGCGATGCTTTAACTGTTGTGCCAACACAAACAGCTCCCACTTCTGAACCAACAACAACCCAAAAATCGACTGCAAAGCCAATGACAACCAAGGCAACAACCCCCAAGACACCAGGTCAAACAACACAAACAGTGACGACTGTTGATCGAACAACTTTGCAGTCTACAGTCAAATTGACTACTAAAAAAGTAATTTGTTTTTTATTTAAGCTACCTATTTGCGGCCAGAATTTTTCAACATATCTTTCAACATATATTGAATATTTGGCTTCTTTGTTTCTGACATAAACGACATCTGGTTACCTCTTATGGCCGAGCAAGGAAACCAAGTATTCTATAGGTAACACAATGATGAAATAATTCTTACGGATTTTTATTTCCTATAACAATTATCAAACTTTCCCTTCACTATTTAATAAGTGCTATTATAAATTCATGAGATCTTAAGATCAACAGATTACCTTCGATGCATTTGGTAAAGAAAGCAGGTTATCTCCAGATAATATCTTTCATAACTGTTACATTGCAGAGCACTATCTCCACTGTAGCACCAGGCTGTGCGCCAAAATATGACTACAGTAAAGTATTGCAGTTATCGTTGTTGTTCTACGAGGCTCAAAGATCAGGGAAGTTGCCTAAATCGAACCGTATTTCTTACAGAGGGGACTCTGCCTTAAATGATGGCAGAGATGTTGGAAAGGATCTTTCTGGAGGGTATTACGATGCTGGGGACTTTGTCAAGTTCGGGTTTCCTATGGCCTATACGATTACTGTGCTGTCATGGGGAGTGATTCAGTATGGCCCTGGATATAAAGCAGCTGGACAATACAGGTACGCATTGGATGCTATTAAATGGGGCACGGACTATTTGATTAAGTGCCATACTGCACCGAATGAATTGTATGGCCAAGTTGGTGATGGTGACGTGGATCATGCCTTTTGGGGGAGACCTGAAGAGATGAAGATGCGTCGACCATCGATGAAGATTGATGCCACAAAACCAGGTGAGGCTGCGTGGATTTCAAGGTGCATGATTCTTGCCACTACTGTTTCTCGTTTCCATTCCTCTGTATAAAAAAGTTGTAAACAGTGACGCAAACTTGAGTTGGAGCAAAACAGCTGACTGTTAACATAAACATACAAGTGTGTCTATATGTGTATATAACCATATATTGTTTGCATTAAGGCTCTGATCTTGCTGGAGAAACCGCCGCTGCACTGGCCGCTGCATCTATTGTCTTCAAAGACGACGCGACGTATTCAGCGACGTTGAAGAAACACGCACGTGAGTTGTACGATTTCGCAAGTACGTACCGTGGAGCATACAGCAACTCCATACCAAATGCAGCAAAATTTTACAGAAGTTACAGTGGGTACAAGGACGAACTGACATGGGCAGCAGCATGGCTCTATCGTGCTACGAAGGAGCAAAGATACCTTCAGGATGCCAGAAGCTTCTACACTCAATTCGGAATGAATTCACTGGCGAATGAGTTTTCTTGGGACGACAAGAAAGCGGGCGCGCAGGTTCTTATGGCTCAGATCACTGGGGAGAATTCATTCAAACAAAACACTGAAGCGTTTTGCGATGCCATTCTCAGAAGGCAACGAACCCCGAAAGGATTGGTTTTCATCAGCCAGTGGGGATCAAACAGGCACGCAGCCAATGTGGCATTTATCTGTCTTATGGCAGGGGATCTGGGAATCAAGACAAGCACATACCGGACGTTCGCCCGCTCACAGATTCACTATATTCTTGGAGACGCAGGCCGTAGTTTTTTAGTTGGGTTCGGAAACAACCCACCACAGCGACCCCATCATGGGTCGAGTTCTTGCCCCAATCGTCCTGCCCCTTGTGGGTGGAGCGATTACAGCAGTAGAAACCCGAACCCACAGACCTTGTATGGTGCCCTCGTCGGTGGACCTGATAGTAACGATAATTATGCTGATGTGCGCAGTGATTACGTCAAGAATGAAGTTGCTTGCGACTACAATGCCGGATTTCAATCTGCTGTTGCAGCTCTAAGGCAGCTTCAAAGCAAAGGCGAGTGTTAAATCAATTGACATTTTTCTTTGTTAACTGAGTAACAGCTATCATAAATGGAATGTCTAATGATAAATTTTGGTTGGAATATCATGTTGATTTTTGTCGTCTCAAAATCTGTGAAAATCTGTGAAAAACATCAAAATCAACGGTGGAGAGAAATATAACGAATTAAGTCCTTTGAATTCTTTACACATGATAAAAATTTACATGCCAACTAGGTACATAATTATAGAAGATATTCTAATTATAGAAGATATATATACTTTAGAGATGGAGTCTATAAACATAAATGATTTCAAAAATTTTCCTTTCTTCAATCTTTCTTCCTTTAATTAAAGGCAGCTTAAATCAATACTTGGGTGTTTTGCTTGCTGAAAGGAATGCAAAAATTGGAAAGAGTCTTTTAAATTTTAGGCCATTATTGTGTCTTCTAATGTGTCTTATGTAGACAAACGGGGCAGTTTACAACTTGTCATACAGGCTAAAGATACCACTTTATCGTCAAGAATACCATTAACTCACGTTACTCGCGAACATTATGAAAGCGTTATATTGGAAAGGCCGGCTTATTGTTTAGCTTAAATTAAATACATAAAAGTATCGAGCGAAGATGTTGAAAGCGAGTGTGGTTTTGAAGGAGCTCTCTTGGGTCCAGATTGAATCAAGGTGTAGTAGGCTGTGAAATAGTGCGTTCACAAGGATCTTTGCAGCTGTTTTTTTTTTCGATAGACAATCCTAGCAGAATATGCGACAAAAATATTATATTTAAATAATTCACTCGTTCAAAAGGCACTATGCATAATCATATGTTTACTGTGCAAGATATTGTGCTCAGGATGTTAGTTAAATGTGTTTGAAAAGTTCGATTCTTCAAAGACTTTTTTGATGGGACAACTTGGTGCACTACAGGTAGTGTATTTCAGAGTTAGGCAGCAACATAACACAAGGTTGCTTTACTCGGCTCTTGCTGACGCAATAATTTTATTTTCAGCACTGCACCCAACGTTATTTGTCCTTGCTTGCCTACTTTATCAAACTAAATTTAAACGAAAATTAAAAAAAAGAATTTTCTACCCCTACTACTTCTTGCACTCTATAATTTATTACTGGGGTTAAGTATTTATTCATGTTATGACAAATACCATATAAATAGCCAAGAAAGTCAATATAATGGTCTTATTTCATCTTGTTCGAAGAACGCTGCTTTTCAAATTCATATCTCTAGTGGCCTCTCATTGGCTGAAGAGACATTCTCTACAAATACAAGATATTTAACTGCTACTGAATGACTATGGCTACGGCTAACGGGAGACTCATTCTCAAACTTTACTTCTTACGTTGGCAAAAAATTCGCTCTGTTGAAAGTTGTTTCAAGTGTTGCATCAGGCGACAACATCCTTTCATTTCTTTCTATCAATATGGACACAACCATTCAGTTTATATTCCCTGAAAGCCAAATCTTTTCGAAATCTGTTTGTCTATTTAGGCTAATTTCAATGAATGTTCGCAGAGTGTTTAGCTGTTTCAACATTTGAAAAAACTGCCCTGCTTTTAACTTACATAACTACTCCAATCTTATTAATACTTGAAAAGCAGATCCATTTGGTCATTCCAGAGTTCACTAGAATCCTTGATACCTCAATAACTGTTGCTAAAATGAAGCGGTTTTGGGGTGTTTGCTTTTCACTGTTTGCCACGCTAGCTGCATTTTCAAGCAAGTGCTCAATAAATGCCGAATCATGTGACAAGAATTTCAATCTTATTCAGTCCTTTCCAGATGGGTATCGTGCACGATTGTTGTTGCCAGTTTTAGAGAAAACCACAGAATGGAAAGCTGAAATATTGTTTGACAAGAGTATCACTACATTTGATACAGCAGATGGAAACCTAGAAGGCGGTAAGAAGAGTGGGGTCCAGTTCAACGTCACAAATTATCGTCACAATGGCAATTTGAACCTTGGTTCCACATTTCAGCTGGAATTCATTGTGCATTATCCTCGAAATTTTGTCCCTGTACCCAAGATCCAGAAGATTCAATTTGGAAAGTTTAGTTGTCGGGCTGAAGAAACAACTAACACTGGAGGCTGTGTGTTGAATGACAATCTGCCAACCTGCTACTCTTTTGCAAAGAAGAATAATCAATGGCCTGATGGTTTTGCTGCTAAGTTGGAACTCCCTATCAAGAAGAGCGTCCAGTCTTGGACTTTGTTGTTGATTTTCAACAAACCGATCCGGGTTCTTAACTTTCCGGACGGACAAATTGTGGCAACAAGAAACAGCACTGAATTCACCATTAAGAATAGAGACTACAATGGAAAACTGTCAAACGGGAAAACAGTTAGTTTTGACTTTACTGTCCACTATGCCCGAGGCCAAAAGAATACAAATCTTGTTGCCGTTATATTTGATCCAGTCCAGTTCATCTGCGTTGCTACAGAATTTAAGAAAACACTTGTTGATAGATACCGGAAGGCACAAGAAAATGAAAATCAAATTGTCCCACTTGGCGCTGATTGGCTAGCAAGCTGCAAGGAAACAGTCCCAGAATGCACCAAAATGTTTCTTATCCGAGACTTTTGGCCTGATGGTGTGAGAGGTTTCTTAAGAATACCGGTGAAAGAGAATGTGAATGGCTGGAATGTTACATTATTCTTTGATCCAAAGATAACGACACTGGATGTGAACCAAGGAGACAAAGTGATGTCACGTGAAAGTGTGTATTTTGTTGTGCGAAACCACAGTTATAATGCGCGCCTTTCTGCGGGAAGCATTTTTAATTTTGAAATTACCATACATTTTCCGCGTGATAAAAGGCCAAGGCCTCAGCTGACTATTGCCAAGTTTCGGAATGAAGTGATTTGTGAAAATACCGATAACGACTGTGCAGACTGAAGCAAGAGAGGACAGCACAAAAATAATGATGTATTACAGTATGCTATAGTTGATAAAGTAGAAATATGATGAAGTAATATGATAAATGTGATAAACATGCTAAAATATTATTCAAATAAGTTACAGAAAATACAGTGTCAACTTATCATGTTCACCTCCACTCCCTTGGAAACTCTTATTGGGTACTTTTACAAAGAGTTTAAACAATGCTACTGGAAACATAAGAAATAACCATTTATTTCGCATGGGTGGTAGCAAAAGTAGGTACAGGGAAGCCATGCTAATCATTGATGACAAAAGATTTTGTGTGTTGCGGTCAATATCCTTGAACATTAACGGAGTGGTGCGGCATGTTCCACTCAAAATGCATGGCCTTGTTCTATTTAGCTACGTTTTGGTCGTTTATTCAGTGAAATATGGCTACAGGACATATCTGCAAGATCCTTTTCTTGATTTTTCTCATTGAGATCTCATAGAGATGTCTTATAACATTACATTTGTTAACAAAAGAAGAAAAATATTGTTTACAGTTAAGGAATCGTAAAACCCTCAAATAACGCAGTTGCAATCCCAGTGCATTGTTCACGCATGAATTCTGTATACAAGATTCAAAGAAACTATTTATAATTTAGTATACTATTTATAATACTAGAATGAATAAGAAGGATGGTAACTATTCGTTTCGCTACTTTGTTATTTGGTAGATGAGCAACTTAGACCCTTGACCTATCGATGCTTGTCTATTTTCAAACAATTGTTATTGGCATAGGCCATTTCTAGAAGTAGCTCTTTGGTGGATAATTTTTTCACATTAGAAATGGATTTTGAAGCTGAAATAGTAAAACAACCGAAATTAACCGGCAAAATAAGAGGAAAGTACGAAATGTCGACAAAAAAATTTTATACTCCCTTGACAAAAAAATTATGCCAGCACGCACTTACAGTGCCGTAATAGATTCAGTCCTCTTTCAACTTGCTTTAATAACATGCACGAGTCACGTGAAATATATTCAAAACTAACTGTCAAAAAGAATACCAGGCAACGACCACAGATAACAATAGAAAAGTGCAGAAAAGCAAGAAATGAGAGTATGCCGATGAACAATACGCTGAGAAGAAAAAACTCTGGTTCATCGCTTGAAGCTACAACAGAGGCTGCAAGAATAGCACAATATATTTTTGGGGACTATAGTAGGCTACAAGGTGAGTGAAGCTCATGGTAAACAAAAATTAATCTTTTATAAAAGCTTCTCCGGTGCAACAATTGACTTTACGAGCAGTCATACAGGTCCTACCTCTAAAAAAACCGAAAAGCTATCATTCTCCACTGTGGAACGAATAATATGCGGAGCAGAAGTGCTACAGAAAAAATTGTCAACAAGCTTGCCACTGGACTAAAAGACAACGAGAGTACAGTTTATTTGTCAAGCATTGGACAAAGAGGTGACAAATGGGATGAAAAGGTAAACATACAAGTTCTTGTCTAGCTAAAAAATGCGACAATGAAAATCTTTTAAACCTGAGCATGCATTTAAATATAAACAAACTCAGCCTTAATCGTGAAAGAATTCATACTCTAGCCAACAATGTTTGTATCATTTAGGATTTTGACTAAAAAATGCTGTTGATCTGGGTAGCAATAGTCAAACTCCTATTATCCAATGACATCCCTAGCGATACTAACGATAGGTTTGAATATATAACATGTTGGGAACGTGAATCGCCTCATCACTTTTTCATGTGTAAACTCAATTAGGAATAAACCCCAACCCCTCAGTGATTTTATCTCACAAAACATAGATATTTTGGTAGTTGCTGGCGCAAAACTAGATTGGTCTCTTCCAAAATAACCGTTCTTTGTTGATGGATGCTCTTCCCCACTTAGATTACATACAAATCAAAATGGCGGGGACTTTTAGTTTACATTCGCAATGGGATAACTAGCTACACATCAACTCATGTCTTTTAAGTTCACCAATGGAATGAGCGTCTAAAATGGGACGATAATTAATAAATGAAATAATTGATAATTAATAAAATAAAAGAAATGATTAATAAAAGAAATGGGACTGTACGCATTAAAATTAAAGGGAATTTTTGAAACAGACTCATAACAAGGCCCTGATTCATACATGTATGGGGATATGTGGACAAGTGCATAAATTTGATCGCTAGCTTTTAGGCAAAGTTAAG